CAAGCTGATATATGGTTACAAATATGGTGATATATGTTTATATATCATTACAGTGTATACACATATATATATATAATTATATATGTTAACATTATATTATATATATGTATGTAGATATTATTTATATTATATATATATACATATATCACATCATAACATATTACAACTGGGGTTTTAACCCCAGTTACTATATAACCAGTTGTTCCCCCAAGTCCTGACCCCTATATATGACGATGGGGGGTCTCTTTAAATGCCGTAGGCTACGTCCCAGAAGAACATAAAAAGAACTCGGTAAGGTAACTACAACCAACAAATGATTGGGATTGCAATGGTTCTAATATGTTCTATATATGTTCTAATGCCCGGAGAGAAAAAAATAGTTAAGCTATAAACCAAATAGAAGAACACTTTGAAAAGTCACCGGCTCCACAGTGATCATATCCCAAGGGCTCGCACCTTCTAATGGAAACGACGACCCGTCACCCCGTCACCACCATTGGTCAACGGACCCTTCACCAAGCTTCATCCTGGTACCCAAATAAAAGATAGTTCCCCTCTATTCCCCTCTGATCATTTAACAAAGCTATGGAATATAACCATGTTTCATAGGTGAATCACCTATGAATGGGCCATTTTTCATAGCTATATCAAATTACCAGAGGGTACCCTCCAGTATATGGAAGGACATGGAATGGAAAACGGACCTACCACTTGTTAAGAAAAACCACCTGGATTCTTAGTGAATTTACCACAAGGTCATCACAAAACGGCACCAGCTCAGGCACTCGAGGTGGAGTAAGGTGTAGCCCTGCCTCGGATCATGATCACATCAACTTTGGGCCATTGGGGTATCCGTTTTCTCCCAGAATTCCTAGGAGATTAGATAAGTGGGGGGTTGACCAACAACAATGAGGATACGTTGGGATAGTAACCACCTTCAACTAATATGTGGGTGTCTGGAAACATACAGTACGGCAATGGAAAAATGATAGCAACATGATGGTTTCCAAAGACGGAATGATGCCCGGATTGTTGATGAAATTTGGAGGTGCAACTGGAGGCAGATTGTTATCCACAGCAAAATCATGCAGGGATTGAGCCCGTCAAAAATCAATGGATAATCCTGGAGATGATATACTTAGACTATCCGTCATGACACATGAGAGGTTTCTTCTGAGGTTAGTTGGAGGGGCTAACATCTTTGAAACTTGAAACCAAAAAAAGGCTACCATCAACCAGTGGCTACAGTACCTTTTGCAGTACGGCTAAACATGTTGTGATATTTCACGAGATTTCTCATCTCCGATTCGGAGCCGGTCGGAGCCGGGACTCCCGGCTCTTCCATGATCGCTGAGGCGCTGGAGAGGGAACATTGAGCCAACCACCAGATGGCCTCACGTCAGAGATCCCGAGAGAATTTTCCGTACGTTTTGGTGCATGGCCAATCTCAGCCTGCGTGGACAGCTGGAGAAATGAATTCTAGGATTCCAAGCCACCCCCCACGAAGCTCCAATTAAGAATTGGTTGTGATCATCTCAGATAGACTGCAATAGAGATTTTAAAAAGAGTAAAAAGATGGATATGAATCAACTGAAATAACCTGAGGCTATAGTAATCCCAAGACAGGGTTTCACCTTGAAAGTCCCTCGAACCGTGTCTGGACATGTTCCCTAGGCTAGCAAACTGGGGTCTGGGGTACATCCCAGAGAGCATCCAAGCTATAAACTTGCTTGGTATATACACGTATGATATGTATATGAATGCCTTATATTCTATATTAATACATATTGGACATATATGCCCGTATTTACATAACAACTCGTATAATCAAATGAGCATCTATCTATCAATCAATCTACCTATCCATCTATATCAAATCTTATCTACTCTTATCATACCTATATAAATCATTCTATCTATCTATCTATCTATCTACCTATCTACCTACCTACTTAGCTACCTACCTACCTACCTAGCTAGCTATCTATCTGTCTATCTATCTGTATCCATGCAGCACATGATTACATGCACAATAAATTGTCCTGTCCCAACAGAATCCAAGTGTAGTCATGATAACGCCCTCCGCTGATGCCTCTCCGTCTGTTTCCACCTGTGGCCGAAGCTGGCAGTTAGGGAAGAACCTGCCATGTTTGGGCAGTTTGAAGTGTATCTCATATTCGGTTACCCTCCGGTAAACAGACGTGACGTGATCATTTTTTGAATTTCCCATTAAAATCTCCATTTATATATAGGGGATTTTCCGTTGCCAGCCTTAATTATCGGGGGATAAGTTTGAAGTTGACATAGCAAATCTTTGAAGCTTGGATGCCCGTTCAATATTCAGAGACTTTTTAGTTGGATACAGTAATCATTTGGATATGAACTATTCTTCCAGTTTTATCAAGCCAGACCTGCTCAACAGAGTCTTACCCAGATTCTAGTAACTTGGGTTCAAGTAGGACTGCCACTTTCAATGTCCAGCGAAGCGTCCAAGTCAGATCCAACATACCTCGGGAGGATGTCCTAGACAATTGGAAAAAGGCTTCTGAAAAGATTCCTCCTCGATTAAGCACTGGCTGGTGGATTTGAAGTTTCAGTATCTAAGTTCGAGGAACACCTGCGTCGGAGGATGCAAGCCATTGAGCGTCAAATCTGGATGAGACTAAACCCTGATACTGGGCCACACCCCTGAGCCTCAACGGAGCCTCAACGGAGGGGAAGGCGTACCGGCACCCATCATGTAGAGTATGAAAGAAAGTTTAGAGCTACCTCAAACCCAATCTTCAAAGATAATTTACGACGGCATTCTTACATTTATTTACATCATATATCATCATAGATACCTAAACATTTCAATTCAAAACGAAGCAGGGCATTAAGACATTCCCTTCTCTCTGGCCCAAACCGTCCATGAACCAGCCCAAGGTTGATGCAAAAGATGACCATTGGCTGTCCTACACGCAGTACGCAACGAACACAAGGCCACTAGGCGATTCCCTTTGATACGTTGATTTATTCAACGATGTCAGAGCACCAGATAGGTGGATGTGGGTATAGTCTTCTCATGTCAAACATAAGGAAGTTTCCTAAAATGTGGGTACCTCTAAATCATCCATTTCAATAGGATTTTCCATTGATTTCCATTATAAACCATCCATTTTGGGGTACAAGTACCACCATTTCAGGAACCCCCATAAAGCCTTTGGCCACCGGATCGATCACAGTTGTCGCCTCCGCTGGCCTTGCTCTGCACCGCCTGAGGCAGTTTCTTCCGGCAAACTCAACTCAGGTATCTCAGGGCTTGGTTTTTCGTTTTGGAAGTTCAAATCATCTCAGTTTCAGTTCTGCCTTACTATTTGGTCGGCTGATCACAAGGGAAACCCCGGGAACTCTCTCGCTGTTGGTTTGGTGTGGATCCGTGACAATATGGTTGCAACAAGCCGAATGGACCATTCTGGCCGGTCTTAACGCATAGCAGGCAGCAGCTGCACTCATGTAAGCTGCACTCATGTCCACGGGCACGATCAGTCAAAAAGAGCGTTGGCTTATGATGGCTTTGATGGGGTTGTCTGAAAACAAGGTACATACCCTCAATTCCAAGGTTTTTGTCAATTTAAATGGCCATAAATTGTGGGTATCCTTCACTTTGAGACGCGCCCATGTAATTACTCATGCTAGTTGGATCAACCGATGATATTGTTGGGCTGATCAATCACCATGGCCCTCAATCATCCCCATTCTTGTGCAAGCCAATGGCGTCTCGTTGGTCGCAATCGGTGTGTGCTGGAAATTCTTACTGTGCGTGAATTCCTTTGTTTGGGGTTCAAGGCCCATTAAACCTCTGGCCTTGAATTATGAGTAAAAAATTGAGTAAAATCTCACATGCCCATTTCATCCCCATGGGGATTCAACCCGGTAAAAGAGCCCCTGTTTCTGGTTAGCTGGCATTCCGGTAAACCCATAAATTGACCGCTTAGAAAAAGAAGAATGATGATAAACATGATACCCTCCGGTAATCAAACGTGGCAATTGGAAATCCACTAGAAATTGGGGTTTCAATAGAAAAGTCACCTATAATGTATTTTCCATTACCATGTTTGATTACCGGAGGGTGTGGATTTGGGGGTACCATGGGGTACCCCATCATTTGCAAACTCGCACACAAACTCATACTTGGAGGGGCAGTTCCAGTTAGAAGCGGGCTTCAGTTCACCATAGTTATAGGGGCCCCATATCCCAGCTGAGGGTTCGAAATATAGGTCATAACAACCCCAACCACACCCAATCATATACTACGTTCGGTGTCCCCATAATATCCCCGTCAATAGATGTGTTTCATGGCTTTTCCCGATGTTACTATCCTGCAGCTTCACACGATCAAATATATATATATATATATGCTCACGGAAATATCTCAAATCATGAAGGTGCAATATATGCAATTTTTGGACTGTATAGCCCTGTAAACCAACATACATGTCGAAAATCTTTGTAGATCATATTCCGAACCTGAAATCATATTTTGTTCCACATCTATTTCGATGTTTACCCTGGGTACATGGTTAAATCCCGCAGAAAAGCAGCATTTTGCTCAGTAAATCCACCCATCCCCGGCATAAGTCGCACCTGCAGCCACTGCGAATGCCAGGACGTGAAGTTGGGTTTCACCTCCCAAGGGGGTGCCTCGGCTTCTCCCAAGGTCTGGACATCGTTCCATATTTTCAGTGGAATGGGTTGCCGTATGTTGCCGTTTATGAAAGAGCAGGGCCATCATTGTAGCATGTTTATCTCCCCATTTCGTTCCGAAGGTATGGATCCATCCCTATCTATTTTTTCTCAATTTCTCACGCTAATTTCGACGGACTTTGTTTTTTTTCACTTCTCCATATTTGTTGGGATTTTATTGTGGAAATCGCCATGGAAATTCCCCACGCCCCAGAGGGGCGAAACTTGAGCCACGGGCGATCAAAGGATTTACAGGCACCCAAATCCTGGGCCAAGTGCTCAAATGATGCCAGCACGAAGGCCAACTAATCAACAAAAAGTATTTATATAATATATAAATATGATGTTTCATATTTACCAACCAATGCGAATATCAAACCCAGAGATATTCGCAATCAACATCTGGATCTCTGCCCCGGCTTGATGTCTGTCTTTGCCAACAGAAACCTTCTGGTTGGTTCATGGAGCGGCTCAATGTGCTTGATTTGAAAAAATCATGCTATATCTTTAGTTGTCAAAACATGACAAAACATGACAAGTGTTTCTTTCCATATATCTCCAACATACTGTGGATGGTGGCGAAATCCTGCACCACCTTGGATGGTCGAAACCCCATAAATAGTGGGATAAACCAGCTATCAACTGAATCAACTGGTGCAGGATTTCTTCCATCCACCGTATGGTTAAACCACACCGTTCGGCAGGCGTCAGTTTGGGCGTGAGCTGCGGTGCGGCCTCACCCAGCGCCTGGCGATGTAGGGCAACCTTTTTTGGGACGTTGCAGGGAGGTCGTTTTCATTCAGCCATATTGTATAGATATGTATAGATGATGTATAGATGATGTATAGATGATGTATAGATGATGTATAGATGATGTATAGATGTGTATGTTTTATGTACATCTAAAGAATCTAAAGGTTGATGTATATAGCAGTATGTACATATGTGTTTCCATGAATTCATATGTATATACAGTCAGTGTAGTTGTATCGGCATGTGCCGCAACAAATATCAACTTGTCCTGAGGGCCCCACGATGAATAGATTCAACACTACACCAGGCTTTTTGTCATGCTAGTACTAGGGAAAAGGGATCAATCATGTTCAATCACCCTGAACCTAAGTTGTTCAACCAGTATTTTTGGGAGCGGACCAATGGGGAGATCATGCAGATGAATGGGTCAAAGTTGTGATTCTCTCCCGACAACTAGCTACAGCTATCCTCGCAAGATTGGACCCACTTTGAGGGCCAAATTTAAACACCCAACATATGGAACACACCTGCACTCCATCACAGTTGGCTCTTTTAGCTTCCTAACTTCTGCATCTCAACTTCATAGGTTCAAGCCGCTTCAGGCTTTGCCAGCCCACCTACAGGGCGCTGCTTTGATGAACAGTTGGGGAGGAGGTACCCGGAGATGCTGCTGAACAACCAGAAAGTCAAACTTCCAAGTGGTTGATGAGAGAATCAATTTCAAAAGGACATAAAAATATGTAATACAAAACAAATCTCCGCCAACTGGATCTAAATGGGTCAACGCTGGATTTTGAAGCTTGACAGGTGGCACGAAATGCTGACCCGATAACTTGGGTTCCCAGATCATATATGACATATTACGACATACCTATCTACACACAAGCATAGTATATACATGTATATACACAGTCTATGTGGACATATACATTTAATTATGCACATCTTTTTAATATACATACATATACACACGCCGTATGTATGTGCGCCGTATATCTATGTGTCCATCTTACTTAGCATTCTCCTCCCCAAACATCCGTTCCCACTGGGTCCCATATATGTCCCAACTAAGTTTTCGAGGTAAGTCCGTTGCTCAACAATCCGCTTAAAGAATCTGACTTCCAGACAGCATATTCCACTTGCAGCTTCACGAAGCTTCAACATGTACTGAGTTCAAACAGAAAAAACCATAGTTTCCTGAGTTTCCTGCACATGTTTCCTTTAAACCAACCCAATGATTGGATTGGCGGGAAAAAAGACTAATTAGGCTAAGGTTTTCAAGGGCGGACTCTGGACCCTTCCCTCTGGCCCTTAACAACTGACTGCCAAACTGCAACAGGAAACCAATATCTCCAATGCATTCAAACGCAATAAGACTGCCTCAACAGATTGTCTTTTTCGTAGTGAAAGTTTTCGATACTGAATTCCGACATGAAATTCGTCGCACAGCACCATCTCCATGGCTTTACTGGCACCTGATCATACTTTAGATGATGTTTTCCTCCGAAAATCTCAAGCCATGATCGCTTAATTCATACGATTCCCAATATATATATATAGGTATAACAGACTGATTCATATTATAGCCCCATTTAATTCCCCTTTCCCCTTGTTCCATGATTTTTGTTGATTACATCGACATCTTTTTTGGTGATGTCATATCTCATATCCACGCTATATCAAAAGAAAAACCTCCGCCAGCGCCATGGTGCATTTGTTGCAAGCAGTCCGGCTTGCATAGTTGTGATTGGCGCCTGGTGTTGCTCTGCCAAGCGCAGCAGTTTCTACCATGGTGAGAGTGGCTTCCAGAAAAAGACAACTTTAAAGTCTTTAAAGGAATAGAATAAATTGGTAATTCAAAAATGCGCACAGAAAATCAAGCATGCATTAAAAACATTTAAAAATTACAACAAAACACGAGAGCATGAAACCTGGCGTTTTTTGTCCTAAACCCAGCACTGGGGCCACCTTCAGAGGGGCTACCTTGAGCAAGCCCTGCTGGTTGGTGCTTTTGTGTGCTTTTGCTCCCCATGGTTTTCCCATTGGGATCCCAGGTAGGACCGGTAGGATGTACAAATCAAGATGGTAAAACATGTAAAAACCAGCAATCACATCACCCCAGTGTACCCAAGTAACGATCGAAAAAACGAATCCACATGCGTGGCATCCATCTGCGAAATAAGATGCCATAGATGCCATGAAACCCGTGACAGGGGATCACAAATTTATGCGCACGCCAAACGATTGAATATTTGACGGCGAAAAAATGTATCACACCTATAGGTTGCAGCAGTCTTCAATTTTGAGTCATACGAATGCCAACAATTTCATGGTGCCCCAAAAGCTACACTCCAGTAGTACAACCAGGCTAGGATGTCTGCACTTTCATGCGAAAGCAACCAGGTCCGAGTGACATGCGGGGCATTGCCAGTCTCCTTCTCGAAATTCCTGGAGGCGCACGGTGTGAATAAAACCTCAAGATCTCTTATCCCAAGCCTCTACACATATCGATGTATCTATGAATTTATATATATATATATAAGTATACACACATGTGTATATATATATATATCAACTCTGAATTGAGCCACAAGGAATCTCATCGTCGCCTCATCGATATGTTCTTTATGGGGAAACATACCTAAATGAGTCTCTCTGAAGTACCCAATTGGTACTTCCAAAATGGGAGCCCCGAGGCACTGCAATGAACGTGCAGAGGGGGAAAAGAAAACTGACAGTTGCTATGGTAGCAAAGCCAGGAGTAAGAGGCAGAAGGCCAACCAGACAACACGACGTTTGACGAGGGGAAGCTGGCTGCCCTGCCAAAAAAGACCCGAGCTAAGGTGGAAGGGTTCTAATCACGAAGCTGAACGGGAGAAAATCACGCCAATGTGAAACCGGCAGGCCGCATCATCGTCATTGGTCTCTATGGCTCTCCGGGCTGTGGGGTGTGATGAGAAACCAAATGTCAAAGTCGAAAAGGTCAAGGCTCGGCCAAGGATGGCACACTGTCAGAGGACTCAGCGAGCCGTCGGAGGACGGCCCGCGCGTTCTCACGTTGCAGGGCAACAGACAAAGCTTGGAAAAGTTGTTCGGCCCCATCACTCGCAGACATCCCAAGTCGAGAAGCGTGCAAAGCGCCCAGTTTTCGGAAGGTGGCAACGGCGGTCGGGCCCCCCCCGCCGCCGCAGGCTTCAACCACCAGCGGGATGAACTGTAAGCCTTGTCCAGCACACAGCTGGGCAGTATTGTGGTGGATCTTTTTTCGGATCTCGTAGTTTGCAGCTGCCGAAGCCCCGTCGCCAGCAGAGGTGGCCAACACTGAGCCCCGCATACCACTGGTGGCTGCAAGGTCCATGGCGGCAGGTCCATAGGCCCCCCAGTTGGGTAAGTACACATCTGCAGGTCTTCGCTGGGAAACGGAGGGCCGGCCGACCTCGCTGGCTCCAAGTTCCTCGGGTCGTTCCGGCAAAAGCCCCATCTTTTCAACCTCTGGGCTGAGCCCAGCAGCAGTGGCTTTGGCAACCAAAACTGTTCGAAGGCGGTTGTGACGTTTTGTACGGTCCCCACCGCACGGGCAAGCCCGTGCGTGATCTCCAAAGCGGTCCGCGATCCCGTCGCACAAGGGGCAATAGCCATCAGAGCTTGCAACAGGAATACGGAGCCGCAAACGGAGCAGTACCCGAAAAAAGGCAGGGTCCAAGTCAAGGCCAAGGGCCGGAGATGGGCGGGCCAACAGCCATGCCCCCGCTGCCGGCTGCTGGAGTAGTTGAAGGTGGGCTCGGCCACTGGCGTCCTCTGCAGTCACCAGCAGCTGCGCCAGTTGCGCTTTGTCTAAAGCAGCTGAGAGGGCTTGCTGGCGATGGGCTTGGTCACCACGGAAGCGATCTGCTTCCAGGACAACTGCATTGTAGGTTGCAGCAGTCGCAGAGGAAGTTGGCCAGTCCGGGTTGTACCGCCCATCTAAACCTCGACATGCTTCTTGCGTGGAAGCCACAGAAGCAAGGTAAGCAGCTGTAGCATGAACGGCGCATTGTCGAAGGCCCAGCCCCCCGTGCTTAACGCCCAAAGTCGCTTGTTGCCAGATCCGGTCTGGAACTGGGAAGCAGCCAATGGATTCGAGGCAGGCGCGCACTTTTCCATCGAAGGCCACAAGTGCTGCACTGTGGAGCCCAGCGGGGGTGGTGCGCATGTTGTGCACAAGTTTGGTGAAGGACGCGCAGTGCCGCAGCAATTGCAAACTGACTTGTGGGTTGTCAAGCTCGCCCAACGCGTCCAAAACCTTCCCAGCTTTCTGCACCTTGTCGGAAAGAGTGGCTTGGGTGCAGTACTCACTGTCTCCAATAGGGGCCCCAAGGAGGTCGAAAGCTGCTCCTTTCACAGCAAACCCGGCCGGGAACAAGGAAAAGTCAACGGCCGACCTGTTTCCGGCAACAGCAACCAATTCACATTTGGTTGGTTCCAGCACCAGGCCCGCAGCCGCAGCTGTAGTTTGGAGGGCAGCCAGAGAGGAAGCGACCACATCGGCCCGTCCAGCGATCACAACGTCATCCAGATAGGAAAAACAAAGCTCGACCGGGCACTGGGCTGCTTGCCGGAGGGCAGGTTGCAAAGCGGCTGAGAACAGCAAGGGTCCGAGAGGGTCGCCTTGTTGAACACCTTGTGAAGATTGCAGGGTGTGCTCCCCAAAGAGCAAGGCAGAAGAGCTGGTATAGCACCAATCAGCCCAACAGGCCAAGCCGGGAAAAGCTGCTCGAGTCTCAGACAAGATGGCCAACCGGTCAACGGAGTTGAAGGCATTCTTGAAGTCCACTTTGAGCAGCACCTTATTCACATCGGCTTGGTTACGATCCACCCATTGGCGAGTGGCATGGACAGCGGCTTCCCCGCCCAGGCGTGCCCCGACCCCAACCTGCAAGGGCCAAAAGTGGTTGACAGCGTCCTCCCGCACAGCTTGGCAAAGCACCTTGCTCACCAAGCGACGCAGAGTCTCGCCAACTGCAATGGGGCGTACGCCGCCCTGTTTCTTGGGGAGGGCGTGAAGGCGTGCGCCGGCTAAGTGGGGGGCCACAAGCGCAGGCGCCTCTCCACGCGCTAGCAGCTGACACAGAGCAACCAGGTGGGAAGCCACCTCATCGCCGTGAGCGGTGGACAGCGTTTCCTTCAGATGGTCTGCCCGGAGGCCGGAGGGTCCAGGAGCCGAAGCTCGGGAAAAGCTGCGCACTGCCCGGACAACGTTCTCTTTGGTCACTTCAGGCACTGCGGCCGGGCGGGCCGGCCCAAGCTGAGCCACGTCCGGAGGAGCAGCCTGGGGGTGTTGGGCGGCTAAAGCTTCCAATGTTGCCCGTGAAGGTGGCAGTGGAGGAGGCTCCGTCAAAGCAGCGCATGCTCGAGACAATTCGCCTTCTGCCGCCAGTGCGCAGCAGCGTGTATGCTGGGCAGCCAATTCCACGCCATCAGCTCTGGCGCGTGCCGGCCGGGGCTGCACTAACTCATCCCACAGCTCCATGCGTTCGCCAGCCAGCCACCGCTGGCAACGTCTGAGTGTGGAGAGCGCCGCTTGCTTGTGGTGCCGTCCGCCGCCTCGCAGAGGAGCTGCAAGAACAGCTTTAGGCAGCATAAGCAACTCTTGCCAGGCAGGCCCTGTGTTGGTAGTAGCCGCCGCAGCCACGGCACGAGCAAGGCATTGGGCCCAGGCCGCCCGGGCGACATGGGGGACATGTCGCAACGTGGGCGCGGTATGGCCCATGATGGTGCTGAAGCTGGGGAGGCCTGGGTCCTGGGCCGATGCGTGGCCGTGATTTGCAACGTGGTGGCGGCTGTGCGGCCTGCATCTGGGGTGGACGCCGTTGTATCGGCGGCCAACAAGGAGCCCGCAGACCGAGCACAAGTCAAGCCGGTGGGCCTGGAGATATTCCGCCGGTACAGCCCCAGTCAGCGTGCCGGAGCAGTGGTCATCCAAGTGGTGACGCATGCCTTCGTGGGAGGCCCAGCCAGAAGCCCGCATAGCATCTCCGTGGCCGCAGCCGGGAACAGGGCAAAAGCAGCGGACAGCGCCCCCTGGCTCGGCAACCCGGCGTCGGAGAGGGTGCCTGTCGCCGCCACTGTCAGGGCTGTGTGCGCGGCAACGTTGGATGGCCGGATGAAGCGGTGAGCCGGGTGCAGGAGGGCCAGGATGCCGGGCCTCACCCACCCGAACACCACGGTAGCCCCAAGTTCGGCGGAGAGGCCGTTTCCAAGCAGGAGATCCAAGCACCCGCCCCGCCCACATGGTGTTCAAGGCTGTGGTCAATCGGCGGCGGGTACGTCGCCCAATGGGGGCTGGCAGACTCTGACGATGAACGCCCCATGCCCAGGTCGGAGAAGTAGGCGCAGGGGCCCGGGGCGCCCAAGCGGCTTCGTTGTCTGTCCAGCCCGGCCCGGTGAGCAAGAGGCCCACGACGGAGAGGAGAACTCCGGGAGAGGGGGCCATGCGCCCCCTGAAGGCAGGCTGCTGTGTGACTGTCGCCCGGACGAGGCAGTGCACCAGAGGTCCTGAGACGTGGGACCGACGGCACGTCACCGGCGCAGTCACACAGCAGCAGCCCCCAGGGGCCCGGGGCAGAGATCGCATACATGTGTGCGTAGAATAGTTAAATAAATAAATGAATATATGAATAAATAATTGAATATAAATATTGAAATAAATTATATATATATAATACACTGACATATTCTGAAGATAGGGTACCCATGGGTACCCCGAAAACCAATGGCTAATCATGTTTTTTTCCCTATTTGATGGCCATTTGGGGGCAAAGAATCGGGTGCTGCCGATGATTGTGTGAAAATTGGTCACAACTGCCGGTAGCCAAGACGAAAAACTATGTACATATATATATATAGATAGATGGCATCATTGCTGACATTGTTGCCACTATCATTATATACTATCATATACATAAATATATATATATATATCCCAGCCTGATCAATGCCATCTGCTGGGCCAGATTCATAGTTTTCTGGCTCGTGCGGATTGACTCGCACGGTCTCAGCTTTCACCCTTGTCAGACGATGTTGCCGTAAAGCTAGTGTGCAACTTACTCTTCCACCAGTCAGCAGTCGTGGAGTATTACTGTTAGCATTATATATATATAAATAATATCTATGATTTCCATTGCCAGGTGAGATTACTAGGGGGTAACCCAACCCAAACAAGAACTGTCAGAGCTGTATGTGGCGACGTTCTGTCGACACTCTGAAGTCTTGGTTGAAATCGCACGTTAATGGATTAAATAATTAAATATGATTAACTCTCTAATTATTGGTGTAAAGTGTAAAGTGAGGAAAAAAGACAATGTTCGTCTCATTTTCCAGGTGAAATCCGAATGTTTCGCCCGTAAATTTCCATTTAAACTGCCCACATGTTGCGAAACGTTGCCCGCCAATTTTGCCCGCTGCAAGCGCTGCCTGTTTTCCAAAGCTTTTCGTTGGCGCCTGAGTGGCCTGCTCCTTCGGCATGCCACCTGGAGATTTTCACCAAAATTTCGTTGATGATGTGGTTTGAATTAATGTAATTAATTTTAAGGCCAATTTTTTATTGGATCTAATATCCTAGATCTAATTACTCAAAGATGTTCAAAGATTACGAAATTTACATGGATTGAAGGGAGAATCTACAGGAAACACAATGGTTTTTACGGGCAATTGAGCTGGATATAGGGAAAATTGGTTACCCATGGTTACCCAACCCAACAAAGATCTAATCTAATGAGCTTGGCATTTGCAGCATTTAAAATTCAAGACCTCGCCCCTGTCTACTACAGATCAAGAGACTGGGTCCAAAAACATGCAAAAAATGCCATTGCATCCATTGCCTACGATTTTAATGGTGATGCATTCCTTTCAGTTTTTACCGTATTGCGTTTGCACGGTGCATACAAGATCATACAAGTAGTTGTCTACTCTTGACTGGATGAAAATCGTGTACAGGCCCATGATTCGGAAGAATGATATCATGTACATCATGCACTATGCATATTAAATTATTAAACATTATAAAATACATGCGTCATTTATACAATGCATATGTACGACGAGTATAATAATAATAATATATGCATATATATATACACATATATCTCTGTGTGTGATGTGTTTATATACAGTATCTAAATCATGAGAAATCATATGAGGTCCATCAGAGAAACCGTGGTTTAGCATCGTGTTTTCTGTGAGGCCGCGGTGGCTCCAAATGCCCATATGCCACTGCTGGGGCAAGCCCACATGGAAGGAAACCACCCATGTAAAACCGGATTCAAAAAAAACACGCGCATTTTCCAATGTCACGTTTGTTGACCGGGGTACATCAGGTCTAAACTCACTTCATGATTTTTTGGGTGCCACTTTTCAGCCATACCCGTTGGGGTCATTTTGTTCCGTTCAACCATTTGCCGGCAATTGGTTTTTCAATTGTACGTAATGTTGTTTTAGCAAGGGATCCATTCCAGAAAGCTGCGAGTGTAATTAATCTTCCAGTTGCTACCCACATATATATATATATGTATTGCATTGCATATGGTTGGATGAGGTCGCAAGGGTCAACCCATGTCAGTCATCATAACGAAGTGCATGTTCTCGAAACCAACTTCCAAATATCACACAAATTCAACCTAAAACGGCCCATTTGTTACGTCACAAACACGTGAGTTGTCACCGGGCAGCATTTGTTGCACTGCATCTTGTCCGCATAGTTATGATTCGCGCAATTCAGGCAGATCCAATCGCCTTCTCGTAGACCAGCTTTGGAAATGCCTGGGTAAGTTCTATGCCCTGCACCCTTGGGAACTTTCTGAGTTATATGGGTGTGTCTGAAAATCGAGTACACCCCAAAAATTGCAATTTAGTAGGAAAATACGGAAAAATTATGATAATCCATCGGATTTTGGGGTGCCCTGTTTGAGGCTAAATCAGTATCAGAATTTAAGGACCCTTTGGGATGTGAGAATATGAGGGGATATCAATCATAGATAGTTACTGGGTGTGCCCTGTATAAAACCAACGTTTCATGGGCACACACACACACATATATATATGTGTGTGTGTGTGATTGGGGTGTATAATGTGGATATGAGTTCATCATCGTGGGACCCACAATCATGAAGAATCCCCACTAAGAGACCATGTGGTGGTATGGCAAATCATCCCGCTTGTCAAGGTATACGCCGTATACGCAATAACAAATCACACATGTGGGATAAAGTTTCATATCCCAGGAGGTAAGGGGGTTAATAACCACATGTTACCCCCACAGAGTCCACACATATACATACTGCATATATATATATAATTATTACTATCTATCTATATATAGTCCATATATATATATATATATGTGTGTATATATATATGTGTGTGTGTGGGCGTGCTATATATTGTGTGTGTATGATATATCTGCATATGCGTACATATTATGCACATGGGTTACACACCACAGTCATCCAAGCAGGTAAAAACATGTGAGCACACCAATCAGTACACAGGTGTGACCCCAAGTTGGAAGTTTTATCCATTAGCCATCAGCTGGCAGGTCTATGATTTCAGGTAAATCATCCTACATTTGAGGCGCTTCAGACCTGCATGAGGCCCAGGCAAGTCCCAACTTCAAAGAATCTGAGCCCCAGAAAAAACAAAAACTCCGATGGCTCTCGCCGCGCCAAGCAACGTGTCTCCTTGGGGATGCCACATTTGTTGCAGTTGGTTCTGTGCGGATAATTGTAGTTGGTGCAGGCTGGACACACCCACCCACCCGCACCTTTCCCGGCCGCCACCGGTGACATAGCTGCAGCTGCAACCTGGAGCGAAATTAAATTTGAAAGGCAAGTGGAGATCCATATCCCAGCTGTAGAGGGCTTTGCCCCAATTACTGACCCAATCCTGAATGTGAATGTTACACTTCCAATCATATCTCTAACCATCTGTTTTTGAGTTGATAGTTCACAGCTGTTCACAGGCTGCGGCCGTGGCAACGGGAGCATAGGCATTTTGCACCATTGCATTCCACTGCCCCTTCGGAATTTTACCTTGCTGGCCGTTGGAAGAGGTTGAGCGAAATCTCTCGTGCACCCTCTGTCACTCTCAAACATTGGGTTTTACATATTACTGTCTACAATTTAATGATATACATTATATATTGTATATCATTTAATGAGATGATCATGTATGTAATTATATGTGGGTACGGGTTTTAAAAACAATGGGACCAATATGTTGCACTTTGATCGAAATACTCATCATCCAACCTCCATAGGCTCAAGAAACTCATCAGGGAATATCTCTGTCTGTGGAGTTGGTTGAGACACTCGTTAAACCAGCGCACCTTAATACCTTACCTCTCAGGCCAAGCAAAAACAGTTCAACCAATCTTTACATATAATTTTTGTATTAAGCATCCTTTGTCAGGTTTTTTTTGCCAGATCGGCTATCCAGCTATCTCGTTACCCTCAACCAGATTTGCGGCCCCCTTTCGTAGGGCTCAGGTGGTTTTTTGGGGTGTCAAGCTGCATCGATTGCAAGCTGTTCGCAGAGGAGAATTCAAATTGTTGCATGCATGGCAGCTCTAGTTTTCAGCTCCTCAATATCTTTAAAATGAGAAAAATGTGCTTGCTTGGATGCACTTGCATGTGCATATGAACACTGCATTTCCACATACACGTGTCTGTATATACATATCTATACATATAATTAATCATATTTATCTATCTACCTATATGGGATCTAAGCTGTGACACAACTAGATTCAAGTCATGACATCAAGCTACATGTCATCCCAGTGAAATTGGATGCATCTAACTCAGGGGGCTCATGAGCAGCTGACCAGCTGCTGAGTCGCGGGATGTCATGAAAAACCTCCCAAATAACATATATATATATATACATATATATATATATAGTATATATATATACATCCACTCACAGAAATTCAAATGATTCGACTTCCACCGATATTTTCCGTTTCGAAACGGAGATGTCCATTTCCTATTGCCAGTTTCATCGATACCCCGTTCTCAAGGGCCTGCTAGTCCGTTGCCTTGCTAAGGATCATCCACCCCCCTCACCATTGCTTTACATGATATCAAGATGATTCAAGATGTATCAAGCAATTGGTTTGCGCAGATCCATTTGCTGATGTTGTCCTGGCATTTTTGCTTCTCCATTGTAACCTATCTCTCGCCATTTGTGTTTCCCACCTTGGCTGAGTTGCTTACCCATTGAACATCCATGGAAACCCAGCGGAATTGAACGTAATCAATTAAACTGAGCTGATTGAAACTTGGATGCCTCTCACAAAAAGGACACCTATTAAATCTATATGATTCCTTATGATTCCTTATGATTCCTTATAATTCCTTATAATTCCTTATGATTCCTTCATTTAGGGCAAAGAAACCATATCACCAGGCTTTTCCATGGGTTCTTCCATGGTAATTTACCCGTGGTTTACCCATCTCCACCAGGTCACCATTGAATCCATATGGAGACGCTCTCTGCACCGGAGCCACCGCCGCACCATAGCCCCCATAGCCGGGTGCGCCGGCTTCAACGTCCAAGGGCTTGGCCAGGCCACAGCGATTGCAGTTTTTCTTGTCCTCGGCGTTGGCCCGGCGTTGGCGGACTGTTTCGAAGGGTCATGATATAATGGGGATGTAGCTGGATGAGGATGAGGATGAGGATGCGGATGAGGATGAGGATGAGGATGATGACGGTTGTTTTCATTATTGTTATTATTATTATTACTGTTATCATCATTGTTATTATTATTGGTAGGTACTATTTTTTGATAGTATTATTGTTATTATGATTGTTATTATCACTGTGTGTCTCTTATTATTAATCATTATGATCATGATCATGATGATCTTGTTGTTGATGATGATCACGGAACACATTTCCTCCAAGTGTGGATTGAATTCCGGAGGCAGCTGGCCTGATTTCTGTGTGCTGTAGCAGCCACCTCGCAGCAATCCAACACAAGTCCTCCAGCCATACTATTGCTCAATCCATGCAACAATTCCGGTTAGTATGCACCCATATGCACCCCGATTTGTAGCAACCGTGATTCAGCATGATGAAAAAGATATAGAAACACATAGAAACGTACTAAATATGACTAAACCCACCATCCAAAATATGACCAGAGACTTTCAGTAAAATCTAACTGTGGCCCTTTCACTGTAGCTTCCACCATCATGGCACCCGACACTCCGAGGCGCTGCATAATTGTGGTTGCCACAGCTGGGACACATCCAGTCTCCAGGCCTCATACCCTGCGAGCTACCATTGATATTGGTGCAAGGTGATGTTTTTTTGGCAACCACCAAAAAAACGTGTGAAAAGTTGGAAAGGTGCAACATATATTGAAGTATGGGGGAAATATGTTCTAACTACCATCTTGGAAACACATTTCGGATCTTTCCGGCCTTTTTTGGGGGGTTGCGACAAATATGGGCGACCCCTAGGCATATTTACCGCAAGATCCAGCACACCCATTCTTTGACACGCAGATATAAACAGCACCTTAAAAAGTCCACTTTCAGCAAGCGATGTATGTGCATATGCGCCTATGTGATACTATGTGCATCTATGTGCCATGTCTGGCAACACATCCAGGAGCCTTTCCCCATGGCAGTCCACGCAGTCACCAAGTCACCCAAGTCACCCGGGAATTTGAGTGCCAAGCTGTCCAACTTAAAGACAAGATTTGCCCAAAACACATGGTTCTGGCATCCCAGCAAATCATGGCAGTTCCTTAAAGCTGAACTCACTCTATTGTGGGGTGGTTTCCATTTCTAAGCATCACTGGTTGGTGGTTGAGCCACCCCCTTGAAACCAACAACAGGTGAGTTTTTCATTCAAGTTTGCGCAGCACCATCTTCTACCACTCCGGGTGGTGTTGATATTTTTTTAGTGCCCCAATCTCAGATACCGTTCAAAATATGTGCATATATTTTTAAACAAATATGTGCCCAGTTGGGTATGCTGGGTCGTGACCGAATGTGAATGAACAGTCATGTATCATGAACATCATTAATAGACATTATATATACGGTATATACTAAAGATATATCATTATCATCCACAATATTCCTATATCTATTTATCCACCCATATACATATATATATATAATCACATATATATATATATATAATCACATATATATATGTGTGATTATATATATATATATTGTATGTATAAGCAGCATGGCCGCCCACCTTGACACCGGCGCCTTTCCCGGCAAAGCTGGGGGGATGCGACACGTCAGGGGGACGTGGAGCCCCGCACCTGCGCAGCCCAAAACGAAGGAACAGTAAAATCCCCACCTTTTTCTTGTGTTAAATGATATCTGTCTATCTTTTTGGGTACTTTATAGATGTATATATGTTATATCATGTTATATCTGTGAATGTGCTTTGATATGTTATGTTTAATGATTAATATATAATGATATATATATATATATTACTATTTTATATTTGTGTATTATATTATCATATTAATATGTTCATAGGGACGGGTCAACAAAAGCCTTCTATTTTTCACGTCAAAGTTGCTTGTGACACTATGGATGTTCAAGTTCATGCCCTAAAAACGCTATAGCTATTGGTCCATAGTGATCCCTGCCGTTCATTCCACCATTGTCGACCTACACAAGCACAGTTTCCCGACAATCCGTTAGCAAGCACTCGCCTAAGAAGAAGTGTCAAGGATCAGTGTGGGAACACCATGGAACAAATGCATAATCAGCGGAGGTCCTCAACCCATCACTTGCAGGACACCCAATCTTGATCAACTCAATCTCGATCAACTTTAAAACAAATTGTGAAGCACCCGCATTGCTCACAATGCATCCAGGATCGTGGCACACCCAGGAACCATCCAGTCGGAAGGTTTCGGTGATTCAAAAAATTGCCAGCACACAAGAAAGTAAACATTGAATTTCAGCTCACAATTCCTGACAGAACATTCTTAGATATTTTTCAATCATATTTTTCACGACACTCATCACTAAACGTTTTAAAAAGCAACTCAAATTTGTCCTACTCCGCAACTCAGGGCCGGCTCCGCGACTCGCCTGTTGCAATTGATCTTGTCCGCATAGTTGTGATTGTTGCACTCTGCACAGATCCAGTCTCCCGGGCGCATGGGACTGGGCGGCATGGCGGCACGGCACTCGGCACGGCACTCGGCACGGCACTCGGCACGGCACTGGGTTCCGCGGCTCGCAACTGAGCCCAAAAAACGGTTTGAGCGTCGCAGCGGAACCAGCCAAGAATCCGCAATTCTCGGGCATTCTTCCCTCTTTTTGGTGAGTTGATATCCCATATATATATATATATGTGATACATATATTTATATATATAACTATAATATAAGAGTGAAGGGAGAACCTATTTGACCATCATTTTCGGTGTCTGGATATGTAAATTGTCAAATAGCAAGTGCTAGTTGTCGCTTTCTGGGTGACCCCTCCAATACATGGGATCTACATCCTCATCTTGTTGGCTATATTACCACTGTTGGTCAACTCCATATTTCCTGTATGCTGACTCCAAGAGACAAGAGTATTCAATCGTGACTAACAGTGACAGCTGAAATATCTGAAATCCAATCAAACTGTTCGGGCATGCCTACATCCCAAAAAACTGAACTCTGCATCATTGTTTCGGGATGGAAGGTTCCAAAAAAGGCATTTATTTTCCGGATTCTTGGCCACTTACTACCCTTCAGCATATCTGATATGGAACACATTTGACAACCAATGGTTTCACTCGGACAATAATCATCCCATGTTAGTGGGCCCTGGGCAACGGGGTTGCACCCCCTCAGCTCCTCAGATCCCTGGTTTCGTCACGTGTGACATGTGCCTTGCTTCCCCGTGAGGGGCCCAGGCGCCGTAGGGTCAGGCAGTTTCCAACCATGGGGCCTTGGTCATCAGGGATGCGGTGCGGTATTTGGTGGAGCTCTGTGGAGATCTGCCTTTCCACAGTTACCCTACACCCTACATCACCCTACACTATCTACACTCCACACTCCAAAAATCTACAGTGCGCCCACACTCTACACTTGATACTCCACACTTTTCAGTACACTTCACGACAACCCTTCACTATGCATTCTGAAGAAAATTCTGGAACTGTGGCAATTGGGTGTCTTAATGTCTGGAACCGTGGAACTGCACTGCAAATCTTTAGCATTACCATCATTACCATCATTACTTGCTAGGCCCCTGCTGACACTTCAAATTCAAGTGGGACACACTAAACTGTCTAAGATATTGTAGAAAACTCTCAGGGTATGGCAGAACAACACTTAGAAAACTCCAACGAATGGTTTCAGTTTGTGTTCTAGGGCGTGATGTTTTGGAATTGCAAGACTGCGACTTCAATTGCATGACACCCCAAACCAAATGGAGCCATTTGGTAGTTCTGATATTTTCTGATGATTTGGGATGGTGGTTTCAGTCCGTCCAAGGACTTACATCACTATTCGCAGGGATGCAAGCAAGTAGTTGACTTTGAAACCACCAGCCACTTCTGAGCTAGATGTTCCAATCATGCATCTGTCACCCACTCCAGTAGACCCATCGAATTGCAAGAATCAAACCATACTATTCACACCAGCAGCCGGGTGCAAATTTTGCATCTCATCTATAAGTTATAAGTGTCAAGGCTTGCGATTGAACCGCCTGGGTTCATACGAGGTACGGTCATCATGATCCAACATAACCCAAACATCCCATCTTGTTCCACACGTCACCAGCTACAAATATCTATGGATGTTTCTCTGTGGCGTTTTTGCACTTCGGAGTAATAATGAAGATCCTCTGCATCATCAACTCACCTGGTGTATATTTCGAAATATTTCGACCCTCACTCACCTACAGTACGTAATCTTTTAGGCATTGACATTAAAAGAAGCATGCTAAATTCTTACAATCTTCAATAAAATCTCCAACTGTCACTGCCTACAGTACATTTCTGCTTTGAATCCCTCTTTTTGCATGTTGAATCCCTGCTCTTACCAGTCGACTTTTCGATTGGGATCATGGAAAAAACATGGGATCCACAATAACAAATCATCCCCGATAGTAATGATAGTAGTGGCTTAAAAAGCTGGCTGTGCCTGGATTCTTGGCATACATACTTTGATAGCCCCCCTACTATGGCTATGTTTTGGGAGGCTGGTGTAATCTATGCAGCCAGCAGTGGCTCTGTCTAAAAGAAAAGGGAACCCCGATATGATGTGTTCTCCTCATGTCTTTGGCAAAATTGCAATTGAAGTCTCCCCCATTTTAGACAGACCAAAATATATCATAATGTTGGTCATATGTATAGATACTGTATAGATATTTCTTTTCTGCATACAATATATGAATGATTATACATCCCCATTTAGTGGTTAAGGGCACCGCCCATTTTCCTTGGGCCGCCAGACTCAGGAAGAAGACATCTGGACTGGGCGTATTCAAACCTGGGCGATGGGGAAAGGGGTGAGGACGTGAGGAGTTTAAGCATTGTTAAGCAATCCAAGATTCAAAAGTTGGATTTGACTCTAAAAAAGTGACAATTGTGGATTTTAGGACACAAACATGTGGATTTCACGACTTCACGAAAACGGTAATGATTTCATCAACTCCGGGTTTAACTATCACCAAGAGAAACATATAGAAAGATAGATGTCAGCAAAAAACTAGAGATCTAACACCCGAACATGCTGATTAAAGCAGGAAATGTGGATGTTGAGTCGCTGATGCCTATGAGGTTGCACTTTTGGAACACAGTAAGTGCCATTATGATTCATGCCTAATGGAGCAGCTTCAGCCTTAGATACCCTCATTGGCACTAGGTATTCCCATGTATTTGTGGCAAACAAATCCGTGCGGTGATGTTTAGATATGTTTAGCACTGGTAAAATGGGGCGTTCCACATGGGTAGATTGGGCCTCTGGTTTCTTGGATTCATCCTGTTTGATGAACTAGGGGTGGGTTAACACATTCTTGAAGTGTGCATCGAAGAAATTTAAGAGATCCTCAATCTATCATGTTTCCCAAATGTGTAAGTTTTACATATACCTTCTTGCAGTCAAACATGACTAGCTGGAAGGTCCAACATTTAGTTTGATATAGTTTGATCATTTTCCCAGCTAAAATCCTCCATTCATAGAGATTTTTGGGCTTTGTTTCAGGTTTTCTATACCACATGATCAACTTCCCGCGAACGGCTCCGCCCCACCACGCGGCCAGCTGTTTGTTTCTCTTTTTGGTCCGCCTTGGGCGGACACACTCAGGATGCAAATTGCAAGCCTGGGCGGAAAACCACAAGAAAATCCCATTGAATCCATAAATCAAACGATAAACAAGAAGGGGTGGCGGTTTGTTCATCCTAACTTAACATTACTGTAGATTTTATTGATGTCCAAACCTTTATCTTGTTTGAAATAAATTGGATATTCATGGATATTCAATGTTGGGATAAGAAGGTGAAACATATGTTCTGAAGTGTCCTTGATTTGCTCTTTCTTTTCCGACTATTTGCTGAGACATGTTCAAACAAGCAGCCGAAGAATATTTTTGGCTAACTGGTTGGTGTATATCCCTACGTATGGTTTTTAAACGGTGAGTTTGTATTTCAAAAGTACCCGTCACCATTTGATGCCCCTGATTTTCCATGGATAATTGGATGTTCTTCGTTGAACCGTTTAGTTACCAAAAAAAGATAAAAAAAGAACATTGGACTTCTGGTCAACTTCCAGTGACTAACCAAGCGCCACAAAAGCGCCTTCAGAGACAGCCGAGCGCATCTAACTCTTTGGCCACATGGGAGCAATCTTCCAGCAGCTCGGGACTTGACTCAGCCAGGCCCAGCTTGTAGGACGCCATTCCTGGGATGTCGAAAAACATGCTTGGAAAAATATGGAAATTCTTAGAGCGCAATTCCTGATGCAATGTTTGGTAAAATTGTCGGTATAGTTTTTGGCCACGTTTCACATCTGCTCACTTTCTGAATGAAAATCCTGATGGCATACTTTGACAGTAGCTCCACAGGGAGGCACAAACGCAGCCCATAGATTGTTTCTTTTAACTTTTGATCCATGTTGTGGATCTGTAGGCACATGAACCTATCTGTTTTGGAGCTGAAGAGCCAAAGAAGTCGAAGTCTGCTGTTAAACGCCCGAACTGGGGCACAGATATTTCAAGACATCAAGATGTTGTTTCCTACAGGGGTCTAGATATGTCAAGATTGGGTGTCTGCATGTATCCGGTGCTTCGTCGTATTTTTCAAACCTAAAATGAGTCAGTCTCCAGGTTTTCTAAAAAAAAAACATATGAGCTACTCCTGACTCAGGTGATTTGGGGGACGGTTTATCATTGTTTTATCGACATGAATATATTATATATATATATATACCTGGTTGGTGATTTCAACCCCCTGAAAAATATGAGTCAATGGGAAAGATTATCCCATATATTATGGAAAATAAAAAATGTTCCAAACCACCAAGCAGATAGATATTATACTACCTCAAATGACAAGGGATTGTGTCTAATACATTCCAATACGCTGATGATCATGGTCAGGATTCCGCTGGAGATTCGTCAATTCACCCAGGGGGTTTTAAACCACCTGCTTCCATTCCACAGAGACTGCCATCAAATCACTTGGTACCCTCTGGTAAACTAACATAGCTATGGAAAATCACCATTCTCAATGGGTAAATCCACTATAAATGGTCATGTTCAATAGCTATGTTAAATTACCAGAGGGTAACAAATGAAAAGATGTGTTCCAAATCTGTTTCCCATGTAAAAACCCTGCGCTAATACACATATAATATCATATAATTTGGGTAAAACCATGCCATTTTTACCAGCCATGATTGGGAATGGTAACCATACCACCTATAAAAATGGTGATTTGGGATGATTTGGGGAATCGTTTATGGCATTTTTTTTATCCACATTACATCAATTTCTATACATTCCTAAACTGGTTGGTGGTTTCAGCCCCTCTGAAAAATATGAAAGTTAGATGGGGTGATTATTCCCAATATATGGAAAAATCATGAAAAATCAAATTCATGTTCCAAACCACCAGCCAGTAAACTATACCATTATATATTTATCAAACATCATCCACCGGCAGGTGTCTGCGATAGGCGATGCTGGCATTCTCAAAGATGGGCAAAAAGCGCGGGGCGATGGAGATCCATGACTCTCGGCTCATCGCCGCCTCCGAGGACTGACTCAACCTACCCCCCTAACCGTCTGCCACCATCTGTCGTGATTGTGATTGTTAGTGTTACTACGAAAATCTAACATTCAATCACCCTAGACCTTGGTTGAGTATTGAATCTACTAATTAATATCTATTGATCTTATTTCATCTGTGGGTCTCTTATTTGCGGTGCTTAATGCTGGGAAGATGGGATTTTAAAGCCACAAAGTGGAGAGTACAGTGATCCGACAAGTGTTCTTGATATATCTTGCAATCGTATATTAAATTTGCGCAAGGATCACCCCCCAAGATCTTCCGAGCCTAACCAGAGCCAAGCCAAGAGAATCCTCCACACAAACTTGGGATTTGGTTCCGAAAGTTGCACTAAAATCATGGTAAACCCGTGGGTTTCTGAGGTCCTATTTTGAGTCACGAATCCAGAAAGGGTGAGTGTTTGAAAATGGGATATATATATATATATAATGTAATTATTATATATATACATAAATATTTTGAGATATTTACATAGATTTACCCTATATGAGGCCATTCCTCGGCCAACGTCCTTGCCATTTTTCAGCATCGCCTGGTGCAATGCCAGTTGCTTCCCATCCAGCGACCCCAAAACGTCCACGTCTCCCAAACCGGCAGCCGCGATGAAGTGGCGAAGGTACGCTGCAAAGCTGTCATCGTCCTCGGCCGCGTCATGAGCCCAGCTCCCCAGTGTGCCCAGTCATGTGATGATATGCATGCCATACATGCAGTATTTCCGAAATATATAACATTGAAACAAAAAATGAACACACACATGTATAATTGTATATATATATGTATGTATATATATAATACACATATCTAGACATGCTAGTAAGATATAGTAAGATATGATATTTATATATAGACTCCAAAGCCGACTTGGCCCAAGTTCAAAAGCTTCCCCGAATTGATAGAACCAACTTGATATCCAGGACTACGTCCAAAAAAGTAACCCGTAAAGAGAAAGAAAAAACATTCTTCAATATACAAATGAGACCGAATGTTATACAATGGTGGAGGTTGGAGATGGTAGATTGAACCTTTGAATTTGATATACCAGGCTTTCGTTGTATGTTGCCGGGTTTGGTGTCACACCTAGATCCATCCTAGCCAACAGTCGTTGTTTTTTTCTTGTTGGTTTTAGTGTATCAAATGTATATATATATAGAAAACAGATATATATTAATATACAGTTATTTTATTATGAATTTATGTTTATATGCAAGTATAAATAGAACAAATGTATTGCATAGATATAATATAAGTATCAGTATAACATAGAAAGAGACGAACAGACAAACAAACAGCTAGCCAGCCATCTAATGGAGGGACAGACTGACGGACACAGAGAGGACAGATAGACAGGACAGATAGACAGATAAATAGAGAGATAGAGAGATAGAGAGCGAGAGAGGTAGAGAGATAGATAAGATGGATAAGATAGATAAGATAAGATGGATAAAATAGATAAGATAAACAGGATAAGATACAGTGAGATGGGATGAGGCGGGATGAGACCACATGATAAGAAAAAACCGGATACGGCGAGATACGATACAGAAAGGTAGAATCAGATGTGAGAAGATAGGATGAGAGAGCATGATAGGACAAGATAAGATCAGATAGGATATGATAAGAAGGGATACAAAAGGATAAGAGAGCATGAAACAAGATGAGATAGGATGAGATGGGATAAGATAGGATAAGAGTTGATACATAAAATAAGAAGGGATGATATTTGCTAATTAAGATAAAATAAGATTAGATGAAAATTGATATTTAAGTTGATAGATAGATAGGCAGACAGACAAACAAACGAATAGATATATAGATAGACAAATGGACACAACTGGGACAAACATAACATGTATATTAAAGGTTAAAGCGCATATATTTGCATGTTACGTCAAAATTTGATTTGACATGATTTTACAAGAACCTATCGTTTTTGGGGATTGCAATGCTACCCAAAAAACCATTGCAAGGTGGTACCCCAGCCCCCGCAGTCAGGAGATTTCCCAAACTGGCGGGGATTGGTACCCATGATCATTGGAATAGGCAAACACGGAGAAATATTTGATTTACAGCTCATAACATCCTATAACTATGGACTGTTAGCTAGTTCTATATAGATTTGAAGGGAAAACCGGTTTAAATGAAGGTTTACACAAATGGGGGTACAGCTATTCATCATCCATTTTTTATAGGGTTGTCCATGAACTAAACCATCCAGCTACTGGGGTACCGAGGCACCGTCAGGCACCAATCCTCCAAGCTGAAGGGCCGCCAATGAGCCGTCGCTGCCGGCAGCAATGGCGGCCCGTTGAAGCAGTTCTGGATGCTCAGGGTGACCTGAAATTTGGTTTGGTCCCAGGAAAACGGGTGGAAAATCATGGAAAATCTACCCTCTGGTTATGTCAAAATAGCTATTGAAAATGGCCATTTATAGTGGATTTTCCCATTAAAAATTGTGATTTTCCATAGTTATGTTAGTTTACCAGAGGGTATGCTGAATCCTCCAAATTCCTGGGTTCCTGGTGATGTCAGCAATTCGGGGGTGCTCATGTCGCGCCATCAAGGGCAATCAACAAACCGATGATTCGCTGGTTTGGAGCCTGGGATTCTGCCAAGAATGGCGCCCGAGGATTTCAACCAATTGACCTGTCCCATACAGTCGTGGTTGGTTAGGTATTCCAGTTCCCACATGTTCCCACGATTTCCATCCATTTCCAACCGTGTTCTATCAAATCTACGGTACCCACCATCACCAGCATGGGATAACAATGGAATTGAAATGGCTCTGGAGACCTCTGGAGTCCCTGGAAAAATCTTGGCGAGGTCGGCAAATGTAACCTCTTCCCTCAAACAGCCCTTCTTTTGGCAAACTTCATCGCCATCTGCCAGCTGAGTGACATAGAACGTCTCCGCACGTGCCGCCGCTTGACCTGTTCCCCCCGTCAGCTGTCAGCTAATCTGAAAGTTTGCCATGAAAAATGGCCGTGAAATTTCATGGAAATCAAAGGTCGGTCATCTACAAATGGGGCATTTTCCATGGTAATTGCAGGAATTGCATGTTTGAAGCCCTGGGTAGATGAATACTGGGCTTGCGATGCCAAGCCCAATCATACCCCATGTATATCCCAGCATACCGCCATGTGATTATGACAGAGCACGGCATAGCACACGCCAAGAACTCGTGGAAATCTAAAAAGTATGTGTGTGATTATTCCCATCAATGACATATTGTCATGTTGATGGTCAAATCATGTCAAATCCCCCTTCCCCCTAGGTGGTTTTTTTCCATACTTGGCGAAGTTAGTTCATAACTAAAACGGTAAAAAACAATGGTTGAGATACCTATAGTATACTAGTATACTACAGTTTGTGTACCGCCCATTCGCTGTATTGGTGGGCACGAGAAGGGCACCAGAAAAAGCACGAGAAAAAGTGAAAAAAAAAACAAGTTCCATTTCCATGGTTTTAGTATAGTCTATACTATGGTTGGTTATACTATGGTTATACTACAGTAAATAGGTAAAAGCTATGGTTTTACTGGGCTGAAAATAACTGCCACAGAGACCACCACCACCAAGGATCTCTCCGAGAAGAGCCAGGTAAACCAGGGCTGCAGGCAGCGCGAGAGCGACGCCCGAAGCAGGTGTCTCATGCGGAACCTTTTCTGGCGAGAAATGGATAAAACATGGGGGAAATCATGGGAAATCATCTGTTTCATGGTTACTTAAGATAGCGAACTGGAAAATCTCCACTTTTAATAGGTCAATCACCATAAATCATCTATAAAGGGGCCATGTTCCATAGCTATATTAAGTAACCCAAGGGCACATCTTTTTCAAACAGGGAAATACATGGAAATCATCTATATAAATGGTGGTGTTACGGGTAAAATCATCACAAACATGGAGTTAACAGCATACGGGGATACAATGGGATAATAACTAGAGAAGCAGCAAACAGCATATATATATACATTATATAATAATATATATATATATATAATTAGGTTTCAGCCAACATAGCTAGCAAACATGAATCATCAGAAGTTGGATGGGGTCTTTGGGATCATGTCGGTTTGAATGATGCTTCAAGTTATCTACCATCCTCCGTGGCTTTTCCAAGTGGAGGCCATATGTGATGTCACTTGATATGTACACATATGTACACCCTATATCACCCTGTCTAGGATCCGGTCTTTTGACATGGCAATACCAATGACTCCATCACCAGGGAAGCACATCACCCTGGTCCGGCAACTGCAAGGGCGTCACAGGCACCAAGCGAAGAAAGGTCACGAGCCTCGGATCATCCAATCGGGCCCCGCTTCCACCATCGAGTCTATCGAGTTGTGGGAAATGCTGCGCCAAACTTCGCCTGGATCTTTGTCCAAGCCAATACTAAGCTAATCTAAGCTGTAAAATGCTAAACATACTAAACTAATACTGAACCCAGGTGTTGTTATTTTGAGAAGAATCTTCCGGAGATATCCCAAAATATCCCAAACACCTGGGCTTCCAGTGAAATTTCATTGCTTTTCCCCCATCTTCTCAGTGCGAGCCAGAGTGGCATCTGCGACTCGTCCGATGGATGTGGTGAAGCCACCTCGTTTTGCGCTGATGATCCAAGAGATGAAGATCTATTTTGGGTCATCTATCACTGCTTCAAACACCCAAAGCTTAAGAATTAATGAACATTGGATCTAAATTAATTATGTGTAACTGACATATTGGGGCGATCTTTTGGATCTATTTTTATATAATATGTTCTTCTCGCCGGGAAATTGGATGTTGGCAATTAGGGCTGGATAAATTGTCGTAGTTCACCGTCTTGAAAACTTCGGCTATTTTGGGAAAGCTGCCCCTATGAACTAGTAGCTATGATTCCAGGGACTTCGCGAGGTGAGGTCGGTTGGTGTAGCTTATCCAACGATAGCATTACAATGTCCACATGGTTGATTGATTGATCACCCCTTATCACCAGCCTGGTTGCACTACTATAACCCCTAAGAAGATGCTGAAAAGTGTTTCCGGGATGAGTAGATGATATTGATCTGAGTCTGATATTTTCAGGTTTCCAACTGTTCTATCTATTTTGGGATGGCTCTAGATATCACCATTCCCAGTTCTTTTTGTAGAAATATGACCCCTTATGATCCATCTCAGCTAGCTAGATTCCTCTTGAGCCGTGCAGTGGTGACAGCCGGACCCCTGCCATTGTATTGTCATGAAGTATTGGAAAGCCGCAAAAAATCAAATATAAAAAGTCATGGTTCACCATTCTAGTGGTAAGTTTCCATCTTTTGGGGTGTTGCGATACAGACAATTAACTCACTCATATATGAAAAACCCGCGGTTTCCATAGGAAATGATCTATAAACACCTATAACGTGGCTAAAGCACTGGTAAAACACTGGTAAACCATCCCCAAAATCACCACGGTGGTATAAACATCTATAAACCATCACTATATATGGGGTGGTTTATTCTTGCTTTACTGCAACCTTTTTGTGGATAAATTCACGGTGCCGTTTTCCATCGCCTGTGCGCAGTCCAGATAGATCGACATCTCCGAAGTGAAGACCTTTTTCTCTGCGGAACCAGATGGAAGTTTCAGTTGGGCAAATTGAAGCCGTTGGGATTTTAGAGTAATACTAGAGTAATATACTGGATATACTGAGATGTGCTCAATGGTTTTCAATTGGAGCGCATGAGTTTTTGCTGTTCGTGACTGCGTATACGGCGTATACTGTTGAAGTGCCACTTGGGATCATCCGATGGAGTTCGGCAACTCCTTCAGTGGATGGATCATCTAAATTTATCCAAAACATTAAAAAAAAAAAACACGTATTAAAACATAGGAAAAAAAAAACCTGAGTGTGAGTTTTGCATGCATGTTCGCAGAAAGCGATGGTAAAGGGCTAGCATCCATCTTGCAAATCACAAATCACAGTGGCGGGATGTCGGGCAATCAGCCATCATGCCATCAGCCATCATCACTGCAAGCTGTTTTGGTGTGAAAACTGGGGTACTCTTCGGCAAAGTCATATCTTTGATCCACCCTCACCATCCCTCACCTATCCTGAAATTTCTTTTCTTGATGTTTTTTGGCTGAAGATCCATGTTCCGATCTACGGCACATTAGCATTGAAGCACCCTAGATCCATTTGCTTGATGATTTCTTAAATCCCCAACAAAGTTTGGTTTGAATATTGTGTATATATATTTTATATATATATATACATACGCGCAAAAGTCATCAAAATTCATCAGAATTCCCAGAATCTCCTACTTCCACATTTCCCCCTGTCCCCCCTGGGTCCCAAATGGTGCCTGTGTGGAGCAAGTGGCCTGTGGAAAGGCTCTGCGGACCAGCCATCGGCCATGATGTGGCTCCAACCACCGATCCACCTCCGGCAAATGGGCGGCCAACACCTGCTCGTTGGAGCCGGGGACCGCATCGTTTTTTTTCCCTCCACATCTCACTTGATGACAGCAGACTGGTGGAAAGTTCATGTAACTTCATGTAAGTTCTGTATGCTTTTTTTTTCCGGCCAAAGCCATCAAATGTCACAGCTGATCTCGTACGATCTTTATGTGTATTCTGAATGCACATGTAGGGTATTGTAGGGTTCTACAACTGTATGCAGCCCCCAAAGGAGAAGTGGAAGCTCTTAAAGAAACCAATTATTCCCCATCCAGACCCAGTGTTGGGACTGCTCTTAATTATGTGCTTCAAAGCGTAAGGCAAGGACCTATTGCTCTATTCAAAACTGCGTCAAAACATATCAAACCTAACACCCAAACAATTTCTGAAGAAGGTTACTGAATCACAATTCTTGCGATGTTACCTAGATTCAAGGACCTTTCTGAGTTGTCTCTTGCAAAAGGCACCACCACCCTTTATTGCAGCTTTGTACCTTAGAAAGCAATCAAAAGAATGCCAATATTCACAGGAAACAAAACATGGAACGCACACGGACAGGAAAGAAAGGAAGAAAGGAAGGAAGAAAAGACAGAAAGGAAGGGCTAGGAAAAGGATGGAAAAGGAGGGAGAGAAGAACGAAGGACAAAGAACGACAAGAGCGAAAGAAAGCGAAACGTCATCCAATGTTCACAAAATTGGAAACACGGATCGTTTCTCTCATCCATGAGGATTTCAATAGATTGCAGGAAGTGATTAGAGAACGTAAATGTGATTCATGTGATTTAAGATTCTCATTTAGACTCCTGACCCTTTCTTCCTGCTAAGGTTTTTATTGTTTTTTTGGGGGATTCTACGTTATGCAACAGGCAGAGTCAGGCAGGAATGGTTTGGCATTGTTGTAGTCCCTTCACCTGAGTAATGTCAACCCGGGGATGAGTAAACTGAGTAAACCCTGGATGGTTGATGACAAGGTACAAGTACCCCCCAAATGGTGATAATATGTGATCATCTGCTACTAGAATTTCATGCCCCTTGAGATGAGTAGTGAACGGCCTTGGACAATTTTTTGGGGAAGTCTTTTCTCAAAATTGCCTATTCTGAGGAAACAAGAACTATTCCAAACACCGTCCCTCCAAAGCAGTCGTGCATCTTACAACCAATTCTTGTCCCGAAAGCCATCCCAGGGCTTCCAATAAGGATCTCCAGCAAGAAACTTGTTGGAGGAGCCCATGAACAAACCACCTACGAAATTGTGCCATTTTGATCCAATTTGGCCATCGTAGTAGGAAAACATAAGAATACGCAAGTCATTCAGAGCTTTCTTAGATTGCAGACTGGTCTTGAACAGCGTCCTGACCCATTCTTGCGGGCATGTAGTTGGTTTGTTTCCTTAAAAATAAAATTTGCCAAACAACAAGCCTGTGAGGGGGGATCAACAGGAATCACGCACAGTAATAAATCCAGACTATTCTAGTCTCACCTTGAACCACCACCCTTGTTTCCCCAACCTCTGACCATTAGGCCCGTCTAGTTATAGTTACAATCAATCTAGTTTTACTATGTTCTACTTATATAATGTACATAAACCACTGCTGTAGGGGATGTTCCACCGCAACTTGTAGGCTCAAAATGGCTAAAAATGGCCTCAAAATCGCATCGTTGAGGATCCTCGAGCCCCGGGAGCCCCGGCCTGGAACCACAACTTCTCCTTCTCCACCCGCAGTTCCACCGTCACCGCGCCATTCCGCGGCACGGCTGCACAGCGCGCCACGAAAATCTGCGAGGGATCTGCCACCGTTCCGTCCACACCAAGGGCCTCTGGCAGGGCGAAAAACCTCAGTCGTGATACCATGCAGTTACCATGCATGCCAAGATATTGCTGAACCTACAGGTGTTGAACATGGTGGAACTAAGGTTCCATGTGCGTAAATGTCCCGTTTGTTGGAACTTTGAAACCGGGTCCACTTTCGAAGTCCTTCATCCGGACTTGATGCAGTGGTCAAAAGTCTGCAAAGAGCTGGGTAGCGGTGACTGAAGGAGTTGTAGTCGATCGAGTGCATCAACCATGTAAAACTATGTAAAACTCATTGTTTTTGCCAATTTGGGCTGGTTAAAAACACATTTCCATCCATGATTATGTCTCTGTCAAAACTTATCCTCAAAACCATAAGTTCCTAAATCATCCTTAATCCAAATTACAAAAACGCGTTATGTCATTATAGTTCATTGGGGTTTACCTAGAAATGGCATAAACCAAAACCTCCGGTGCTGTGTTTTCGCCAGGGCTTCTCAGAAGACTTGTCCTACCACACTGCCCGCACCTTCGCGCCGGCCAGGGTTTCTGACACAAAAAGGATTGACAGCCACCAGTTCATGGCAATTCTAAGTAATGTAAACCCCGGATTAATAAACCATAGTTTATCCTTGTTTATTAATTAGGGGGTACTCCTCCAATAGTCAAAATCTGATACTTAAATGCTACCCTCCCAATTAAACAGCCGTTTGGGGTTTATTAATCCAGGGTTGACATTAACTCAGCGTGGCACGTTTGGGCGAGGCTGTTGTGGAGCTTTAAGGGAAGCTGCAGCCGCACTAGGGAGCTCGTGGCGCCTTCCGGTTGGCGCAAAATGGGGGAAATCCATGAGGCTTTTCATGGAAAATTCATCTATAAAAATGGTGTTTAATTATTTTAATATGGGTTTCATAGGGATAAGAATGGAATGGAATATGAATGGCACATTCATGGGATATCAATGGCCATCATGCATTTTTTCACCAGGAGATCCCCCTTTCTCCAGGATCTTCCTGCACCAAAACCCATCCAAAACCCATAAATGATGTCCCAAATTCCGTTGATTTTTTCTTGAAGCGTCCCGGAGCGTCCCCCCACGAAAACCAGCTATCTTGGTGAGAATAAACAGCGGTGCTTCTATGTTTCCTAAATAGGACAATATTGTTGATGGGAATATAATGGTTGGAAATATCATAGGATATCATGGGAATACACTGGTGGGAATTGGCAAGATACAGCAAGCATCAGTAAGCCCCAAGAAGATAGCAAAAGTGACACGTCTCTATTTATTCTATTTCGGGATTGGATTTTACTTTCTATCTTTTTGGGGGTTGCTATATGGGATGATATAATATGATATAATGATAATATGAACAGCAATATGTTGTGTGTGCGCGCGCGAAAAAAGGGCACGCGATGTGAAGGACAAATGATTTTTTGGCATTTCCCGGTGACAAAGCCGTTAAAGCCATCCTAAACCCATGGTCCAATGGTTGTTTCAATACTTAAAGTATTAATAAATTGGATGATATAGGCGAACCCCAATTTAGGAAATCGAAACATACATAGTTGATGGATAATAATGTGGATGTGACCATCAAGAATTGGAATCTATAGAAAGCACATATCAGATACAAATTGACATGAACCCATCAAGTGGTGATTTGAAAGGGATTTAGTTGGCTTTACCCAGCAAAAAGGTTGATATCTAGTAGGGTTTAGCCAGTAGAAATTGGTTTGATCCCATCCCCCAGGACCCCAGGACCCCAGGACATTGATCAGGCACTTGAAGATGGCTCCACTCAAGACATAGCACCCTCCGTCGTCCCAGGCCAACTTTCCAAACCCACCTGTTCCCTGCATGGTATAGTCAAGAATTTCAACCATGCCGACAGAAATGCCCAAATCTATCCAAATCTAGTCTAATTAGTCTCAAAGAGACCATGCATGGAGCATATCAGAGAACTCTAAGGTTTTTTTCCCCCTCAGCAATGCCATACTGAGTCTCTATTTAGCTCAGCTAACACGGAGCCTTTGTCCGTGACTCACCCGCTCGGTGCGCTTGGTGCGGGCCCCACATCACGACACCTCGCAGCCAACGCCAGGATCAGCTCCGAAAACGTGGAAATCATCTCCTGATTTCAGGCGTTTGCCTGGCTGATTGGGCCCCAGCTTGGCCCCAACCATCCAGAAATGATCGTTCAACATTTTTCAACATGAAGGAAAATATGAATTCATCCAATCATCCAATTCTACACAAAAGAAATTAGTCAATTGATCCCCAATAATCAAATTCGTTAAGGACTGGAAAGAAACAAACAGGTCATTTGCGGCCTAAACATTCCGTTGTGTAGCCTATTATCCATCCTTCATCATGTCTGGCTATCAATGGGCAACCAAACATCAAACATCAAAACCACATGTGTCCTTCACACCCTCACCAGGCGATGATCCAAGCCATTTGAAGTCCACGTCCATTTCCAGGCGAAGATTGTAATCCTGACAGGCTAAACATGGCTAAACCAAAGCATATGTTCTCTGCGTTCAAATATGGGCTATCATTTTGCCCCAGAAAAATCTGGGGTACCCATCTTTGATTTCCTATCCGTTTCAATCTCTTAAATCTGCTCAATGAAGGAAAAATGCAGCCACAGAGTCGGTAATTTGACCTATTGTGATGGACAAAGAATCAAAATATCCCTTCCTATGTTCGATTCTAAATCTGGGCAATATGTGGCAATATCTCCCAAACTTGGGAAGTTTAACTTCCCTTGACAGTTCTCTCCCGAAACGCTCCAAATTCCCACGGTTTAAAGGGCTTGGCCCTATGGCCGAGTTTGGGACCGGTGATAATGGCCCCGTCCTGGGACACATAGATGTGCGCAAAGGGTGTCAGCGAGTTCCACTGGTTGGCGAAGATCAAGGCGTCCCCAGGCTGAAGGGCAGAGGGTCTCCGGAAAGCACTTTGGAGGCTAAAGTACTCCTGGGATGAGCACGGGGCCATGGGAGATTCGCCCAAAATATGTTGCACCTATAAGCATCTATAGCCAATAAACATGAGCAAATGACTGGGGAAAATTGGGTCAACCAACTGGTGAAGGGTCCATTAACGAGTCGTTTTTTCTGGCATCTAAATATGGGAACATTGTAAATCACATCTCTACTAACTATATATAAACATACACAAATATGTATATATATATCTCTCTCTGTGCGCGTGTGTATGCATCTATGTCTGTATGTAATTATGTATGTATGTATGTATGTATGCATGCATGCATGCATGCATGAATGATACCATGATACCATGATGCCTCTCGAAGAATTGTCTCCATTGTCTCTGTTTGCAAGGTAACTTTGGCCATCACTTGGGAAGGTCCAAAAATTGTCAACCCACCTGAGGGGAAATGATCCCTAAACCCAAAGTCGTCACCCCACATCATCCCATCGTGGAACAGAAAATCAGACAGATACAACAAGATACAAAAATAATCAAAAATATAAGAAAGACACAACAAGTTGAAACATTCCCCCCAGCAGTCCTTATTCTTGTCAGTTTGTTGCAGCATCACCTGATATCCAAACTGCCCTGCAGGAACCTCAGCGGTTTGAGCTACCTTCCAAACCACTTTCCAGCGCATGAGCTTTGGATCCCGACTTTCAACCTCTGCTTCCACATCTGGAGTGCTCTTCAGAACCGCATCAATCACCTCGAAATTACCGGCATTCCTCCAGAATCGTGGCAAATCATGGCCCATCCTATTGAAACATATTCGTCGCCCATGGGCATTGCTATCAAACCACCATCATGGTGATGCTCATTTTAGTTCATGCTCTCAACTGTATGGTCGTCGACAGAATTATGGTTGGGAAAGTGCAAGCAGCTAACTGCACCTGGTCGGGGACCTATATTTCCATAATTCTGTTTTATAATTCTGTTTTAACCATAATTCTGAATAAATCTACAATCGATCCATTAACGTCTTCCGAACCTTTTGCGATGGGGCATGGATGCACTGCGGATAAATTGCCATAATTATTTATTATGCTTTCGATGTAAGGGTGCTGTTTGGAGTGGGACCATATCCATATTTTTTCCTGAAAGGGTGACAACATAGCTATTGACATATTTCCATAATTCTTTTTGCCATGGCTGCAGTGCATAATTTATGGCAGCCCTTGTGGCCGTTTCCAGAATACACTGTAAACCAGGTCTGGTTTGGAGGATCTGCATCCAAAAAGTGAGATTTCCAAAATTAAGTTAAATTTGCATCGTGAGTCAGAGGCTTTCGTAGACATTTGTCTCATCCTTGTTCTTTTTTCAAACTGATTTTGGACGTTGACCGGTCTTGATCGATCTAATAGGTCAAAAGCGATCTCGTAAGAACGCTCCGAACCTTTCTGGCACACTGCACCAGACGAACCTTTTTCATGTCCATAATTCTGTCGGTGACTGTAATTATACATACTTATTTCTTATGGAACACTTAACATCCAACAAGGCAAAAAGAATGTATGTTTGGGCGTTAACATGTGTTACCCAATTATTGGCATTTACTTTGGAAAATGATGGAAAATGAAGATAACCAGTGGCGCAAGCCGCTTTTCCATCATTTCCAGACAAACCCATTTGGAAACCCCTGTCCTTCTAACCTTTGGCAATCTTGGCGTCTCCCAGTTCACCTTGCGTCTCTCTAAGCCGATGGGCCGCAGGGCCGTGCCAACGAACGCCGGCAGGACGCAGGCCGCTACCAGCGCTGTCAGCGCCGTCAGCGCCGAAGCTGTGGCCGCTGGCATGCGAAGTCGGCGCGACATCGATGGGAGCTGAACTTGAGAAAATCAAATCTATGGCTGCGGGGTGCACATTTATTTCAATGTCAAGCAATGAGGCGTCAGTCGTTTTGGGATGGACAAAGCAACAGGAATAAAAATCAACGTGGGAGTATCCAAAAAAAACCATGCTTTCTACAGAACACAACCATCAAAAATTACTGGGAAACAGGAAACCATAGGTATATTCATCATCTTTGGGGTTTTGTTTCATGTCTTGCAAGGTGGTTCCCTATAGGTTGGTGGGGTCCATATGGTGGGTTAACAATGAGGAAATGGGATTATCTGGGAAACCAACATCTCCATGGTATCCTGATAAGAGTGGGTTTTACCGCCTTTTTTCTTTAACGTTACCCTCTGGTAATTTAACATGGCTATGGACAATATTGGACAATGACCCAGTGATGGTTTATCAAAGATGGAGATGTTCCTGGAAGAAATCCTGCACCACCTTGGATGGTTAAAAGCCTGTAAACAATGGGATAAAAGATCAATGGGAATTCCAGGATCCTAAAATGGAGGTACTGTACCATATTTTGGGCCATATTTTGTGGGGATATTCCCTGAAATTTAGGCCTAAAAAATAGGCCTTTTTTCTATGGTAGGCACCTCCATTTTAGGATCCTGAAATGGCCATTGAAAAGATCGATCAACCAGGATTTCGTCCACAGCCCGGCCTACGGATCTCTGTGCGAACTTCACCTGCTGCTGCGGGTTCTCAGGGCATGGTGTCCAGCCGTCCTCACCTCCATGGTGGAGCCACGGTGGATGTGAGAAAACTAACATAGCTACAGAAAACAGCCCATTTATAGAAGATTTAAACTCTTTTAAAAAAAAAATATATATATATATATAGTATACTATATTATACTCAATTACTCAGTACTGACTCAGTTATACTCTTATATTATCTTATATTGATATACTATAAATATCTGGGCAAATGATGTTGCTTCCAAGTCCTCCTCGCCTTGGGCACTTTGTATCCAGCTGCCCCAACAGCGCTGCGGAAGTTCCATGGCGGAGCTCCATGCGTGCAGGGGAGCGCGTAGTTGGATTAACTTTTTGAGAGTCCCAAATCTGATCTTGAAACATCTTGAAACATCTTGAAACATCTTGAAACATCTTGAAACTCAAGGATCACCCCGCACCATATCTGATTAGAAATCCTTTCTTGGGAATGGACTTTGGATGGCAAGTTGGATGACTTTGGCACAGTTTTGAGTAACTTGAGCGATGCGCTAGCTACGCTGCGACGTCCTGAAAGATCCATGGCAGGCGTGCCCCGGTGTGCCTGACACACCAACTGCATCATCCGTATGCCATGAATTTTATCATACAAATACCGTATTACCGTACACTGATTCTACATGTATCCGCACATGTGTAAAAACACCAGACTTGTGGAATGGGGTGCATAGTGTCATGCGGTGTCACTTGCTTGAAAGAGACCACTTGCTTCGTGGCAGCCCCTCATCACTGATTGCGTCATATCACTCTACTGTCAGAATGGTTAACCTTGACTCACGTAGGACAATTCACAATGCAACTCCCCTTAACAAAGGACTAAACAATGATCGCCATGCTATTCTTTAATGCTGTCATTATGTATATCAATGTATATTATACATAATTCTCAAGATCATGGTCATAATTCACTGTCTTCATGGGGAATCTTCCCTCACCCACCCAGGCCACCCAGGTAGCCGTCGCCGACGCTGCAGAGCTCCGGGCTTTTGTAGACCCGGTCTGCAGCGTCCACCAAAAGATCCAAGGACTCGCTTCCATTGGCCTGGGGACGGGGAAGAGAGGTGCCATCTTTCGTAAGGGGATATAATATTATATATATATATATGTATGTATGTATGTATGTATGTATGTATGTATGTATGTATGTATATATATACATACATGTACCCCCAAGTTCTATCGCTTTTATTTGGTACAGTAGCTTCATTTTAGGATCCTGAAATTCCCATTGACAGTGTGTCTTGATCTGTCTAACCTAGTCTATCATTGAAGAGGCCTTTGTCCAAAAACGAGAGAAATGGCCGGATTCAAACCGCCTTTTTTCTCGAAAAGGTGAAAAGTTTTAGAGATACCCAACCTCGTCAGGTTCTGGAACTTGGGCATGCAGAAACACACCCCTCACTGGAACGCAATGGGTTTATATATATGCATAGTAATTTATACATATTGATATACATCTAACATATATATATACATAATTATATATATGTGTGTGTGTTATATATATAAATATATTATGTATAGATATACCTGTTTCAAATTCAACGGCCACAAGATGTAGAATCACATGTTAATGCATGTTCCCTTCCTACTTGAAACAACCGACGCAAATGTCAACCCCTCAACATGACTTTCTGTTTGAAAACTGTGGGAATTTAGGGTTTCCGGCTTCATTGGTCGGTTGCTTCCAGATGCTTCATTTATAAATAGACTAGTATTGCGACGGAACATCCGTCATCTGTAAATGATCTGTTTTCTGGTGGAGAACGCCTGAAATTAGAGAACATTGAACGCCCAAAATAAACGAACTAAGAGTGGTCCATGGTGGTCCATGTTGAACTCCATCCTAAAGTTTTTTAAAGGTGTGACAGATCTCCAAGAAACAACATGAAGATCTTTAAAAAAAATGAACTGGGTTTGAAAAATCATCGGTGGATGATATTCAAAACATCAAAATATCAAACCGCTTAAACATGGTATTCCATTGTATCGAAAGAAATATCTGGTGGTTTCAGTAGGTTTCAATGGTGATACCCCAGATCCTCATAGTCATTAGACCATGACTTAGTACTGAAACCCTCGGATCGCAGGGGATCGCCGTAGGGATCGCATGCGAAACTTCCGAGGCGCCACAGGCTGCACGAAGGGCTGGGGCCTTCGGACCTTGGGATGGTGCCATTTCCAGGTAGACGTGCAAAATGTTACCCAATCAAAATGTCTAAGAAACGATTCATCAGACCACCTTTCCCCAGTTTGTCCGACTTCAGGTTGGTCAAACTATGTTCCTTCACAAGTTGGACAGAATGTGGTTCGTAGGTCCCCTGACTGGCCTGTGCATAGCTTGGTTTCCTCCTCTTTCTTTCCCCTCTTCCCTCCTAGCCGACCCCTCTCTCCCTCCCACCCCTTCAGGAGTGTGTTTGTTTCTTCCCTGTGCTATCCTGCTTCAGTTGTCGCGCTGCTGTGTTTTTGCTTTGTTGCCAGTTCTGCTTTGCGCTGTTTGCTCTTCTGCGTGCCAGGGTCGGGTTCCTGTGTGCTTCTTCTCCCCCCTCTCCCTCCTTTTTCTTTCTTTGTTCTGCCTGCTTTGTTGTGTGCTCCCTCTGCCTGTAACCTGTTGTCTGCCTTCGTTGTTTTTCCTCTTGTTTCCGCGTTGTTTGCTGTGGCTGGCTGTCCTTGTTCCCTCCCGCTCCCCCCCCCCCGTCTCTCTGTTGTGTGTATGTGTGCGTGCCTGCCTGCATGACATGACGGTTGATCGTCGATTGAATCTGATCAGCCGGAACCCTATATAATCCTTGTGCGAGACAGTTCAACCATATCGTTAATTGCAGGGGGGTCCTAACCACACGTAACAAAGCTGTGGACACTGTCCCTGCATGATAGTTAGGTTTGTCATGGCAACTGGGCAAAGCCACAAACCCACAAGGCATCCACAAGGTCTACATTCATCATCCTCAAATAAACCTAAGCAGTTTTTGTGTGTGTGCTTGTGCAAAACAGGATGCCCCAACATTCGATGTTTGGTCATGAAATTTTCTATCTGAATCTAACAGTTGCATGTTTGAAGGTATATCAAATTTCTAGACAAACACACGCACACACACACACATACATACATACATACATACATACATACATACATACATACATACATACATACATACATACATACATACATACATACATACATACATACATACATACATACATACATACATACATACATACATACATACATACATACATACATACATACATACATACATACATACATACATACATACATTACATACATACATATACATACATACATTACATTACATTACATACATTACATTACATTACATTACATTACATTACATTACATACATATATATATATATATACATACACACGTACATATATATATATATACAATTCTGTAAATATATATATATATCTCTCTCTCTCTCTCTCTCTTTCCCCGTTATGGGGGTTCCCCAAACTGGGGGCACCCCAAATCATCAGTTTTTCAAAGGATATTCTATCAGAAATCATCCATGTTGAGGTAGCCCCATTTTGGAGAACTCCCATACGTATATGTATATAATGTAAAAAAAATAGAGAGAGATAGATAGATAGATAGGTAGATAGATAGATAGATAGATTAGATTAGATTAGATTAGAGTAGATTAGATTAGATTAGATAAAATTAGATTAGATTAGATTAGTAGAGAGATAGAGAGATAGCGAGGTAGAGAGATAGAGAGAGAGAGAGAGATAGATAGATAGATAGATAGACAGATAGATAGATGGATAGATAGATAGATAGATAGATAGATAGATAGCTAGGTAGATAGATAGATGGATAGATATATCCTGCATAGTTATTTGCTCAGTGTATTAAATATTGCCTAAGTTGTTTAATGGATAGCTCAACTCCACTTATTTCGGCTGCTTCAACCTCGACAAAGCCAGGCTCCCGACACTGCCGCGCTGCGACCTGCGACTAGGTGTGGCACTTGGGGGTGCCGGCCAGAGGTTACTTTTATGGTTATAATGGTGAGTTAGCCGAGTTAACCCCTATAAGTTGGGATATTTAGTTCCATAACTATAGTAACCGAAGGAAGTTTAGAAGTAAAACTTCCGACAACATGGACAGATGAAAAGCAGAGATGGGCAGAGTCAGAGAGAAGAGAAGAGTAGAAGAGAGAAGATCGGAGAAGAGAAAGAGTTAGAAGAAAGAAGAGGCAGATGCGCGAAAAGGTAGGAAAGTCGCGAAACACTGTGTTTTTCCAATGATTTGAGGCTCCGGAGGGTCGAAAAGTAGGCTCGCTAAAGCGGCGGGTGCGGAGCCAGCTGGCCAAATGAGAGATGAAAAATTGCACGCCGTTGTGGCGCGAAGCACATTTTGAAGTCAAAAGTGTAAAAAACTGACGGGTAGGGAGCACGTTTGGACATTGAGACGTCGAAAAAGTGCACGCCGTTGTGGCGCGAAGCACATTTCGAAGTCAAAATGTACAAAACATACCATGTAAGGACCACTTTTGGACGTTCAGATCTCGTTTCGGGTGGCAGGCGCAAGGGATTGTGCACCTTGTCAAAAGTGAGCAAAACGTGAGGGTTTTGTAGCATTTCCAAAAACGATGGCAGGCGTGGGACATTTGAAGAGGATCTGTAAAAGAGGCATTTTCCTTGGCAGGCGCAGTACAAGAGGCATCTTCATCGGAGCTATTAGGAGGTGAGGGCGCTGATTTCCTGAGAGGGGTTGCGTTTTGGAGCATCAGATCTTCAGGTTTCCTGAGATGATTTTGCGTGACAGGTGCAGCACTTCCTTTGACCCGGCATCACTTTTTCGTGGCAGGCGCAGTACTTTCGACAGGAAGTACTCTATGGATCTATCGATCTATCGATATATCTATCGATCTATCGATCTATCGATCTATCGATCGATCTATCTATCTATCTATCTATCTATTTATCTATCCATCTATCTATCTATCCATCCATCCATCTATCTATCTGATCCTATCGATCTATTGATCTATCTATCTATCTATCGGTCGATCGATCTATCAATCTATCGATCTATCGATCTATCGATCTATCGATCTATCGAACTATCGATCTATCGATCTATCGCTCTATCGATCTATCGATCTATCGATCTATCTATCTATCTGTCTATCTATCTATCTATCTATCTATCCATCGATCTATCTATCTATCTATCTGTCTCTCTCTCTCTCTTTCATCTAATTACCTATCTATCTAGCTATCCATCTATCTCTCTCTCTATCTCTCTCTCTATCTATCTCTATCTATCTCTATCTATCTCTATCTATCTCGATCTATCTCTATCTATCTCTATCTATCTCTATCTATCTCTATCTATCTCTATCTATCTCTATCTATCTCTATCTATCTCTATCTATCTCTATCGATCTCTATCTATCTCTATCTATCTCTATCTATCTCTATCTATCTCTATCTATCTCTATCTATCTCTATCTATCTCTATCTATCTCTATCTATCTCTATCTCCATCTATCTCTATCTATCTCTATCTATCTCTATCTATATCTATCTATCTCTATCTGTCTCTATCTATCTCTATCTATCTCTATCTATCTCTATCTATCTCTCTCTATCTCTATCTATCTCTATCTATCTCTATCTATCTCTATGTATCTCTATCTATCTCTATCTATCTCTATCTATCTCTATCCATCTCTATCTATCTCTATCTACCTATCTATCTAATCTATCTAATCTATCTAATCTATCTAATCTATCTAATCTATCCAATCTATCTATTTTATCTAATCTATCTAATCTATCTAATCTATCTAATCTATCTAATCTATCTAATCTATCTAATCTATCTAATCTATCTAATCTATCTAATCTATCTAATCTATCTATCTATCTATCTAATCTATCAAATCTATCTAATCTATCTAATCTATCTAATCTATCTATCTATCTAATCTATCTATCTATCTATCTATCGATCTATCTATCGATCTATCTATCGATCTATCGATCTATCGATCTATCGAACTATCGATCTATCTATCTATCTATCGATCTATCGATCTATCGATCTATCGAACTATCGATCTATCTATCTATCGATCTATCGATCTATCGATCTAATCTATCTAATCTATCTATCTATCTATCTAATCTAGTCTAATCTATCTAATCAATCTATCTAATCTAATCTTATCTTATCTTATCTAATCTATCTAATCAAATCTATCTATCTATCTAATCTATCTATCTAATCTATGTATCTAATCTATCTATCTATCTATCCATCTATTTATCTATCAATCTATCTATCTATCTATCTATCTCTCTCTCTCTCTATCTCTATCTATCTCTATCTATCTCTATCTATCTCTATCTATCTCTATCTATCTCTATCTATCTCGATCTATCTCTATCTATCTCTATCTATCTCTATCTATCTCTATCTATCTCTATCTATCTCTATCTATCTCTTTCTATCTCTATCTATCTCTATCTATCTCTATCTATCTCTATCTATCTCTATCTATCTCTATCTATCTCTATCTATCTCTATCTAGCTCTATCTATCTCTATCTATCTCTATCTATCTCTATCTATCTCTATCTATCTCTATCTATCTCTATCTATCTCTATCTATCTATCTATCTATCTATCTCTATCTATCTCTATCTATCTCTATCTATCTCTATCTATCTCTATCTATCTATCTATCTATCTCTATCTATCTATCTATCAATCTATCTTTCTATCTTTCTATCTATCTATCTATCTAATCTATCCATCCATCCATCCATCCATCTATCTATCTATGCATCTATGTATCTATGTATCTATGCATTTATGTGTCTATGTATCTATGTGTCTATGTATCTATGTGTCTATGTATGTATGTATGTATGTATGTATGTATGTATGTATGTATGTATGTATGTATGTATGTATGTATGTATGTATGTATGTATGTATGTATGTATGTATGTATGTATGTATGTATGTATGTATATTCCGAGGGGATTCCCCAGTAGCGGATCTTCCATCGGAAAATCATAGAACATCAACTTCAGCAACTCCAGGGTTTTTCCCATTTTTCCCAATCAAACCCGCCATTTCTGGTGGATCTTCCGATGATGGGAACCCCATGAGTTCCCCATCTGGGCACGGCCGGCATCTCCGAGACCGCTAGGACGCCGTCAAAGGGCGGCTCCGTGCTGAGGGAAAACATCATGGAGCCCCAGCCTCCGGAGGGGTTGGCTTAACATGGTTTGACAGCCATAAAAAAGAGGAGGTTAACATGGATAAAAACATGGTTTAGCTATAAAAAAAATAAGGTCGAAGATGTTTTTTTTTGCATCAAAAACATGTATATTATTGGTTTGTCAGAGTCAGTGCATGGGTTTAAGAAAATGTTACAGTTACAGTAACTCCTGTAAACGTTCCCGTCTACCAGCAACAATGGACCAGGGTTTTATCAGCAGTTCAGGAGCGTTGCTGTACCAATGGACCCACCCAATTTGAGGCGACTGAAGGGGGTTCTTGGAGATTTTGAGAGCTGGTCATGTGTCTTTAGCATTAAACCTGAAACCTGAACCATCGCTTTTTTCATGTCAAGAATTTTGTGGGATCCCATGCACATGCATTTCTATATATTTATATCATGTATATAACTCTACTAATATAGATGATTTTACCACAAAACACAGGGATTCCCCGTTGCCATCCTTGGTTCCCAACGAATAGATTTCTACAGTATACAGGGCTGATGTCATCTGGATACCCAACTAGCAGTTCCTTAACTACAACCAAGCCGTTTTTGGGTTGATTTCTCTGACATGGACAAATGTCATTGCGAAGATCCCCCATCAAATGGCAAATCGTCGATAACCTGCAAGCCTGCAGTCTTTAGCTGGTTGGCATGCGTATAGTGTAGCAAAAGACTATAGTTTGTATATCAAAACTATTGTATCAGATCATTTCTCCATAAAGTTGACAGTTCAATGGATATTTCACTGGATATCATGATTTCTCCACCAACGCATCTCTCCATCTCTTTAAGCTCTCCCACCAGATCAGCCTGCATCGAAGAGGCAGTGGGCAGGGCTGTAGGCCAGGCCTGGCACGGGCAAAGATTGGAGTGTCGCAGAGCTGCTAAAGTTTGGAAGGGTTACATGGGGAACTTAAAAGATTGGATGACCCTGTCACACATCATGTGGCCAGTTGCAGGAAAATGTTCATCTCTGATTCATCTGCAGATCACCTGCACATCCTGAGAAGGATTAGCCATCAGTCACTGGCAGCAGTCATTATCAGTACAACGTTTTTGACGAACCACGGTTGGGATCAGGCAAAAAGCAAGGCCAATCCGATATCCCGAGAACACATCATAATGTTACATCATTTTCCCCTTGATTTCAGGAAAATTACGTCTTGGCACATCTTGGCCTACTATGCACAGGCTGGGGGTGAGATTTTCCCCCTGCCTTTGCCGGAACAAGACGGTTCTGCCTTAACTGATCGATCTTGGCCCACCCCGAAATGAACCATGAATGCGGGGACAACCCAGGAACAAGTGGGACAATGGAACAAACCACCATCAAAAATCGGGAATGATTGATCACAATGAAAATGGGGTGGCTACTATGGCTACCGAGTCGTCAGGAACCAGCTGGGTAATGCTGGGTATGGAAGCATGGGCCGGCCATCTCTGGCAAAGAGACTTGCAATGACTTGCAAAACCTCCAGTCTAGAGGGAATCAATATCATCTGGGCAATTTTTGCTGGTCACAAACCTCACAATTTTGAAATGTGGATTCTCTGTGAATCCTGGTATGCTGTTGAAAGTGCACAAAAGCAACCCATATCAACGCATATCAACCTACTACCACTAGGCTTAAGTCATATCAAGTGACTGGAAGTCGTATCACGTCCGCGTGCGCGCTTTCGATTTTCGATTCTGATGCTTCTTCATTTGACTGGCTATTCGTTTGGATCCTGTTTCATCGCTGTCCGCAGTGTTTTGTTGGAAGGTGATCTGTCCAACCGATGTGACTTAGACCATCTTAAACCCCTGGCTAGTATATTGCTAGTATATACCATCTGGTTATGACTCACATAGCAATGGAAAATCCCTTATAAATGGAGGTTTCTAGCTGGGAAAATCATCTATAAATGGGCCATCTATACCATGGCTATGTGAAATTACCAGCCTGAGGCTACGGGCCACCGTCTTTGTCATCCAGCTGCTTGGAGCCTGGGCAATTGAAGCCCGGGAAATCATGCATAACTCATGTCTTTATAATGGATTTTCCACATCTCTGTAAAAAAAAATGTAAAAAGGGATGAAAAATGTTGAGAAGCTCAAGGGAATTATGTTACAAAAGTTGATTGATAGATGGATATCCATTGATTTAGATATATTTATATAAATTGGGATATTGACAAGATTTAGTAGTGTGGTAAACCCAATGTCATAAATCTACCACCTGGAGATGGTGTATATCATTTATGGTCATTTTGTGGATGGTTGAGGGTTAAAAGAAAATTTGCTTCTATACCAAATTACCGGGTTTATGAAAGTGGATTGATTATCTTATGTCATCCCCGTATATCGATGTAATGCCAATCAAAAAAGCATAAAAAAAGAAGTCACTAAAAAATATTTTTTTAATATGCTTTCTGCTATAGAGCTTGATTGTCAGATACAAAATAGTTTTCCTAACTATTGCGTTCTAATAGAGTAAAATTATTATTATATTTTTGTATTATAGTAAGGTTTAGTTTGACTTTATTCTTTAATGTTATAGGTATCCGCATATAAAATATTGTATTGTGTTGATTGTTCAATTAATTTATAATAGGTTCTTAAAATACTTTGATTTGCTTGATTAGTTGCACTAGGCGATTTTTATCGCTTGAACTAATAATCTAATTTGCATATAATAGAGTATATCGTGTATGTCCTTCACATGTTCTAACATCATTATTGTGTGTTGCGTGCCGAAATCTGAGGTCGAAATATGTTGTCAGGAAGAATGATCAACAGTCACCGATGGAAAAGAATCGCAATCAATGACAATCTTATATTGCATACCGTAAAATTAAGGAAAGGCATGGAAAAAAAATAACAATGTGGATGTTGCTGATATGGGAGTGATATAGGAGAGCTTTGCATGGCTTAACAAGCCAGCAGTGCTCAGTTGATGTCAAGAACTGCCTTGAATGCCTTTGGACCAGCGTGCTACATATATCGCTGGTCAAGTGGCCGAAGCATTGCGCAGGTTGATGATTTTCAAGAATACAAGTCACCATATAATTCTGGGTAAGTTATAATATTTCACTAATCTGAGAAGTTAGGCCATTTAGGGGATGATTTCCCTCATTAACCATGATTCCAGTGACAGAGAACAGTGAGGTCGTGATCAAATTTACCCAGATTATTCCAAATGGATTCTTGGCAGCAAACCCTATTGGCATGGCTAGTCACTATGGATGTCCTGCTTTTTTTCTGGCCAACTCTGCCGGTCTAGCCAATCCTACAGGATGGTGCCCCCCAGTTATGTGAATGTTGGTTTGTAAACATCATTAACATCCATTAACATCCATTAACATCCATTAACATCCATTAACTATAGTTATATCTACCATAAACATCCATAAACCCATAGTTTAGCCACTTATAAGGCAACTGAACGCTACCTCTTGGGGGCGCCATCCTGTATTAGGCAACTCTATGATGTATCGGTGTCCTGTTGTTTCTCGCCAATGCGCCAGGCCCACGGGTTCTTGCCACAACTTTTCACGAGTCAGTACGACTTAAAGCTAGGGCTTGTATCTGGACGGGGCCTAGACCCTCCAAGTACTCGTACGTGTACCAATGTTGATGGGTACTTGGAGGGTCTATAGTCTAGGTACTTGGATATTTTGTGAGTTTTCTCATCGTTTGGCAACTCGATGACAGTGATAAAAAAAGAAACGACGCTGGCTACATTCACCACCGGCATTCAGAGCGATGATGACCCAAGTATACAAGTAAGTTGGAGTTACCTCATTTGTCGGGTCAAGACCCATCAAAACTCTGGTAATTAATTACCTTGGTTATCCTTGGCTCACAGCCCAAAAAAATCCAAAAAATATAAACCATTCAATGATACAATAGAATATAAGATCATACTCTCCAGTTATTTAGCGATATGTAGCGTAGCTATGGAAAATCCCCATAGGTAATTGATATAACCATGTAATCATCACAGATCCCGGCTGGGGCGTTCACAGCGGGCCATACCGTCAATCCCTGCCACCACCGTTCTCAAACATGGCAGGCAGACGGAATGGCCCCCAGTGCCCTCAAACATGGACTGATACTCATGTGTCAACTCCTGCGCATGCTCGGTGGTTGAGCCCCCCTGTCCTGATGTGGGTCAGGATAACTATGTGGGGGATATCAGGACGCAGAAAAAACCTTCTGAGACGAGTGCAGAAGAAGTCGGACATGATAAGATACATATCTCATTTTTACATATATATATATATATATGATATACATATATATATATATATAATTATATGATATTATCCGTCATGCTGGGCCACAAAATAACGAAACAATTTGTATGATATGACAACATGAAAAAGGACATAAAACAATTAATGAGAATCCAACATTTATATTAATTAAGTGGGATTTCCGTCTGGGAAACCCTGTTTCAGGTGCTGTTTTTATTCATGATTTTTGATCAAGTCAACCCCAAAATTTCACAGAATCAATGGATGGTCGGTGCCAGGTCATGCCATCCCTTCAAATCAGCTGGCCCAAAACCAGGCTGGTACCCAAAGCACGACTGCATAAGAAGGGTCTACCAGGAGTTCTAGCCAAGTGAACATGGCAACCCATTGAAGTAATGCCCCAGTATGAAAAAGATGTTGGGAAAAATCACATGATTTACAGCGCCCAAAAGGATAGAATAGACATGTACTGCGACTTCAGTATTAAAAAGTAGGAACTTATTGTTCAAGTCCGTTTCTATTTTTCTGGTGGTTACTATAACTTAAATGTAGTTACATGATGAAAAAGATGAATCTATAGGATGGGGCCCCCCAGTTATGTTTGTTGGTTTATAAACCCCATTAACATCCATTAATCATAGTAACCACCATAGTTATATCTACCATAAACCATAGATGTTAGCCATTTATAAACCAACTTAGCATAACTTAGCTATCTTGGGGGCCCCATCCATAGGTCACCACCTCTATAGGAAACCACCAGAAAAAAAAAAGGCGCCTGCGAGCCGCTTTGGGATCGGGGTGCCACGGCAATGAGGCTGTAGGACAAGGGAAGCACCTATTCAGGTTGAAGGAAATCCCGGTGGAACCGTTTTTTGGGGGGAAAATTGACCATCAAATTGGGGATTTTTGTTGGTGACTTCATGGGATTTTAATGGTGATTTAATGGAATTTTAATGGTGATTTCATGGGATTTATGGTGATTTTTCATGGAATTTACTCTATATATCACCAACAATCTGAGATTTGTCGAGTTTCTTTAGTGGTCTATCATGATTTGTCATGATTTGTCCATTTAACCAACCCAATAAGTCCAACCAAAGTCTTCTCAAAATTCACCGAGGTGGGCATGACAGTCGGTATGGCTCAAAATGACTTTTACTAACCGAGTTTGTGGGTCCATTGGCGCACTTTGAGCCACACCCAAGTGGAGTTATGAAGGGTGAGCCATGGTGAGCCCCTATTCAGCCTTCCTAGGGGCTAATAATTATGCGCCCATTTTTCAGGGACTACCCCGGTACCTTTTGGTAATATGATGTGCATCCTCAGCATCAGAACATGGCCAAATGTAGATGTTCTGGATGTTCTGCACAAAACAAAAAGATATGTTTCGCATGGTGTCTGACATTCCTGCATCAACTTTGCAAGAAATAATTAAGCGATAGCAACATATAAGCAACCCCCCCCCAAAAAAAAAATGGCACAACATGTTTCTATCTTTTTGTGGCTTGCTATGCCAATTATGCTCAACATCGCTCCACCGAGCATTCGGGCTTGAGAAATGGTGAAGAGCAACTTCTGCGGTGCCGGCACCGGCACCTGGAGATCCGTTGGGGGGTTCCTAAGTCATGGCCGGGATAGCTGAACCCACGGTGACGACTGGGGATCCCACATGACTTCAGAAAGCACCATAGGATATGGGGCCGAAGATGGGGCAGATTAATCAACCACCTCCACAGTAATTACATAAGGTACGCCAACTTTTTTTGGCGTACCTTTGCATGAGTTTGAATGCATGGCTATGGTTTTCTTGTCCTGTATTTCGACGAGTTTTGGTTCTAAAAAAATATTTGTCGTACATTGTCGTACAGTATTCAATCTGAAACTCAACTGTCCCCGAATTCTGATTCTAAACCTTCCCAAGAATGCCTTGCCTGAGTCCATTTTGGGGGCCCTAAGAAGTTTGCTTGGCCATTATGTATAATTATCTTGGATACCAAAAGGTTTCGATGCGTTTGGATATGTTTGGATATATACAATCTATAATAGACAGTCTGTAATATTCATAATTTAAGGGGGGCTAATAATCAATGGCAACATTTGGGTCTTTTGGGTGCCATCTGTAGGACACACACCTCAACCCATCAGGACTGTCATCGCCACGAATGACCTTTCGGATCGAACAACCAACAGCTCAATCGTAACTACTAGTAGAAGAAATGTTGTATCAATTTTGTACCTATGTGGGTTGCTACACCTATCTAAATTGCCCTCTGGTAATTCAACAGTTTGCTTTTCGAAAATGTCGAGTTCGATTATTCTCCGAACTTTGAAGTGCGGATTTTCCATAGCAACCTGTTTATTACCAAAAGGTATCTAATTATGGTGATTGGTAACTTGCAATTGACTGAGGGTATTTCAACTATCTAACCTGTCTAATTACAACCACGAGTATCTAAACTATCTAGAATTACGATTATCCTATCTACCCTCTGGTAAACTAACATAACAATGGAAAATCACAATTTTCAATGGCTAAATCCACTATTTCTATGGCCATTTTCAATAGCTATGTTAGTCATTACCAGAGGGTAAACTAGCTAAACTCCCGGCTTCAACGTCCATGACGTCCCATGTTGCCCCGAAAAAGACTTCCGCAGCACCTCCAAACCTGAGACATCATGTGAGCGCCAACTGGCCCTGAATTTCCGCCGAATGCTCCAACGGGTTTTTTACGGATGGGGCCTGGGGATCCATTTTTTGAAACCCAGAAAATATGGGGAAATGAATATGTGTTCATCCATATTTATGACCAGAAAATATGAAATAATATGGAGAAATGAATGTGTTTTTTTATCCAATATTTATGATTTCTCCATTTAAAAACGGGGAAGAATTCGAAGAATTCTATGGTGCTATCATGGGGAAACAATGCGGATGTGAGAGTGATATGAGTTTATTGTGGGATCTCTCAAAGACTAGCCAACAGATTTGGGGGTTTGTGGGGCATACATAACTTCATAAACCACAAATCAAGCAAGGCACCCTAAACCCCCGTGATAAATCATGCTACTTTCAGTGAAAAGTGTAGTTCTTCTTTTTCTGAAACCATCGTGAGAAGAGGACAAGATCTTCGCAAATGACCCCCGCTGGCCATTGCCAATTCAGTTGGCGTGAAGGTCAAAAAACTGAAGTCAAAGGTTTCAAGATGTCTCAAACACGAAGCAAAAGCTTGAATCCACCCGTTCGGGTAGAAGCCACTGACATCCCCCAACAAGCACAAAACCAATTTAGATTTGGATATTATATATATATATATGTGTGTGTGCGTTTATTTATTTATATGTTTATCATGATTTATCTATCTATAGCTATATCGGCACGTATACACACACACGTGTATATATATATATACAGAGTAATGAGTATGTATTCATTTAATTGAGGAAGAAAAAACAAGTAGAATTGGGATCATAGGATGACGGAAAACCATGAAGCGACCTGCCATTGCCATCGCCTTTAGGAAATTGAATCGTCTATCATCATCCGTCAGCTCTTGTAGCCATCTGTGCTCTCTCTATGAGATTCATCAGTACCCTCTGGTAATTAAACATAGCTATGGAAATCACCATCTTTGATGGGTATAAACAATAAATGTTCAATGGCTATGTGACCCTCCAGTAAATTAACATAGACCCTGCCAGTCATAGGGGTTGGAAGATTAGTTTCCACTCAAAAATGGTGATTTTCAGGGTCTATATATGTTAATTTACCAGAGGGTACAGCCTGTTCAATTGCCATGTTGGGTTCCCAGATTTGTCCCTCTGGTAAACTAACATAACTATGGAAAATCACAATTGTCAATGGGTAAATCCACTATTTCTATGGCCATTTTCAATAGCTATTTTGACATAACCAGAGGGTAGTCCCTCTGGTATTCCCAGCTCGTTCTGGGAAAACCCCATTAGTGCATCCCTCCGAATTGTTCGTGTCCAGCAGCGGATCCGCCACAGGATCATAGGAAAAATGGGCGCGGTAGATCCTCATCCCAGAGGGGATCCACCGGTGAATCCCATGCGTTTTTGGCCACAGAAAAAAACAGAACAAAGAACTATATAGCTATGTTTAGATATGAGTCCACCAATTCAAACGTTGATTGGAATATATTGATTGCTGTTTAGATATGTCTAGCTGGTTAGGACTCATTCTACCATTGAGAGCAACAGATGCAAGTACTAATTACATCTAAGAATCTAATTACTACCAGTCGCTTGATCCAGATATGAAAACCCCAATGGATCCCGGCCATTCTCCGTCAACTTAAGGGTCCGACATCACCAAGTGAAACAAATGCCGGTATTGACAATGCCAGGCAAAAAGCGAAAGCTGCTAGGCAAATATGTCATCTGGAACCCAACTTCATCCTAATTTTAAGCGTTAGGTGACTTCCTAATCCCAGTTCCCAATTTATAAACCTCCCAATGGCTTGGTCGAATTTCGCACTAAGTGGACTTTGTCGTCATCGTATTCATAACATGACCAGCATTTTGGAACATACCCTCTGGTATTTTTTCACATAGCTATGGAAAGCCACCATTTATATCCATTTATGATAGGTAAATCAATAATCATCTGTAATTTCATCATATTTCATCCATTTATGATAGGCAAATCAATCATCATCTGTAAATTCATCTATGCCTATATATATAATATACAGATACTGCCTATACATCTGCATGACGCAAAGTCTCAAAAACTCAAAGGAGGGCGTTACACAACACCTGGTGGCAACTTGCTGCCATGACATCGCCGCAGCTGAGATTCCGACTCCTGGACATCTGCACATTGAGGTGAGACCTATCCACGAATCGTAAGTGGGTAGGAAAACCCCAGTTTTTTGAGTGGATGAACTCTACAAAAATCCCATTTTTAATACTGGGGTTATATATATTATAACCCACTTACTAAGTAGGATGAGCCACCAAGTATGGAGATTTACTGTGTATGACGTAGAGAGCGGTGTGTGTGTGTGTGTGCGCACAAATAAGACAATATATACGTATAATTATGTACACCAGATAGACATGCAAAATATGAAAGTGGAATTCTGACCCAACAAACCTGGTGCATTGACCCAGATCCAAATGAGCCAGGCTCGGCCACGCAGCATCTTTTTCATCCGGCAAGGATTGACTCAAGAGCTCTTCTCGTTCCTTCTTCCTGCCCACTGCCACGACATACCTTTCACGAAAAAAACGCAATTGGATACTGGCAGCCAATACCATGGTCAAGAAAACCCTGAGGGAACACTTCATTACCTTTTGCATAGATATTTGAAGAGATAGGCGTACAGATAACATGTAGGGTCCTAGAAACATGTCACCAGGTCTACTCATTTTCGCAAGTCTTTAATTTTTCGATTGGAAGTCCCACATGCCAGTGAGGAAACCTAGGAATCGAAAAATCTTTGGTACATGGATCAAAAAATATCAAATACATTCAAATACATGTTTCCCACGGTTTCCCATCCACGGCACATCATCAGAGGAATCATGAAATTGATCACCTGGTCGGTTCGGAGGCCATGGTCAAAAGGTAGCAATCATAACCCATCGTGGTTGGGAAATGTTGCTGTTCATGTATGGGATTCTTATGATGTTTCGTAGGCATGAATCAATATGAGTCATCTACAGATGAGTGATTCAAGTTGCCATGTTAGATCACCAATTCTCAAGTTTTTATTGTCCATTGTGCAGCCTGAAATCTTCCGCGAATGGCAATAAACAACTTTCAGGTTGAGCTTGGGCATTTCGAAATATGAGATACTATCCCATGGTGATCACTTTTAATCTTTGCGGATACGCCCGTAAATGCGTTTATCATCTTATATCTATATGCATATGTATATATATATATATGCGCGTGTGAGTGGCATATATTGCATGTGCGTCCATAAATACATATGTATATGCATCTCTCTTTTCATCAATGTGAAAATTCACACACGTAAAAATTGACATATACACAATTATACACATATACATACATGATCATACATGATGAGCTTGGGGTAGATAAAATATGACAGAATATGGAGATTTAGAGTAAATTTCCACCTTCTAATCTACTCCAGGATGATTACCCCCAGTTCGGGGATTTCCCAGCCGCCCCGCCATGTTTTATTGCCATTTTCACAGAGGCCCAAATGATCCCATAATGATATCCCATAATTAACCAAATTATCCCATACTTCTCCCATAAGATTTACCCCATTATATCCCAGTACCCTCTGGCAAACTGAGACAGCTATGGAAAAAAACACATTTTTTTGTGGGGTAAATAACCTATTAAATAGCCATTTTGAATAGCTATGTCAAGTTTCCAAACGGTGATTCTTCCATAACTGCCCCTTCATTATATAACAATATTTAATCACACCTCAATTATCTCATAATACGTGTGCCAGTAATACTTGTGCCAGTATGCCCACCGGGAATTGACATAACTATATACTATGGCTATGGAAGATCACCATGTTGAAAAGGTAAATCATCTGGTCAACTTTCCATACTTACTTTACGAGAAGGTATCCTATTAATTCATCCATAATACCCTCTGCTAATTAATCAAACATGACAATGGAAAATAAGTCTCCACTAAATTTAGTTTTGATGATTTTCATATTGTGTATATAAATCCTCCATTTAGTTCGGGGATCTCCCAGCTAGCCACGTTTGATGACACTGGAGGGTGTACAGTATCCATTGATATCCAATTCTTATCCCGTGAATAGTCCATTCATATTCCATTATTATCCCTATAAAACCATATTAAACCATTAGTTCTAGATCGATAATTACTGTGAACCATATTTGATTAAACCAACAGTCATAGATCTATCACTGTAAATTAAAATAAACCATAAACCATTAGCTATAGATCTATTATTGTAAACCCATATTAAATTAAACCATATTAAACCATTCGTCATAGATAGAATTTCCCATTAAAACCTGCATGTTTCTTGGTCGCTGTCGAGGTGCTGAGGAGGTGGCTAGGCCACCAAGCTCCGCGATGGTGTCGAAGCCACTGCCCGTGTAGAAGGGGATGCCTGGGGAGCCGCCCGGAGCCGGAAAATTCATAGGATCATAGGGAGATATTTAAAGGGTTATCTGACTATAATATGATTCATATTGATTCATCCACATTGATCATATGCTCATGAATTTCAAAGATCAATAGAAATATGATTTGTAAATTAGATTGAAATAGGCAAAAAAATGATTAAATATATGGGATGAATGATGATAATTGGGATGCATTCTTCCAAGAAATTGGTTTATACCAATGAGATTTCGCGCAATTTGTCCAAAAATACAATTGTTTCTCTTTCAAAAGTTGCCTGCAGCTGGCAACCAGGATTGAATTTTCGGTAGGTTTTCCTTGAAGATACTTTGTATTAGCTGTCCATCGGCAAATCGAAGAAGGGTTTGCATCCATCTACAGTTGCATCTCTTTCTATTTGCATACACACATGACGTTCCACATAAACATCCATATGCAATCGTATGCAGGTATTCGACTTTATGTGCAGTAAACATGTTGTATCCCACGTGTTTCCCTATCACATGGACTACAACAGCTGTGGGCATCTCGAAAATTTGGAGTAGTTTGGCCATCACCCCAAGTTGGAGAATGAAGAATACTCACTTTGAAAAATCCGACCAAATCTCGTTTGCTATATTCTCTCTTGCTTCCGGAAGAAACGATTCCCGTAAATATGAGAAGTACCTATGGTTCTGGATCAAAATTCCGGCATTTTAGGCGGTTTTGCTCCTCCCCAGATCCTCATATGTTTGGTGATGGGAATCCCAATTCGTCGTTGAAACCACCATGTTTATGCACTTTGCTGCTCATTGATGCGTAAAAATCTGCTGATGCATCAGCATCGAAATCACAACTTTTTGGTGAATCAATCCCCTCCAGGTACTCATCAGCCACGGCAGTGCTACCGCAATGAAGGTCGCTGCCGAGGAGGGTACACCCCCTTGGATCCTGGTGATGGACCCTGGACTGGAGCCTGGTATATCCCAAGGGGACAGCAATGTTGATGAACTAAGGTGGTAAACCCAACAATAAACCATCCCTAATATCATAAATGGATATAAATGGATATAAATGGCTGGTAACCATCACTAATCATCATCCCCAAATGGTGTCGGTGTATTTTGTGGCTTACCACGAAATTGGATACCCATGGTAGTGGATGTTCGTAGTGGACTTAACTTGGATTTTCAGTTTTTGCCCTACAGGATGGGGGCCCCCTAGTTATACGTTGGTTTATAACTTTATAACCCCATCTAAACATATTTCTACGTATCATATACTATTGTCATTATACTTACAAACCAACTTAGCTAACGAACTGGGGCCCCATTCTGTACCCCTGATATCGACAAATCCATGTCGAATGTGTTGATAGATTGTATTGTTAAGATGCATTACCCAAAGCATAAAATGATGACGTGTCAACAATTGATAGATGATTGTAGTCAGTAATGTGAATGACCAAAAAAGTGCCTTGCTCTGATAGATGATGTACTATGATTGATTGTATTGTCTCAGTATTGCATATGTGGAACTTCACTGAACTTCACGGAGGTGATAAATCAATGAACTCTGCGAAACCCTCCCGAGGTGATAGAAAGCACCATGTAGATTATTTTCCCAGGGAGACCATAGGGGGTTCCACATGTAAACGCTTGCTGCAGGGTATGTACTACGTAAGTATACCGTGTATACATCTGTATACCAGCTAGAACTGTTATACCTGGGCGGACCTCCATAAGTTACATTTCGGGAATGAAACTGGAAAGAAACTGGAATGAAACTGGAAAGAAGCCAATCAACCCTAGTCAAAGGGTCTTGAACTTCTTGACTAGGGTTCTTGAACAGCTAACAACTGGGATGGGTTTCTGGCTTGGAAAACATTAAAACTGACAGATTTATGAATATTTCATCATATTATATTTCATATAGTTCAAAAGAAAAACATATTAATATACCATATACATATATATATATGTATATAATTATATATATATATTTATAAAGATGATCTTCTTATCACATCTCGCCAGGCGGCAGATTGCAGCGGATGAGAATGGCCAGAACTGGGATGGAGGTGACGTTCTGCAGCATGGGATAGGCTGCCACAGTGATTTGACCAATCCTCGAGCCACTGGCATTCCTGGGCCGATACCATCGATGAATCGATGGTTCTATGACTATATATATATAACATATATGTGCATATATCCATCTATCTATCTATCTATCTATCTATCTATCGATCTATCTATCGATCTATCCATCCATCCATCCATCCATCTATCCATCTATCTATCTATCTATCTAGATCAGGGTAGTACGGATGATAAACATGGGACATATTGAGATATAACATGATGTAAGTGACAAATGCTGCTCCACATGCTGCTCACTGGCATAGGTGGTATGAAAATTGGGCCGGATTTGTTCTGTGAGACCAGCAGGGTGGCGAACAATCACTGGGGATACGCCCTGGCGTAGAGCCAGGGCAGCCAAGCACTCGGAATCCCATGGCTTTGTGGATCTTCGTAACGCTGATCAAGCTATCGCTTCCCGATGATATCAAATAGATCATTATCATATATATATATATATATATATATGTGTGAAGTGCACTCCATGCACCAGGGGTTACATAGATCCATCTGCAGCTGTGTACCGCTGCATGTCCTCTCAAGGGAGGGATAAACTGACGCTTGACGGCGAACGGAAACGCAGCCTTCTCGGAAAAGGCTGTGCCACTACTTTGTGGACTAGGCGGACCGGACTTCGGGAGCCGGGATCCCCCAGACTTCGCATTGGTAGCGGAGCCAGCTGAGCCTTCGTGCTCTTGGCTCTGTTCTTCTTTGCTCTGCTCAGGAGCCAGCTGAGCCTTCGTGCTCTTGGCTCTGTTCTGCTCTGCTTTGGAGCCTGCTGAGCCTTCGTGCTCTTGGCTCTGTGCTGCCTTGGAGCCAGCTGAGCCTTCAGTGCTCTTGGCTTCGTTCTGCCGCGGCCCTTGCTGAGCTAAGGTCCTGTGCAGGCCTTCTGTGCTTTGCCCTGTGCAGGCAACCGGTGACTGGGAACTATATCCTGGACTATGTCTTCAGCGGCGAGTTCAGCTGGTGACACCGCGGTGACCAAGGACAACTATGTGCCTTTGTTCAGCGGTGCACCCAGTGACTACCGCGAGTGGCGGAAGAGGATAACCCTCTACATGACCAAGATGAAGCTGTTGAAGCGGGAGGCGGAAGGTGTCCTCAACTTGATCTCCAGCCTGAGTGGAACAGCCTGGAAGGTTGTGGAAACTTTCCCGCTGGAGGATGTGGAGAAGGGCGATGCCTTCAGCCGTCTGATGAAGCTGCTGGACAAGGCCTTTGAGTATGACAACAGAGTTCAACTCCCTGGCGACTTCGACAAGTACTTCAGTGGCTTCCAGCGACACAGCGGCCAGACGTTGCTAGACTATTGCACCCTGCATGACGAGCTCTACAACAGGTTGGCCGACCACAAGGTGACGTTGCCCAACCAGGTTCAAGGGTGGCATCTCCTACGACGTGCTGGCTTGACGCGTGAACAGCGTCAATTGGTGCTGACGCAAGCCCCTAGCCTGGAGAAGAACAAGGTTCAGGAGACGCTCTTCCTGGTGCTGGGCCAAGACTACAAGACGGTGGCCGGACACTCCAAAGGAGGTCACCGTGGAAAAGGCCGTGGTTATGCAGCCTTCTATGGTGATGATGAAGCCGATCCGGGTCAATGGGATGAGTCCTACGACTATGAAGCTGAGGACTACTCCGCCCACTATGAGTACGACGAGTACTACACGGAGTACAATGACTCACCGACCCACTATGAGTCTCCCTCGCACCATGGGTACTATGAGGAGGACACCACTGGGTTTGACGATGATGCAGCCTACTACGGTGATGAAGCTCCTCCTGAAGACCCACAAGAGCAAGCTGAGGAGTACGACAGTGCCTTTGCGGCCTACCTTGATGCTCGCAAGCGCTTCAATGACATCAAGCTGGCACGTGGCTACTTGCCCATCGTCGCCCTCAGCGAAGCTGGTGCTGGACTTTCCCCTGGCATTTCGCCAACAGCCTCCCCTTCGTCTTCGCCTGGTCGAGGAAAAGGGAAAGGCAAACCCAAGGGGAAGAACAAGGGCAAGGGTGGTCGCACGACCGTGAAGTACCCACCACGTGGTCCTGGAAAAGCTGACCCTCGTGGACGTGCTCAAGCAGCCCTGGCATCTACGACGTGCCTGAGGTGTGGACAGCAGGGTCACACAACCTACAACTGTCCAGTTCCAAAAGGGAGCCCAAAGAAGAGATCTGCACCAACCGAGTCAGTGGTTGGAGATGAGCATGGACTTGTCATCTTCTTGGATGACCGTGGCCATGAGCGACCTGACTGCTCTATGCTGGACCCTGGCGCTTCAGCATTTCTGAGCGGCTACGGTCCCTTCAAGCGCTACGTGGAGAAGCTGCGCGAGATGGACTTTGACATCACGCAGCTGGAGTTCATGCGATGCTCACGCACCTTCCACTTTGGAGGTGATGCAAGCTCTCAGTGCCAGTGGACAGTGAAGCTGCCGATGTTCCTGGCTGGCCAGTTTGGCTATGTCCAGATGTACCTCCTCAAGGGAGAAACGCCTATGCTGATGGGACGGCCAATCATGGAGCAACTTGGATTGGTCCTGGACTGTGGCCGACGACGCATCAAGCTTGGCGACATGGACTGGCAGCCCACTGTGATTGGAGCCCATGGTGAATACCTTTTGCCACTTTTGGACGACTATGACTTGGCCTGGCTGGCTCACCCACCAGCGTTTGAGCTGATTGCACCAGCCGACACCGAAGCCAACACCACGTCCTTCAAGGAGTTCAACAACATGGAGAACCTGTTTGAGATGGCCCCAACTGAATGTGCATCGAATGAGGGCATGCGCCCTATGCAGCGCCATCTGCTGGACACTTGTGACGTCCACTTGAATGAGTTGGAGAACAGCCTACATGCCTATGTCACCAACGAGCTGCACAACTCTGGTGACCGACCTCGGGTCTTGTGGGAAGTGTACTGTGGTGAGGCTCGAGTGGCCAAGATCGCCGAAAGCATGGGCATGACTGTGGAATGTTTTGGGCCCAACACTGGATGGGACTTTGATGATCCTGAGCACCAACGTGCCTTTCTGGAACGTCAACGTGATGAGATGCCAGATGAAGTGTACATCAGCCCTGACTGCCGGCTGTGGAGCCAAATGCAGAACCTTGCGGCTCGAACTGAGTCACAGCAGCTGGAGCTCTACAACAAGCGAGCTCGACACCACAAGGTGCACTTGAAGTTCGTTGCCCAGATCTACATGGAGCAGGTGGACAATGCCCGACATGCCCACATAGAGCAACCTGAACTTGCTCGCAGTTGGAAGACCACCGCACTCAAAGATCTTCCGGGCTACTTCACGATCTTCCACCAGTGCATGTTTGGCAGCTGCTGCCTCAACCCTGTTGGCTCATGGGAGCTTGTGAAAAAGGCGACAGCCCTTCTGACCTCCAAGGTCACGATGTCAGTGGCGATGAATCGACTTTGTGATGGGCAACACAACCACTGTGCTTTGGAGGGATCTGCAAGTGGCATTGGCCGTAGAACGTCCTACATGGAGAACTACCAGCCCAGCCTTGCGGCAACACTGGCCTCTGCGATCTACGCTCCAGATCCACCTCAACTATGGGAACACGCTATGGCAGTTCCGGAGCAGAAGGAGGTCACTGGTAGACTCATCCAGTTGCAGACCAACCTCAAAGCAGAAGCGGTGCGAACAGTCCAACGGCTACACCGCAACTTGGGGCACCCGAGCCCAGAATCCCTTGTGGAACTTCTTCAAAGTCGAGGTGCTTCAGATGCTGTGGTTGAAGCCGCTCGCTCTTACAAGTGCGTGGCCTGTTTGCGCTACAAAAAGCCTAACAACCCATCACCAGCGACTCTTCGACAACGAGCCACTGAGTTGGGAGAATGTGTTCAAGCCGACGTTCTCTGGCTGAAGATTGGCGAGAACAAGTTTCCAGTTTTGTCTGTGGTCGACACCGCCACCAAGTCACCAAGTACCAAGTGGCATCTCTCCTGAAGTCCGAGCGTGGTCCCGACCTTATCAAGGGCCTCGAGCGATGCTGGATCAAGCACTTTGGCATCCCCACCAAACTGGTGACGGACGAAGGGAGAGGATGGTGTGGTACTGAGTTCTCTGAATGGACCACTGACTTTGGTGTCCAACATGAAGTTGCCCCAGGTGAAGCTCACACACGTTTGTCTGCAGTTGAGCGCCGACACTGTCTTGCGCAAGGCGGCCGAGATCTTCATGACTGACCGCAACCTGGACAACACCACTGGAGTCCGAATGGCTCTGACCTATGTGTTGCCCCAGATCAACTCTTCGACAACGGTGGCTGGCTTCAGCCCTATGCAATGGGTCTTGGGCAAGCAGGTGACACTACCTGGTGAACTCTGTGGTGAACGACTTTCACCTGGCCAACTTGATGGATACAACTTTGAGAATGTCCTCAAGAACCGCACTGCCGCCAAAACAGCCTTAGCCCAAGCTGAGGAAGACTCCAAGCTCCGAAGAGCACTACTCCGACAGTACCAAGGCACCAACTTCCCAATCGAAGTTGGACAGCTTTGCCACTTTTGGCGTGATCAGAGGGAGGACAAGCTCACCAAGATCAGATGGCACGGCCCAGCACGTGTGGTGATGCGAGAAGATGATGATCAAGGAGCACCCCACACCTACTGGCTGGCTTGGAAGACACAACTGCTGCGATGTGCACCACATCATGTGCGTGCTGACCTGACGTCCATGGCCAACCAGATCGAGGACGCCAAGGAGGCCAAGAAAGCCGTTGCTGGACTTCGCTCACGTGGTGTGACGCGCTTCTTGGACTTGGAGCGCATCAACAAGCACAACTTGGACGACTTGGATGATGATGAGATGAGCGATGGAGCAGGGGACGATGATGATGATCTCCAACCTCCACGCCAACGGCGACGCCTTGAAGGCCCTGCTCTACCTGCACAAGGTCTTCCTGCACTTCCTGGCCTTGGCGACCCTGATGATGGCCCACGCACACCTGGGTACTCACCTGGCACACCTGTGGATGAGAATGCCCCTACTGAGGTGGTCCCCAGTGATGATGATGCGATCCTTGTGGATCAAGATGCAGCTGCACACCTTCCAGTGCAAGAGCCTGATGAGCTTGAACCTGGACAAGAACCCTCTGTGCCACCGACACCAGCCTTGGCTGCTGCGTCGAGACCGGCTCTGACTTTGGACCCTGAAACGGCCGCTCTCTACGAGCCTGCCCCTGAAGAGACCTTCAACCAGATGCGTCGACGATTTGACGCTCAGGAAAGCTCTCTCTTTGGTCCAATGAGGCGCAGACACAGACTTCCAGCGCCCTATGAAGAACCACACCGAGCTCCTCGGAGTTCCCAACCACCACAACCTGCTGAACCTTCTCTACCTCAACAGCCTACTGAAGAACAAGCTCTCTTCAACCATGCCTTCACGGTCACCGACCTTGATGCCACAGAGCTTCCTCAGGGATGGCATGTTGATGAGCAAGGCTACATCCAGCTCGACCTCTCCAAGATGGAAGACTACTGGGAGGTGAAGTCAGGCTGCCTGATCAGGCATCACCTTCGACCTCGACGACTACTACATGAGTTTGCTCCTGGTCCTGACTGCCCTGTCACAGCTGACATGCTGGATCCAATCCGGGTGACGATGATGAGACTGCCCAACGGCACCACCAATGTCATGACTAACAACATCAACACCCGAGAAAAGCCTATGCCCACAACATGGACTGGCATCACAGTCTACCAACTGACTGGCAAGGTTCGCAAAGAACATGCCATGATGGCTACTGCCATGCCTGCGAAAAAGGTGGCCAGACAGCACAAGCACATGACTGCCAAGAAGATCGGCAAGAAACCAGCCGAACTTTCAGAGCGCAACATGTCGCTTTGGGAAAAGGAGCAGTTCATGGCTGCGAAGGCAAAAGAGCTGAAGAGCTTCTTCGAGCACGGCGTGTGGGAGTTCTCAACAGAGAAAGAGGCCGACCCGACACGGACTCTGTCATCAAGGATGCTCCTGAAGTGGAGTCGCAATCCTGATGGGTCCCCTCGTGCCAAAGCCAGGCTGATAGTCCGTGGCTATGCTGACCGAGATGCCTTGGAAGGCCGGGTCGAGACTTCAGCACCCACCACGTCGAGGCTCAGCAGATCAATGCTCTTGAGTTTGTCAAGCTGTTTGAAATGGTCGGGATGGACAGCCGATGTGTCCACTGCCTTCTTGCAGGGTGTCCCACAACAGCGACGCCTTTGGGTCAAACTTCCAGCTGATGCTCTGGCGATTCTGGGCTGTGAACCTGATGTTCGCATGTTCCTCCATAAGCCGATCTATGGTCAGCTGGATGCGCCCAGAAGATGGTTTTTGGAGGCCTCACGCCGACTACTTGGTTTGGGTTTCAGAGTACACCCTCTTGACCCTTGCACCTTCCTGCTCTACGAGCAAGACTTTCCTGAAGGTCGTGAACAACCTGCACCACCTGATGAACTACTTGGACCACACGGACTTTGTGCTATGGTCTGCATCCATGTGGATGACATGTTGGGTGGTGGTTCTACGAGTTCAAAGGTGCATCAGGCCAAAGAGGCTGAGCTCAAGCAAGCCTTCAACTTCAGAGAATGGCAGACTGATGCCAAGCTGGAATACTGTGGAGCTTCTTTGGAAAAGACTCCAACTGGTGGCTGGGCTCTTCACCACGACCCCTTCCTGAAGAAGGTCAAGCCGATCCCCGTGGCACGTGGACGCAGTCCTGATGATGTGATGACTCCTAGCGAGACATCTCAACTACGAGCTCTACTTGGCTCACTGCAATGGCCAGCAGTTCAAAGCCAACCGCACCTGCAGTGCTCTACGTCCTTGCTCGCCAGCAACATTAGTGCTGGATTGGTTCAAAGCCTTCAAGAAGCAAACAAGCTGCTGAAGTTCGCCAAGAACAACAGCGATGTGAAGCTTTGCTATGAGCCTCTGGGTGCTGTGGACTCACTGCGCTTGGTTTGCCAGTTCGATGCTGCCTTCGGCATACGCCGGGACTACTCCTCACAAGGAGGCTGGATCACGATGTTGATCAACCAGAAGGCCTTTGATGGACAAGAGTGTCCATACCATGTCATCGACTGGAAAAGCTCGAAGCTGCCTCGGGTGACACGATCTTCCCTTGGCGCCGAAGCTCAAGCCGCTGGCCAAGCTGAAGACAGCGTTGACTTCATATGTCGCTTCTGGGAGTGCCTCAAGGACCCCGACGCGACCCTGGCCGAGATCCTGGAGAGACCTTCATCTCTCGCACCTGTTTTGGTGACTGACGCCAAAGCCCTGTACGACAGCTTCCACAGAGATGGCTTTGGGACTGGTCTGACTGACCGTCGAACCGCTTTGGAGGTCAAGGTGATCAAAGAAGGATTACAATCCTTGGGTGGTTCACTACGGTGGCATAGCTCTGAACGGCAGTTTGCCGATGGGCTCACAAAAGAGTCAACACGACAGCTCTAGCTGATCGACTTCGGCATCACCGCCTGAAGTTCACCTGGGACCCCACCTATCAAGCCTCAAAGCGGAAGGATCTCCAAACACGCCTGCAGAGCCAGAACGAGTTCAGCAAGCCAAAAGAAGATGCTGATGAGCAGTTGCCTGATCAAGATCTACCACAAGATGACGAAGTTCCTGGCCATGCGACTCACTACATGGAGTCCTATGTCTACATGGCTGACCCTGTGGACTATGTCATGGCCGATGAGGAGACCAACCACTATGAGCACACTGAGCTCTCCATCATGCAAGAGCCTGAGGTCATTGCCGACCTGACGAACGTCAACACGGCGACCGGGGACTTTGCCACCAGCGCAAGTCGCTCTATGTCTTGGTGGATGAGTTGGTTGACGGCATTTTGCTGTCTGGTCTCCGGGAAGGCGACAGAAGTGCTTCCCTCAAGTTTTGATGATTTTTCCGTGGCACAATGCCCACTACAGATCTATGAGCCGAAGACCGAAGGTCTTGGATCTGGTTCCTACGTCCTTGACTTCCTCTACGACTTCTCCTATGACATCCTCCTCCTGATCCTCTTCCTCACCATTGTCTTCATTGCCTACAAGGCTGCATTGGTTTTCGGATGGCATCAGGGCTACCGCTTTGTTTTGCGGCGGCGAGCTGTCAGAGCTGAGCGCTTCGAGCGACTGCTGGAGGAGAAGACGGAAGAGCTCCACGAAAAGACCGGAGCCCTGAATGAGCTGGCAGAGGAACTCAACAGAAAGCTGACTGAGATTGCAAACCTCAATCAGCACATCCAAGATCTACAAGGTCATCTCGCCAATGCCCAACCAGAGCTTCTGCACGCTCTGCAGCAGGAGCGAGCCAAAACAGCCAGACTGCAACTGAACTTACAGGCCTTGGAACAGAGCCACTCCCAGAAGAACGAACAACTGGTGACGTTTGAGCGACACATCAGGTCTCTCGAGAACTCAATTTCTGAGTACGAGAGGATTCGCACCAGTGGCATGCGTGTGATGAACCGGGCCCACAACGAGCTCGAGCACCACTTTAACAGATATCACCGCAATGGTGAGATCTTTGTGGCGAACAGAGGGACGGTGTGGCACACCGATGGAGGATGCTACCACCTCCACAACTCCTTTGTTCGAGAGCTGTGGCCTTGTCAAGCCTGTGCTCAGGATGTGATGACGCCCCACATCCGGAATGAGAACGGCGTGACGTTGCACAACGCCATGACTGGATGGCTGGTGTCTGCTCAGTTCTTTGACACCTCCAATGCGGACTACCCGATGTTTCCTGTAGTTCCTGGAGCAGCTCCTTCTGGTGCCGCATCTTCTACTGCAGCTAGCTGATCTGGCCCTGAGCAGGCCGTGCTAAGCCCTGAGCAGGCTTCTCGCTGGCGATGATGGCCAAAACGGCCCTGTTTTCCTTTTGTTTCACCAATACACCCCCGTGTGAAGTGCACTCCATGCACCAGGGGTTACATAGATCCATCTGCAGCTGTGTACCGCTGCATGTCCTCTCAAGGGAGGGATAAACTGACGCTTGACGGCGAACGGAAACGCAGCCTTCTCGGAAAAGGCTGTGCCACTACTTTGTGGACTAGGCGGACCGGACTTCGGGAGCCGGGATCCCCCAGACTTCGCAATATGTTATATGTATATATATTGTCATGATCCCTGGAGATTCTGTCTGGTATTATATTGGATCTACGAAGAAGACAGCTGCAAAATCTTACATCAGTTGGAGATGGGATTCAGATGGACAGTCCCTTGGCAAGCGCAGTTCAAGCACCTGAATTCAGGGCTGGGCTTTACTGGCTAGTGCAGCCAGCGGCCAGGACAGCCCATAGCAGCTAGCTAAAATGGGGTAGTCTGACCTTTTTATAATGATAAAATGGGCTGCTTCGACCCTGAACAGGTCTTTTTAAACCATTGTTTTGGGCAAAATGGGTGCATCGAGGTCCCGATCAGTTGAGGCTAAAATGCGCCGAACATGTTGTGAAAATTAGGTTGGCCCATCCGATGTCATTTTGAGGGTGACCCACATTTTAGCTAGGCTTTCCCACAGTAGATGTTGGCACTTTGTTGGCACTCATATGCACCAGTCAGTGCATCCAGGACTCAGCTTGCTGAACAGATTCTCGTTGGTGTCGTAGAAGGGTGAGTAGGCCATGCCCCCAATGATGCCCACCAGGGAATAAAGTACCACCTGCGGTGGTTTTTCACATGCAGAATTCTGGCTGAACCACTCACCGGGTTCCAGCACCGATGTGTTTTGCTGTGTTCTTCTATGTTTGTTCCATGGTTTTCGATGTTTGTATGTTTGGGGAAGTTAGTTGAAGCTCACTGGCTTCAACCAACTCATGTCTCCGTGTTGATGATTCGCTCCGGAACCAAATCCTTCCACCCCATTGTTGGCGCTAATTGCTGAAAGGCAGGGCGGGTAAGATACAAAGGGCACGAGTCTGCCTTTTGTGTTTCATAGTGATAGGACCTGATAGGAATATTTAGTAGTAGACCATCCAATGTTAGGGGCATTTCGGGATATTAAATCGCATGATGCATGCCCATTTGAGCCAGGCCACTGGCTATCGGTAGCCAGCCCCAGCACTGCATTTGCGGAATGCTAATGATCAACCTTTTTTAGATTAATAAATATGCATCTTTGGAGGAAGAAGCCCAAGGTGCGTAAACAATTGCAAACTCTTATTGCTTCGTTCAGGGAATACTGCATTTTACCAAAGGAATAACTCGTGTCTTTTTTGTCGAAGGGGATAGCGTATCTTTCAAAGAAGGAAAGATTTTCGAAGAACAACTGCACCTCTTTAAAGAAAGATTGCATTTCATTGGAGCGGTACTACTTTTGTTTGATGGAAAATTGCACTTTTGGAAAAAAGATTGCGGCATGTTGTGTGGACGTACTGCTTCTGCAAAAAAAAATCTCGCTCTGTATGTCTATATATATATATAGATATAGATAAAGACACTGAAACAAATCTGAAACAATATATATATATTATTGAAAACAATGTATAGATATATATATATATGTGTGTGTGCAATAAATATATGGATAAATACAGAGTTTTCACGCTGATCGTTTTTGCAAGTCCCAAAAAGTTGCTGCCAAGGTGCTACAAAGGACATGGTCGTCCAAAAGGTGACACCTTGGGACAAGTGCGCCTTGATCTGTGGATATTTGAAGGGTAGAACCTGATAGAACTGATGGAACCTGACAGGTATGCCATCATAGAATCAAGCAACTTGAGGTGAAAATAATGGTTTACCCAATCTCCAAAACAATCTCTTTTGTATCACGGTCGCGTCCGTCGCGGACAAGGCACCAACCGGCACATCCGATTTCTTCTCATTCACCCAGGATGGAAGTGCACTGGTGAAAGCCTGACAAGGGACGTCGATGATGTAGATTCCGGGTGGCTTGGCCCTTGCCCCGCCCCCAAAAAAAACATCCATGTCCAATCTTTGATCTCCCGCATTCCTTTTTAGCTGTTTAGGTTAATATATCCCAATTGACGGAAAAATATTAGTACCCTTCTAGGTATCCAAGGTTTGCCCAGCATTTGAAACCACAACTCCCCATTCCTGGATTGTGAATCGGTGAATCCCAAAAAAAATATCTGTTGGAAATGAGGCAACCATAGGCAACCCTAGCTTCGCCATAGATTCAAGGGGCGAAATTGAAGAGCACTGTGCCAATCAACGACGATTGAGACGTGGTGACTGAAGGCAAGGCGTTGCGCGGAAAGGCCGGTTCCAGAAGCAGCAAAGCAATCCAAATGGCCTCAGTGGGATGGGACCATTTTCATCATGTTTTATCTTGGAGATATCATAGATCTATTATGATCTATTGAGGTTTAGATACTGCGCATTTTTTCCTGGTAGGTTTGAGAAGTCGTCTGACTCTTTGGAGTGGTTTTTGCACTACATACAGAAATATAGAAATATAAACATATATAAATATAAATCTATATGTTATATTGTTACTATTACTGATACTATTATGTTTATCCATGTTTGTTGGCGACAAAACCCCACCTTCACCCTGGCAAAACATCGCCAGGGAGCTGCCATGACGACCAGACCAATCACCGCCAAGTACTGCAGGATCACGTTGTCATCCAGGTTCTTCACCGCAAATGGAGCACAGATTAGAGCCACGGCCAACCTAATGATTTTAATGGACGCGATGAATTTGAAAAATGAGTTTACAATAATAGCTTTTGATATCATATGATATAAGTTGATATCATATAATATAAGTTGATATCATATGTTAATGTTCCATTGTTTGGCCCCAATAGTAAACGTCACCTTTGGGGTATACCACATTTCCAAGCAAACCCAAGTAGAGTGACCTCAAAAGCCGCAGTGGGAACATCGGAGCAGTTACCCAGCTACGCTCTGGGAATCAAACATTGCGAAAGTACGTTCATTGTTTCCAATCCAAAATCATCATGAATGTATAGATGTAGATCTATGTGTTGGTGTAGGTCTACGTATGTGGATATGAACCCGATAGTGTACCCATATTAGTGCATATATATATATACATATATATATATATACTATGTAAGTGTACTATGTGTTAATCTTCATCTTGATATAAGTATATAAAAATTATACAGTAAATGTTATATAGTACAAAATGACCATATATATATATCCATATATGACTTGCACACCACGAGTTATTCCCGTAGACTTCAAATTCGAGGCTTCGCCCAAGATGCATCGAGCTGGAGAGCACCAGTCGGTCGCCGAAGGGCGTCACCGAATCCGTCTGTGTCCCGCACACCTCGGTGTCCACGACTCGTGCGACTCTAACCCTGGCGTTTCACTGCAGAATGGAATGGACTGCATTTGGAAACAAATTCACTATACACCAGAATCTACCAACTCGGCCAGAAGGGCATGAGTCAAAATTACTGGTAGTGAGGTAGTTACCAGCCCTAAAAAAAACAAATTTCAGTGTCATGTCCGAAATGTTTATTGGACATATATATATATATATACACGATATATATATATATATACACGATATATATATATATATACCACTACCGTACCCTTCAGTAGCTTCGATTTGGGTGTTGATGCGCACCATTGTAATATCACACGCATATTACCTACATTTACATATGTATATACATATACATACATATGTTTGTATATATATATATACCGCATGTATATATTATATATGTATATAGTAACCCAAAAAATCTAGAAAGGCTAAATCCTACTGAAAAAATGTGATTCATTACTGTCCTATCTTTTTGCGCGTTATTCTACGTAATTATATATATATATATGTTTTACCTGGGGCAGATAGAATATGGAAATGTCAACAAAATCCTGAGAAAAATGGGAATATATGGGAATATACTTGCAATATCTTAAAATTGTGATTTTCTATCTACTTTTTTGGATCATTTTGGTCAAGCCCCATGGCTTTCTCCAAGGCTCATAGGCAGCTCGAAGGCCCAACTGCAGCCCTTTGCCGGGGGAGGAACCTATGGTTCCAATATGCGGGTCTTTTCGGGGCTTTTCTGATGGAAAATCTACGAGAAACATCAAGAAACCTATGGGTTTTACATCTTATTAAGTTATGAATGGTTATGATATGTTATGATTTAAATATCACTATGTCCTGTAAATGTTCCTTGAAAAACATCTTTTAACCAATTCCAGGATTAGTGAGATTTTAATTGTTTGGGGGTGACCTCTGGGTGGTCTGTGCTTCCCATGAAATCGGAGAATACAAAGTTTTTAAGGTATACTATACGGATGTATACGGTATACAATAATTAATGAGATGCTCAAGAAGCACAAAAATGAATCTGCACGTGGTAGCAGCTTTGGACTCGGCAATCAAACATGGCCAGCTGAAAAATCTGTCATTGAGTTCGATGACTTTCCCATTAAAACCTCCATTTATAGGGGATTTCCCGGCTAGCCATGCTTGATTGCCAAATGGGAACTCTTTTTGTAGCTGAAGCAAATCACTGTCTGCTGCAGCCTTTGCATATGTGGCCAAGGCAGGGTCACGCTTGGGGCCAAGGTGTTAGAAGTGTGAACTGGGACTAGAAACTACAACCTGCCTAAGGCCTACCTTTAGCATGGGGCTGCATCCACGAAGGCAAGATAAGCTTTGCTTGTTTTGACATGGAGCTCACTGGCCAAATGACATGTCCCTACAACACCAGCGATGGAAAGGAATGGTCCACAAAGCTGGAGATTGAGCAAACAAGAGTCGGACAAAACGATTAGCTTCAACATACACATGCACTTATCCGAGTAATTATGCATATATAACTATATATACATATGATACATATGCCTGTCATGTAGATTATGCACTGTATATCTACATAATATATGATAATATTATCATAGCATAAAGTACGAGTACTTTTCTGTTCTCTTTCTCTCTATAATTAGTATATATATACATATACATATGCATATACATATATATATATATGTGTATGTATGTATGTATGTATGTATGTATGTATATGTACATATATGTGTATATATATATGTATATATATATGTATATATATATGTGTATATATATATATGTGTATATATATATATGTGTGTGTGTGCGCGTGTGCAAGTGTGTGGTCCAGTCCTGGAGCGCAGCCGTAGACATTCAGCATGATATAGTCCATGACCTGCGAATTTCGAGGAGAAACCCGCGGAAACGACTTCTGGAGCTCCAGTCACTCCAGTCCTGATGTAAAATCTGGATATCCCCATTGAGTTCAATGATTTTTCCACGAAACCCCGTCCATTTTTGTTGGCTTCCCAGCTTGCCATGGTTTTACTGGAGGGCAATACGGATACGGAGATTTCATCTCTGCAAAAAAAATGGTGTATGATGATTTATCATGTTTCTAAATTCTTAATCTCAACCATCTTAAGGGGATTGATGGGGATATTGCAAGTGATAGACGCAACCCTACAAGGTATCCCAAAGTATGCCCATTTCAATTAAATACACAAATATATATATACACATATTATACATATGTACACATCATTTATACAATTTTATATTATACACACACATATATATATATATATATCAGGAAAACGATGATAAACTATCAGGAAGATGGCGATAAACCACTGGTTTTTTTTCAGTAGCCTCTCTTCAGACGAAGCCAAATCCACCATGCACCACGGCCTGACCAGACTGAATGATCAACGACATGAGGTTCAGGATGGAGTTGATGTGATAACCTCGTCAGAAATGGCCATCGAAGTGCTGGGTCTAGCCTCCTGTTTTCATGGTTTGCTGTGGCAAAAGGCTCATAGAATTGATATAGATATAGACATAGATTTAAATATTAGATATTAGATATAGGATATGGATATAGATGATTTACCTGATCAAATGACGATTTTCCATATACATAGCTATGTTAAATTATGATGGGTATTGATTTGTTGTTCAATCTTGCCCCAGGTTTTTCGGTGTCGTTGCTCCACTTTTCAGGGATATAAGGGATGGAAATGGAACATATTTGAAGCCACCAAGCAGATCATCTACGGAACGATGCAGTGAAGCTACACCTCTCCAGGGAGGGATCAATCCCCCAAGAAACACCCTCTGGTAGACTAACATAGCTATGGAAATCACCATTTTTCATTGGAAAATCAACGATTTCGACTGGGCCATGTTCAATAGCAAACGGTTAAATTACCAGAGGGTAACTATATACACTTCAATGTTCCTGTACTTTCTGTGACCCCCCGGTGGGCCAGGGTAAACTCTTGACGATCTCCGGATATCTCCGGATATCTCGAGCGGCAAATCATGGTGCCCACATAGAGCTGATGAGGCAAGTAGAACGATGCCAAATTGGTAAACCTTGCCATGCCGATGATTGGCTCTGGAAACCATTGGAAACCCCAAAAAACTTGGGACCAACAAAAAAATGTGTTTGTTTTTTGTTGGAAAGCTGGGACCGTTGGGAAATGGATTGGTTCAATGTCAAACCTGGAAGCCATGCTTGGCAGCGGCGACAGGGCCGATGAAATGCAGGATTTCTCTGATTGGGAGTGGGGCATTCCGAATGGCATAATTGCTCATGGATTTCCATGTCCCTGCGCGTCCCTTCTGTTTTGAGATGGTTTAATATCTGGGGCAGAGTGTGAAGAATTTGCTTGAGATTCTAAATGGATCACGCACAGAGGTTTTTGGCATATCCAATTCCGATATCTGTCAGACTGGAGAAAAAAATACAATTTAATATGATAATTACAATTTTAGTCATTGTAAGAAATTCGGAACCCGAAATCATATAAATCACATCCCCAAAAGAGATTCGTTTCTCCGGCAACACAAGCGGCGCCAAGTAGCTCAATGGTTTGCTCAAAGTGATGATTTCCTGCCGGGCCGGTGGAGTGTGAAACATATGGCTTTTCCAGCCGGAACTGATTCGCAGAGGGTACCTACATTTTTCATATCTAATCCCATCCTATCAAATGTCTCTAATATTATCTTATCCAATCTACTCCATGCAATGCTTCCGCGAGATTGGATCACTGGGGGGTCAAGATACTGCATATCTCTGCATATCATAAAGGCATGTGTAAACGGACTATGTATATTATACCATAAACAAAATACGATGAATACATGCATGGCACTTATGTATCTATTCTTTATGGCTGTCTTCTCTGTTCAGAACGTCGAAATGCATACTGCATAAGTCTGGACAAACAAATATAATTGTATTTACATAGCAGCAAGTCACAGCAAAGCATTGGCGCATGGCACAGCCGCAGTGTACGGGTGCATGACATTCCCTGGTCGCAGTGCTTCGCAGTGCATTCCCTAGCATCACGTAACTATCTGCTCGCTGTATATCATACTTGGCTTGTGTCAAAAAGCTCTTCTTGGATGTTTGAAGTCACTCCCTTCGACCAAGCCATAAGTCCAAAATCCCCTACGGCTGGAAAATCCTCCAAAGCCCAATGGCATCAACAAATGGCATCAACACAGCTTGGATCACCACAGCAAGACTAATCTGTCTTAGCGCTGCACCTGGAATGCATCGCATGGCCTCGATTAACATCAGGCCACAGAGAGAGGAGAAACCAGCCTCAGGCCGGCAACTCACCGATGGGGTTGGAGGATCCCTGTCCAAAAGTGGGCTATGATTGCTATGCCTAGATTGAATCTTGTTGTTTTACCATGTTGTACCTGGTTGATCATATTTTTTCCTTCTTGAAGCGACCACTTTGGAGCATCCCACTTTTTCAAGAAAGCCAGGTCAGGGCGAAGCACTGCTCTATGAAGATGGGATTCTGTAGGGTGCCCCACGGAAATCCCACGCTTCAAACCCCCCTTAATTTCGCTCATTATTTCATGGCCATCACATTCTGTAGGATCACCTTTCAACATGTTTCGATCATGATAATTACCCTCTGGCAAACTAACATCACTATGGAAAATCATCATTGTGTATGGGAAAACTCACTATAAATGGCAATGTTCAATAGCTATGTTAGTTTACCAGAGGGTATCTAAATACCCAAGTCGTGGACCAACTATCATGGGTGTCAATATCCGATTTATGAACTGAGATCATCTATAGTCCATTAGTTATGTGGCTGTCTCTTTCAACCTGTTTTAACGATGGTTTATCATCATATCAACAGTCCCCTTTAGAGCAGCCATAAATGGAGCATGCTCTATTTTCAGACACGCCCATCATATCATACCCATATAGGTTATATGTATTTAGATGCCCCACGATACCCCTCGTTGTATCCCTGTCACCTTCAGATAAATGATCAGATAAATGATTATGTTGCTCCATTTTGATGCCCAAAAATGGTGGGAAGGTGAGAGGGAATATGGCGAGCAACCTGAAAAGTTCAGGAATTTGGGGAATAGTTGTCCAAATCAAAAACCACAATCTACAGAGACGTCGCGACATGAGGTTGGTATAAGATGTATAAGCCATTCAGATATTATCCCATGATATTCCGATGATATCCCATCACCATTCTTAGTGCTTCAATCCAGATTTCCCGTATCCATTTTTGGGTACCCCCAATATTCCCCAATCAGATCCCAATATGTCCAGGATCTTCCCATCCAAAAAATCCCAAACGATACCCGAGAATAGCTGGATGATGCTGGATGTTTATTCAATAAATTCCCCCGTCATATGGTAAATTCCGAGGTTTTGGCCCATGAATGCATCGATGGGGAACTCCCGACTTTGACCCATAATTCCCATATAATTCGGTGAAATCCCATGGATGCCCGTCCAAGGAGCCACCACAGCCTGCACAAGGAAGAGGGAAAACCAGCCTGCCTCCTGTGCCAGCGCCGGCATGGACACGATGGTAGGGCCTCAATCACCATCGCTGGAAAAAGAGATGGGAAAAACGTGAGCGAAGAAGCCAAAAACCATTGTTTTTTTAATGTGTTGTACCATATTTTAATGTGTTTTTACGAATGAAAGACGGATTTCCAATCAAAGGTGAATCAGAAACTATGAGTTGTTTAATGGTTTTTTTACCAGTCACAAAGATGAAGAAAAGGAGCTTTAAAAAACCAAGAAACCTTGGATTTGATCATCAATGGACTGGAAATTACGGTTTTGACCAATCAGAAATGGGTTTTCCTGTTGATTTTCCCATCGAACTGCCGGACATCAGGCATAATGGAGATTTAATCGCATTTAATCAATTATATATATATATATATTGTTTTAAATATATATATATTTATATTATATATATTAAAATATATTATGTTAAATATATCTATATTATATATATATATATTAAATATGTTTAAATATATTATTTTATATTATATATATAATGATTTATAATGATGGAGATTTCACCAACAAAAAACGAGGAAACATGAGGAACCTAATTAAGCGGCCGAGATGATGAGTGTGGCCAAAAATTTCCGGCTGAAACAAACATCTCCCACCTGGAAATGAAGATGTAAGCAACATCTTCAGTAACCACGAGTGTCATCGAAGCTACTTGTAGCCCTAGTTGTTTTCCGCTTCACGCTGTGATCCTGGAACATCCTGGGGCTGCCCCACCTGCCAGGTTGTTGATCAAGAGCATCACCCCACCCACCAGACCGATACTCTTTGATTCCACCGGCGCCTGAACGGTCACAGATGTGGGGATAGGAGATGGTAGGATCAGCCCAAGCCCGAACTGGCAATGGAAAATAATGGAAAACCAACTCATTTAAGATATGTTTTCATATGTTTCCCATATTCAAGTTTGGAGGATGTTCCTAGGTTCAATCTCAAGTTTAGATAATTTTCCCTTTGTCTCTCATTTATGGATATTTATGGCTGATCTTCCTTGAGCCCCAGATCCCCATGAAAACTAGACGATGGTTGGCCCGAGAGCGAGTAGGTGTATAGGTACTCAGATGTGTTATGTAGCTGTATGATTTGCAGACGCCAAAGACTTGCATGAATATGTTCATGAGAATGTTACTTGAGATCATGTGAATATGTTCATTATGTGTAGATGTCAAGATAAGAAGATGTGAAGATGCGAGGGTTTTGAGACAGACAAGGTATGCTGTATAGAAGGTTATTGGAGATGTGAAAAATACGAACATACAGATATGCTGATAGGCTCTCAAACACAGACATACACAGAGAAACATGTTTACACATATATACACACAGACACACACACACAAACCCACACACACACACACAGCAGCAGCTTTTACACACAGAAGCTTTTTACACACAGAAGCCTGTACACACAGAAACTTTTACACACATAACCTTTTACACACAAACACATTTTACACACAAAAGTTTTTACACACAGAAGCTTTTACACACAGAAGCTTTTACATACAGAAGCTTTTAAACACAAAAGTTTTTACGCACAGAAGATTTTTTCCCGTACACTCAGACATTTTTACACACAGACGCTTTTACACACAGATGCTTTTACACACAGAAGCTTTGACACACAGCAAGCTTTTACACACACAAGCTTTTACACACAAACGCTTTTACACACAGACGCTTGGACACACAAACGCTTTTGCACGCAGAAGCTTGTTACACAGAAGCTTTCACACACAGAAGCTTTTCACACACAGGCACTTTTACACACGGACACTTTTACACACACAAGTTATTACACACAGACGCTTTTACACACAGACGCTTTTGCACACAGAAGCTTTTACACACAGAACCTTTTACACACAGACGCTTTTACACACAGAAGCTTTTACACACAGAACCTTTTACACACAGAAGCTTTTTACACACAGACGCTTTTACACCATTTACACACAGAAGCTTTATACACAGACGCCTTACACAAAAGCTTTTTATACGCTTTTACACACAAACGCTTTTACACACAGACGCTTTGACACACAAACGCTTTTGCACGCAGAAGCTTGTTACACACAGAAGCTTTTACACACAGAAGCTTTTCACACACAGGCACTTTTACACACGGACACTTTTACACACAGAAGCATTTTACACACAGAAGCTTTTACACACAGAACCTTTTACACCCAGAATCTTTCGCACACAGAAGCTTTTACACACAGAAGCTTTTACACACAGAACCTTTTACACACAGAAGCTTTTTACACACATACGCTTTTACAACATTTACACACAGACGCTTTGACACACAGAATCTTGTACACACAGACGCTTTTTACACACAGACACTTTTACGCACAGACACTTTTACCCACAGAAGAATCTACACACAGAAGCTTTTACACACAGAAGTTTTTACACACAGAAGCTTTTACACACAGACGCTTGTACACACAGACGCTTTTACACACAGAACCTTTTACACACAGAAGCTTTTGCACACAGACGCTTTTGCACACAGAAGCTTTTACACACAGGAGCTTTTACACAAAGAAGCTTTTACACACAGAAGCTTTACACACAGGAGCTTTTACACACAGACGTTTTTACACACAGACGCTTTTACACACAGACGCTTTTACACACAGACACTTTTTACACACAGAAGTACCATTTTACTTCAGTTTTTGGCGATCGAACCTCGTTTCGTGCGAAAGGGTTCCGTTTCGTGCCGTCTCGTTGGCACTGCCCCGCGCCTTAAGAGAGAAATAGAAAAGAAGGAAAAAGAAGAGGGCAAGAGAGCAAGAGAGAATGTGAAGATGTGAAGATGTGAAGATGTGAAGATGTGAGGATGTGAAGATGTGAGGATGTGAGGATGTGAAGATGAGAAGATGTGAAGATGAGAAGATGTGAAGATGTGAGGATGTGAAGATGAGAAGACGTGAGAATTGAAGATGTGATGTGAAGATGTGAAGATGTGAAAATGTTTGACCGACCCCCACTATTAGAAGAACCCTTCGCTCAGACGCTCTCGGGTAAAATGTTGATTTCCCCTTGCCATATATTACCAAGCCTACGTTTGAGGGTGGTCCTTAATCTTTGACGCTGAGGCTATTTTCTGGCAGCACCAAAAAAGCAGTCCACGATCTTGCAGTGACTGAAGATTTCGAAATTCCAATGCATTGTCTGGGCAAATTATAATAATTCACTAACCTGAATTGTTGGGCCATAAAAGGGTATGATTCCCCTTCCTAACTATGATTTCCAGTGAGGGAGAACAGTGAGGTCGTTATAATTTACCCAGATGCATATCTCCGCCAATACCTCCTGTGTTGAATGGCATAAAATGCTGAACTTCACCAGGTTCCTGAAAGTCTAATGCACCAAAATTCCTTCTTGAGACAACCCACCGGCAATCAAACATGGCAACGGGAAACCTCGTATAAATTGGCTTGTAAATTGGAAAATCACCTAGAAATGGGAGATTTTCCATTGTCATGTTTTTCCATTCCATCAATATTGCTGGAAAGTCCAGGATATGGATGGACTTGAATCTCAACGTAGCTGGTCGATTGGGCTCTTCATCCCAGTCGGAGTATTTTTTTCAGTGACTTGAAACCACCCAGCGACCAGGTTTCATAGTTCTATTTAGTTCTGTTTAGTTCTGTTTAGTTCTATTTAGTTCTATTTAGTTCTATTTAGTTCTATTCTAATTTCAGGTCAACCTCCCAACTGATCCCTACCCAAACGACTTGGCCTTCCATTCTCCATGCCCCCACGAATGGGGACAGAAAGCAAGGGTTGATGAGGGTAAGCCATTGAGAATTTGTAACCAAGAAATCATAAAAAGGATTAAAAAGGGAGATGGTGGAAGATTGTAACTCATCAGGTGAACAACCCCATTACTTGGTTGGAGTATGTTGGAGTCTGTTTTCAGGCCACCAGAGGGCACCACCAGAACAATCCAGGTCACTCGCAAGGCTTGTTCCCACACGCGCTTCTCCAAAATCCACAGCTGGCCTCGCGGGAACGGGTAGCCGCAATGGATTCCAAACTGAAAATGTGACCTGAAACCCAAAAGAAAAACTGCTTGGTGGTTGACCTACCATTGTGGTTAATATACTGTTAATATATGGTTGATATATGGTTAATGATGATTTATAATGACCTGGTTGGTGGTTTCAAATGGTTGACCTACCCCTCTGAAAAATATGATTCAGTCGGGATTATTATTCCCAATACACGGGAAAATAAAAAATGTTCCAAACCACCACCCAGGCCATTCCCACCTCGTGACCTCGCTATCACTGTGGCACTGGGCGGCGCAACCCGGGTTGCGCCGCCATTCGTCAGCCAGGCGGAATCAAAGACGCTGCCAGGGCCCTGCTGACAGACCTCGGTGGTACAAGGTGGACCCCAGTTAGCGGGGAAATGTTTAAAGTTAGATGTGGAAAACCCATGGTTTGGGAAAACAATCTACAAATGGCGGGTTTTCCACATCTAATTATGTTAGTTTACAGAAGGGCATAAGTTGGAACACCTTGTAGTTGGCTGTGGATGTTATGGTAGATATATAATCGGTCTATATCGATACCTAGTTCATCTCAGTTCGGTTTGTTGGTTTAGAAGCCCCAGACAAACTAGTTCGAGATATCTACCATAAGTGGCCACACATGGCCACACATTGTAGCTATGGGTGCTTTATAAACGTGACTGAAAACACCGTTGAACCAGCCCCCAAAGGATCAAAAATCACTGTATCACTGGGCATCCGGCGGCCACCTGGCGCGGGGACATCTCCGAATTTGGGAAGGGACCCCAGTTAGGAAAATCTACAGCCTAGTTTGTAGCGGAAAAAAAATTGATGGTGAAATTGAGGAAGATCAGCACTTTATGAATTTATATATGCAAATGCTCCAGGCTGTCAGATAATTACCCTCAAACCCAGGAATATTAAAGCCGCAGGAATTTGATGAGGAAATCATCTGCGAGGATCCGACTGATTTTTGAGCCGAGGTCAAATTCCCTGAGGGAAAAATGGGTTGCCTTTTTGTAAAAGTTTGCCCTGTGTGGGTGTGGGTGTGTGTGTGTGAAGATGATGATAAAGCACCTAGACTTCCATATACTGCATAATAATGGACGTTCTCATGGGGTTGATATGATCCGGAATGGGCATTTCCCAATCATTTTCACATCGGAACCTGTGGCTTGAAAAGGCTTATCCTCCTGATACAGTAGGGTCGCCATCATGTCATGATCATGTCATGCGTAATATGAATTAGAGAGCATGTTGGGGAAATAAAACCCATCATCTTCCCCAGGAAATTCCATGAAATATGATAAAACATGGTAAAACTATGGGAATATCATGGCTTTTTCGCAATCCCCAAAAAATCCAAAAAGATAGAAAAGTGAAAAATCCTAGATAATTATGATAATTAGTTGTATATAAATATAATTGTGATAAATTCCTTTTCTACTTTTTTTGGGGCTTGGGGGCTTGCTATAAAATCATCATCATCCCCATGGATGGCGCACCGATCGGCCATCGGAGCGCTGCACCAGCACGTCGAAGATCCCTTCGGCCACCTGGAGATTCATGGGGGGTGAATTTATAATGGGTAGCATGGTGAATATGGTGAATTCTCACCCATAATCATGGTGAATTTATGTGAATTGTTGGTCATCCAAAATAATTATACCCAATTATGGATTGGATTTATAGTTATAGCTTACCAATGCATTTTCGTGGCTATAACCAGCTACAAACAATGTATAAATCCCCAATTATAGCCAAGAAAAAACCATTGGATGCTGGTTGCATTTTCATCGCTATAACCTGATACCAATGTACTGGGGCTATGAATTGACATACGGCCATATTGGGATACTTTCCCTTACGAAGCATGATTCCAGTGAGTATATAATTGACCCAGATCATTCATATGGTTTTTCCACCATGTTTTTGACCATGAAAAATGATGAAAATGGATTGGTTTCTACTCGAAAATCTTAACGATTTATTTGGTTTTAACATCGTTTTTACTTTGTTGTGGTTTCCCCTAGATTGTCCCATCATATCCCATCGTACAATTTTAGGACATGTGGGACCCCGAATTGCCCTCTGGTAATCAGAAAGGGCTTGCTCGAGACTCGAAACCCCTCATTTAGTTCCATAGTTTTACATCCTTCTCTACACATTCAAATGCCATCAAATGCCCATGTATGGAGGGATTTCATGGGATTTTCCATTGCCATAAACCATCCATAAAACTACCAGAAATGGGTTGTACTAAGCAAAACTGGATGTTTGTGGCACTGGGCTTCCCAAATTTTATATGTGATGAGCCCATCGTATCACCCGGTGCATCAAGAATATGACCACAAATGGGTAGCAAACATCATCCAAAAATGTTAGGTGTGCTTTTGGGTTTCCAAAATTAGATGTGATATGATGTGATACAGATTGTCATGCACAAAAGAAATCCATCAAGAAGTTTGACTAAGAACAGTGATTTAAAATGTTTTGAACACATACTCCAGGTATCTGCAATAATCAGATCTTGGGTGAATCCATCCAAAACCGCCATCCTCTCATGGAGCAACCCTGGTAGACAAGTCGCAATGTACATCCGCTGCCCTGCCTGAAAACAAACCAGGGAAATGCGGCTGGGGTGAACAGTTTGGGGAAAAAACTTCAGTCATACTGAAACCATCCACACTGCACTAATGTAGTTAAAACAATGCCACCCATTTGGGAATGGTTTATACCACCTAATCATAAATATTATGTTGATGACTGGGGGATGGTTTATTCTTGCGTTAACAACATTATTCCTTTTCCATGCTTGAAGGCCTCGTGTTTGACTAAGATACGATGACGAAGATGATGGATGGATCCAAGAATGCATGCGCGCATGGATGTGGTGATGGTGACGGTGATGGCGATAATTGACGGTGGCGGTGACGGTGGCAGTGATGGTGATGGTGATAGTCATGGATGGATGATCGATGATAGATGATCGATGATGGGATGATTGACGATTGATGATTGGTTGTTGGTTATTGATGGTTGATAGTTGATGATCGACGACGACAATGACGATGACGATGACGATGACGACGACGATGACGACGACGACGACGATGACGATGACGATGACGATGACGATGATGATGATGATGATGATGATGGTGATGATGATGATGATGTTGATGATGATGATGATGGATCATGGATGATGGATCACGGATGATGGATGATGGATGATGGATTATGTATAGTTGATGATGGATGATGGACTAATGGATGATGGATAATGGATGATGGATGATGGGTGCTGGGTGCTGAGTGCTGGTGAACAAGAAAATGAAAAATGTGATGGGAATGATGGAAACAATGAAAATCATAAAGCTCAGAAAACAATGGACATGATGATCAGGATGAAGTTCATGATCAAGATGAGCATGATCATCATGATGACGACAGCAACGGTAGTGAAACCATATATGTGAGTGTAAAGTGCGTCAGTCATGCTTTATCTTTCAGGACAAGTCAAAACAATGAGGCTCGCAAGGTCGAAACATTCATTATCCACCATTCAACCTGGCTTAGCTTGGGTACTACTAATCAGGAGGAAAAAAAAAACTACATTTGCAGCGCAATCCCGCGGGGAATTACCCCGTTGATGGCTAGAAAATTATCCACACACCAACAATCCAAAAGATTTACCAATTGAAAGGTGAACAAACTTACTTATTGCATTCCATCCCGGACCCAGCTATGAACAGAAAATGATGAATAATATGGAATAGTTGGAAGATTAATGCAAAAATCACCAAGCCTCCCATTTGATGCCGGGTCTGTTCCCATTAAATCTCATTTACTGTGGCCTTTGCCCAGCTCAAAAAGAACCAGCTCCCGGGTCAAGAACTGACCCAGATGTTTGCTGCTCAGGTGCGGGCTGCCCTTGTTGGATGATAGTTTCATTGGCTTGGACAGGCTGGAGTCTCCTTGGGAAAATGCGGGATGGCCATTCGAAAATATATGAGAACATGCGGGTTTTAAATGGTTGAAACCATGACAACCAGGATAAACTACATAAACTAAACCATGGATTTCGGGTAGCCTATTTCCAAAGCCACATGGCCGTTCAGAATTCAGCACGAAGTCTCAGTCTCTCTCTCTCTCTCTCCATCGCCTGTGGAGCCTAAGCTAAAGGCAAGCCAGGCAAGCCAGGCAAGCCAGGCAAGCCAGGCAAGCCAGGCAAGCCAAGGCCCAAAGATAAATCACCCAATTCACAATTTGGGTTTGCTCAATTCCAACGGCCACTAAACTGGTCGTTTGGAGGTTATACTTATACCCAATTCTCAGACAAAGCCATTTAGAGTGCATAGCTTGCTGTGTGATGGATCTGAGCTATCCCAACAGCTTGTGTGTGTGGGTGGGAGTTCACCAGTTCCCCAGCCGACTCAACCAAAATCCTCGACGATTTTGAGTGGCCTGCATATGATGTCCCACAAGTAACAAATCAAAATCCCACTCATTCAAATCATATCTGTGCTACCCTTCCTCGGATCTCATCCATGGAGAGAGTCAGCACCCTTTCCAATACGCAACATGAGTTCCATCCCTTGAATTCTTTGAGTTCAACACCCCCACAGTGGCCATTCAATGCTATTCCCAGTAGTTCATGCATCTATGCCAATCTATGCATCTTCCAACCCCCAGAACTCATTCTTGGGGGGGTCCGGTTGTCAAGCCCATCCGCGGCCCAAGTTTCATGGCCCGTATCACGGCCCGAAGTAACTCCTGGATGAAGCAAAGATTTGACTTTTAACCAAATGACAAGAAAATATCGCAGGTGGGTGGCATCCTCAAGACTCAAGAGCAATTAAATGTGGTAGGACACCTATCAAGTTTCAACCCAACCATTCCGCAACCCGCAACCCGCACTGGCACATGTGGAACCACCCAGAACCCAGTCACTAGGTCCCTTGAAGTCCATTTTGGTCGGGACTTCATGAGACAACTACCCACAAACCACCACAAAGCACCAACTGGATCTCCCAGGACCCAGGATCTCCCAGGATCTCCCAGGTCCTCCCGGTGATGTCCCATGGCCACTTTCAGCCCATCACCTTGGATGCCATGGGATGCCATGGGATGCCGCTTAAATCGCATCAACATGCATCAACTATCATGAACGGTCACCCCGTCACCCCTAAAGATCTCTTGTAAAGTGGAAAGCCCAGCCACTGGTCTCGAAAATCAGCTTCAACCACTCCTGCTGTGCCGCATTGGGCCCAGCATGCTGCGCCGTGGCAAGCATAGCCCCCGCAGCACCCAGCACCGCCAGCGGGGCGTTGTGCAGCGCGTGGCTGCGGTGGCTGGCCACACGTGCTTCCAAACTCCTGGGGGGTGACCATGACACACCAAATCTATCCGAACATTTGGACACATGTTCTAAGCGCCAATGTTCCCGGCAGTTGGCCGACTGGAGGTGATGTAGCTTCAATATCTATCAATAGTCATCAATTATATTATTAGTGAACCTACTGACAGAGGGCTGCGGATGATTCACTTCTTGACTGCCAGCCCAGTTAGCAACGTTTAGCAACCCTGGCATGTCCAATGCAGGAATGCCTACACGCGAATCTAGATTTGGAACCATAAATGGTTTGTATAATCCAACCTACTTTCCCTACTCCTCTCAGACACCGTAATAAATCCTATCAGAAAACATCATCATTTTTCTCAAATTGGGAGCAAGCAAGTACCAATGGGGCGTGCCACCACCAAACGTTGCTATTAGATGCTGTGGGCTATTTCCCGGTTTTGTTTCTCGTGTCCCCACGATTGTTGGTATTGTCATCTACAGTAACACCTTTTTGATGGTAGTGCCGGAGTGGCCGAGTTCCTCCAAATATACAAGGACATACTCTGATGAAATATAGCTAAAATATGTGCTAAATTATCAAAACCTATGACAGCATCAACTCGAAAAATGGATGATTTATGGCGATGTCCTTTTGCCAACCCATCGTGTCCGAAGCCTGGTGCTTCTTCTCCCCTGACAGCATCTGAAAGCTAAGAAAATTAAACCGCCTGAAAGCTTTATATAGTGCTTTGGAAGGATCATACATAATGTGGAATATTGTGGAAACTATAACCTTTGGTTTCTATGTGTTCAAGCTGGCATCCCCTTTGCCATCATGCGTGATTGACCCTTTTCTTAGAACAGGATCGCCATCTGGGGATTTTTGTCCATTTCGATCCGTTTCCGGATTCTTTGTGCTTCCTGTTTTGCCTGCTTCTCTGCTTTTCTGCTTCATTGCTTCTCTGCTTCCCCGCTCTTCTGCTTCTCTACGTTTCTGCTTTTCCCTGCGTGTTTGCTTTTCTGCTTCTCCGCTTTCTGCGTCTCTGCTTCTTTGCTTTTCTGCTTCTGTGCTTTTCCCTGCTTTCTTGAATCTCAAGCCTAAATAAACCCTATGAAAGGTTAGTCATGTAAATAGACCCTAAACCAACCCTGTTAAGCACAAACCAACCCACCAAAAATAATGCACTAAATAAATTTCTATCCAACCCTACAGAAACCTCAACCAACCCTAAAGATCTTAAACCAAGCCTAGATAAACCCTAAACCAACCCTTTAGAGACTTTTAAACCAAACCCAAATAGATCCTAAATATATCTTAAACCAAGTCTAAACAAACCCTAAACCAACCCTTAAATAGATCCTAAACTAACCCCTAAGTAGATCCTAAACCAACCCTAAAAAGATCTTAAACCAAGTCTAATTAAATAACCCTAAATGAACCCTAGTTTCAAAATACCTTGCAAAATGAACAGTTCGAGCACCAAAATAAGGCAAATATATGCAAATATACCATTATACCATGGAAAATGAGAGGTTCGAACTCCAAAAAATTGCAAACAATACCGTTGAAATGGCAGTTTCCAGTTCCAAAATGCGGCAAATAGCGATAAAATCCACATTTAAACAGAAAAACAAAAACAAATCCAGACCCCATAGAAAGATCTTTGGACGATTCGAGCGGCAGGTATCTCTCTCCACACGGACGAGTAGCTGTTGCATTTGTTTTTTCCTTTTTGTCCATTTAACATGAAACGAAGCACCTGGGATGATGTCACGATCTTTGTGAGTGATGTCGATCAGCATCGATCAGCATCAATCAGCCCGTCCTCTGCTCTGCCAAGGCGTCTGGAGGCGTGACTGCTGTAACCCGCCGGCGGACGCTCAACTCCTACCCACGCGGAAGCAACGGCTGCACCATGGGGAGTTGATGGGAATTCACCAGTTTCATGGGGTATTAACCATGACATCTTACAGCCATTGAAATTGAAATTGGAACATATGATGGGGAGATATTGATATTTTAGAGTTTTGGGTGTGCATATATATATATATTATAGATACATATATATGTAGATACATATATATATATATGCACTTATATATTAATATATATATATATATGTAGATACATATATATATATATATATGCACTTATATGTTAATATAGATATATATATATATATATTAATGTATATATATATATATTAATATATATATTATTATGAATTGATACGGCCAACAATAATATGATAACATGGATCTATCTGAAAATGGGGTACACATGGGTATACAGTATACCCCAAATTTACACCAAGTATACTAAGGAAAAAAAAATGATTACTGTAACCAATCAATTTAGGGGTAACCTATTGTCAAAGGGAGTGGCAGGCTGTGGGAGTGCGCTGTTTCACAAGGTTGGGTCATCACACACATTTTGAAAGATGATTAAATGCATTGAAAAAAAGGGAGGGGGGGGTGTTGTGAGCGCCATGTTTTTTGCATTTTTGACATTTCATTTCTGCAAAAGATACCAAACCCTGTTCTTTCCAAAACCAAACATTATTGCTTAAGTAACAAAAGCAACCACTGTGCATTCTCAACAGCTCTCCCAATGTCCTACACAGACACATAGTTTCAGCCAAAACAAACATGAACACGTCACTAAATAAAAACAACAAAACAAACAAGCACAAATGCGTTTCCAAAGAGTGCAGCATTGCTTTAAAAATGTATAGACTCTACATCTCTACAGGGGGTTCCCTCAACATACGCAACAGTTCTTTTGGACATGTGCATTTTAAACAGGCACCAATTTATGCAATATGTTCTCTATTGTTAAGTTGCTTATTTGTTAGGTTCGGGTACCCAAGAAGAGTTTTGAAGCAATAAGTTTGGGTCCAGTTTGCAACAAGGGTTTTGCACAAACACTCCAAAATGCAAAACTCTTCTTTCAACAAAATGAAGCAGTCTCACACGCACTTTTTTAGACGCAACCCCAAGCGTCAAAGTTTTAAGTGTAAAGTGTCTAAAGAATCTAGAGTTTAAAGTTTAAAGTTTAGAGTGTTTCATTTTTCACCAGGCTTATGAAATTATCAAGATGAAGGACCCCCTTTGAAAGGAAATCTTGTTATTTCACAATGTTTTCACTTAGATTAGTTTATGGATTTTACCAGGTATTCACCAGTTAGAACTTTCACCGGTGAAAACCTGGTGAAAACTTGCTGTTTTTTTTCTAAATAAACTTGCTTACAATTAAAAACTTGGTGAAATACTGGTGAAATACATAAACCTGGTGAAAACCTGGTGAAGACTTGGTGCTTTACTTTTAATCCTACTGGAGTTTATAAACTTGATGAAAGCCTGGTGAAAATTTGGTGAAAACCTGGTGAAAACTTGGTGAAAACTTGGTGAAAACCTGGTGAAATTTAAACACTTGCTTCAATTACAAAACTTGGAGAAAGCCTGGTGAAAACTTGGTGAATTTCAAAAACGTGGTGAAAACTTGGTGAAAGACATAAACCTGGTGAAAACTTGGTGAATTTTTAACCTGGTGAAAACTAGGTGAAATACATAAACCTGGTGAAAACTTGGTGAATTTCAAAAATGAGGTGAAAACTTGGTGAAAGACATAAACCTGGTGAAAACCTGGTGAAATTTTGAAACCTGGTGGAAACTTGGTGAAAACCTGGTGAAATTTAGACAGTTGCTTAAATTATCAAACTTGGTGAAAACCTGGTGAAAACTTGGTGAAATTTTGAAACCTGGTGAAAACTTGGTGAATTTCAAAAACTTGGTGAAAACTTGGTGAATTTCAAAAACTTGGTGAAAACTTGGTGAAAACATAAACTTGGTGAAAACCTGGTGAAAACCTGGTGAAATCCATAAACTTGGTGAAAACCTGGTGAAAAACTGGTGATTTTTTTAAACCTGGTGAAAACTTGTTGAATTTCTCAAACCTGGTGAAAACTGGGTCAAATCCATAAACTTGGTGAAAACCTGGTGAAATTTGTAATTTCACGAAGTTTGTAAAAAAATGAATTGAAAGAAGAGTTTTACACCTTCAAAATGAAACAAAAGAAGAGTTTTCATGGTGAATTTGGTGAAAAAGAAGAGTTTTCACGGTGAAATTTGGATGCAATGTTGTGAAAAAAAAACCTGGTGAAAACCTGGTGAAATCCATAAACTTGGTGAAATCACGGTGAAATTACCAAAACTTGGTGAAAACCTGGTGAAATTTCGAAACTTTGTGAAAACTTGGTGAAAACCTGGTGAAAACTTGGTGAATTTTTTAAACCTGGTGAAAACTTGGAGAAATACATAAACCTGGTGAAAACCTGGTGAAAACTTGGTGAATTTCAAAAAACTTGGTGAAAACTTGGTGAAATACATAAACCTGGTGAAAACCTGGTGAAAACTTGGTGAAATACATAAACCTGGTGAAAACCTGGTGAAAACCTGGTGAAAACCTGGTGAAAACTTGGTGAATTTCACAAACGTAGTGAAAACTTGGTGAAATACATAAACCTGGTGAAAAGTTGGTGAAAACCTGGTGAAAACTTGGTGAAAGACATAAACCTGGTGAAAACCCGGTCGAAACTTGGTGAATTTCAAAAACGTAGTGAAAACTTGGTGAAATACACAAACAAACCTGGTGAAAACCTGGTGAAAACTTGGTGAATTTCAAAAACTTGGTGAAAACTTGGTGAAATACATAAACCTGGTGAAAACCTGGTGAAAGCTTGGTGAATTTCACAAACGTAGTGAAAACTCGGTGAAATACATAAACCTGGTGAAAACCTGGTGAAAACTTGGTGATTGTTTAAAAGCCTGCTTAAATTTCAAAACGTGGTGAAACCCTGGTGAAATGATGAAATCCGTAAACCTAGTGAAAACCTAGTCTAAAATTTGGTGATATCCCTAAACCTGGTGAAAATTTATAATCCCAGTAAGACCATGGTGAAACTTGGTGAACATTGTAAACCTTGTGACTATTTCATACTACTGATATGTATATATATATATGTAATGTATTATGTATGTTAAAAATATTATGATATTCAATCTGATGAGTATATATATATATTACATACTATTTAAATACACTCTAGAAAATAAAAATAGTATATCACATATATCAAATATATCTATACTATTCTGAATATTTACTATATTTTTTGTATACGCTAGAAAGTATTTATAATATACATATATATATATATATGCTCTAGGTAATAAAGATAATTTATAATATATAAAAACATATATATATATATACATTTATATTTTATATGAAGGACATACAATATAATATATATATATGTATTGAACAATATACATAATATAAGTAATATAGATCTTGAAGGAGCAGCAGGTGCCTGGGCAACCCTCAAATCTGGAAGAAGGGTTTTCCCAGTTATTTGGGCACAATTACCCAAGAAGGGTTTAAACATTGACCCTCCAAGTGTAAAACTCTTCTTCCAAAACAGAAACCAGGGGGGATATGGACACCCCTCGATAAGCAACTTAACATTCTCTATAAAAAATGAAGGAAAATTAACATGCAAACATCACTTGTAAAATGACTTTGCATAAAGAACACCATTCCCCCATGTATGCAAAAACCTTTTGCAAACATTGTTGCATTCTTTGAAAGATGTGTAGCATTACTTCCAAATTTCAAGGAGAACCCTCCTATGTATGTACTGAATGATTTCAGAAATCATAGCATTCCTGTAGAGAAATGTAGTATGCTGTTCTGCAAGATTGAATCTATCCTTGAATTACTACAGCATGGTTTTGAAAAGAATGCCATCTTGCTGACACATTGATTGAAACATGTGTTTTACCTTTGAAAGTGCAGATTCTTGTTTGCAAAGTGTGCAACATTATTGTAAGGAAGTGTAGCAAGAACCTACTGTAGATTCCATTGATGATGCAAAAGCCTGTTTAAAAATATGTGTTTTTTGTTGTGAAGCAAGTATCGCACCACCCTCTGCAATATGGCCTTTCAAAGAGTACAAATGTTCTATGGAAATGTGGTTTTGTTTTGAAGAGGGTGCTATGCGACTCGACTTTCAAAAGGTCTTCAAAATGTGCAATATCTTATCTTTGTAAACAAAGTAGAATATGGCTTCAAACGCTGCAAAACAAATTGTAATTATAAACTATGAATCTTAATGCAAACTTATTCAAATATATATAATTATGGCAATGTAAACAAGTGCTACATGCCTATGCAAAGAGTGCAGTAGCACAATTACCTACAATATCTCTTTCAAACTAGTGCAGCATTTGCTCGAAAAAAAATGTCATATTACTGCAAACTGTGCAAAATCTGTGTCAATCAAGGAAAGCCTTCCTTTGAAAATGCACATATGATATGTATGTGTATTGTATGTATATGTAGCTTTAAAAGTGAATAGTTTCTTGGCAAATCTGTGTAGCATCCCTCCAAGAAAGTGTAATTAACATGAGTCTACACCAGATTCCATCGATGATGCTATAATGCTTGAGAAGATGGTCGTATTACTTCAGCAAAGTGTGCCACCAATTTATGCAACATGTTTTTTGAAAAAGTATGGCATGAAACTAAGGTTATTATCTAGGACATGGCCGAACTTCAAAATTGGAACACACAGTCTTGATCCTCAGACCCAGTATGTTCATAGCTGCAGTGGTGAAACGATTGGTTCCTGCAAGCTTGAACGCATGAAGACACCGAACGGCCAGTGTACAAAAAGGTGCAGATGGCTGAAAGTGATCAAAACAAAAAAAAAAACTTGGGAAAAACAAAAAGAACACAATTTTCAGAGAGTCTTGGCTGGGACCCCCCCCTTCCAAAGAGTCTAGAAATATTGTTTATGTTTGTTTTTTTGTTTGTTTTTCAAGGTTTTTACCAAGTGTGGGGTACTTCAAGGAAACTCGCATGAATCACAGGCAAAGCTGTCAAAGTGCCTTTGAGAGTGCAGTAAAACATCTCAAAATATCATCTTAAATCATAGGAAAACTGCACTCCCAGGGGCTGCCGTTCTGTTGTCAAACAACCCATGTGCAAAGAATGAACCTCTCAACCAAGTTTAGTTTATATCAAAACAATGAGCTTAGAATCCCTAAAAAAAAACAATCTAAACAAATAATTGTCTAACATTGGCTAGCCCACCCAACGAAAGCAGTACTCGTGGGGACACTTTGTAGTTTGCTCAGGTGGCAATGTCACAACCACTTTTTGGTTGAATCCCACTATTGAGCCCCCAATTTCGCCTTTTTTCGAGAACATGTCTACGTCTGGAAATTCGAAAAAAGCATCAATTTACTCCTAAATTTTCCGTTTAACTTCCCCAATGTTACATGATTTCATATGATTTCACGTCATTTTCAAGCAAAAATCCCACATCACAAACTCAACGCGTTCACGTCATGTTCACATGACATAACGTTGACCCCGGTCACCGGCATCGACTGCGCAGACTCGATCGGGGGTTGATGGTCACCTCGAAAAACACCGTTCTGCTGATGGGTTGCACTGTCCAAAGCACACCCTCTGGTGGTGAACATACAAAAAGCTATGAAAAATTGCTATTTATAGTGGATTTTCCCATTGAACATAGTGAATTTCCATAGTTATGTTAATTTACCAGAGGGTAACACATGTCGGACAGTTGCCCAATGTGTGAAAGAATTTGGGGATGATTTCAATCCCACCGACATGGTGACGACGCCCTGGGCTGGTTTGTGAAATTGGGTTTACTATGGTTTACTGCATTGATTCCTCCAACACCTGACTAAAAAGTGAATTCTGACCCAGGGATGGCACAGGTATTCCAAGAAAAAACTTAGACTCTAACAACCGTCTTGAGGGGCAGCCTTAGCTATTGGTTTAGCACGTGATGGTATTACAGTATCTATCTCTGTATTTGTTTCTCTTAACAGACTTTACCCAGCTGTATGAAGCATCCAATAGTTTCATAGCGTGAAGGTTGCCCATGAAACGGGATGGACAATCGCCCTTAACCCATCCTTGGCCTGCCCCTGGCTGAGGAATAACTCCTCTCCAACTCTTGGACTATGTTTTGTTGCTATTAAACAACATTCAAAGCTGGTTTTTCCTGATAGAATCCCACCATTCTTACATATTTCCAGTGTTCCCCTGTATATCAGAATCACTCTACCCGCCTTGTTCTCAAATCCTCCTTTTTTCCTGGGTTCCATCTCCATTCTTGAAAATTCAATCCCACTATGTTGCTGGTAAAATCCTCAATTGTTGAATTGTTTAATGGTTTGTTGACCCATGCATTTACTTCTGAAACCGGTATCACTGGTTTCATCCCATACTTTTCTATATGATACTTTCAATTTCAATAATATGAGCCATGTTTTGTTGATATCTGGTTATGAAATGTTATGAACAGCATGTGGTCCCCCAAACTGTGATGAATGATCCCAGTCACTGGGAGAGGCCGCGACCGCACCTTTGGCGGCACGCAGTTTCTCCTGCCTGAAAGATGGCATGGTGAAAAAAGTTTTTGAGAAAAGGGCAAGGATTTCATAGATTTGAGCAGTAAATGTGCAGAATTCACCTGATTTAATCACGAAAAGATTCATTAAAACCAGTGCTTAGCACAATGAAAACGCTCGAAATGAGTCTTGAGGAACAAAACTAAGCGGCACATGATGCGAGGGTTTAAAAAAAGTTACCCTTGAAGGGTGAAATCAAATATGGCAAGTGATGGCAAGTGGAAATCATCCATTGAAAAACATGCATTTATATGCAATTATAGCACACTTTTACCAGTGAAAATTTGGATGTTCCCATTTTGAATCTCCAATTATCAAAGAAGTTTATGCTTCATCGTGGTTCCAGACCACTTTTTTCAGGCCTAGCTATATATTTGTGGCTTTCTCTACCTTCCCACCACCACTACACCACCACTTTGATATCATTCTGCATTTCGGGAAACGCTATCCGATATCCTTATGCCGTCTACCGAAGTTTAAATATCTCGCAAAATCAACTGTATAATAATATGCAATCAGTTCTCGGCCTGCTACGACATTCCCCCATGCACACAAAATGCATATCTTCACCATGTATAGTCTAGTACTCAGATATGTCCTTTTTATTGCCGGTAAAATCATGTAAAATCCCCATTCAAAATTTCCCATGCTGGCGTGTTTCAACATGCTAAAACATGTTTTAACATGTTTTAACATGTTTTAACAACATCCAGGAACATAAACGTACTCCCACATTTGATAAATGTGCTGGTTTATCATCATTTTGCCCCCACAAAAGTGACCATTTGCACTGCCCGGCATAGCCCAATAAATCCACCACAGCTCTGCCCGGTGCCCTTCGGCACCAGGTCATCTGGGCCCAATGTGGATGTCGCTCTGCCGCTGCCATGCGCTGTTCACATGGCAACTTGTAGAGCGCATTCCGGCATTGCGCCTAGAGGTGACAGAGAATGATTTCATGGAAGAAATCCTATGGTGTTTCAAGGGTTACCCTCTGGTGAACATACAAAAAACGATTGAAAATGGCCATAGCAATAGTGGATTTTCCCATTAATGGTGATTTTCCATAGCTATGTTAAATTACCAGGTGAACCGATTTTACAAAACCAATCCAGTGCTGGTTGGTGGTTGAGCCCTACCCCTCCGAAAAATATGAGTTCGTCAGCTGGGATGATTATTCCCAATATATGGAAAAACAAAATTCATTTTCCAAACCACCAACCAGCAGTGTTTTTGTTTGAATCTGATCTTAATGGGCTATATATTCTGATAAAACAGGAGATACAATGTGAATAATATGTGAATAATGTGTGAATAATATGTGAATAATATGTGAATAATATGTGAAAAATATGTGAATAATATGTGAATAATATGTGAATAATATGTGAATAATATGGTATAGACATAATTGACATAATTACCAGATATTGATCTACTACCCATATAATGTCGGGAATATCATGGAGATATGGAGATATGATTGACCTGGCATCTGGGATGCAAATTAGTAAGCAGCCAACAAGATTCGATTGGAATTCAATGGCTTGGTGAAATTGGGAATGTTGATCCCAGCTCCAAGATTTTCCTGAACATGGCCACTTTTTTCCGGAGAGATGGTGATAAACCATAGGATTGTGCAGGGTATCCTATGTTCAAACCCATATGGACCACGTTCTAAATATTCTAACTTACTGTTCGGTTCCTGCTTCAATTGAGCCGGCAGATCTGGCACACTAACAAGTGAATTTACATTCAATCTTTCTGGGCATTCATTCAAAAAATCCTCCGATAAATATTTTCCCAAAAAAAATGCAAGACATATTTTCAACCGCCTTCCACAGCAAGGTTTCTCTAAAACAGCAGATTAGTTCTGAGAGACTGGAGTCCAAAATGAGGGATACTCAAACAACGCATACGGGGCAAACTGATGATCAGCCTTAAGATTTGGGGTCGCCATATTTCAAGTAAACCCTTAAATGAAAAATAAGATTTTCAAAGATGAACACATTATTGATTTGACATGATTTGACATGTTTTGAGGCACTGCGCAAGTTTGGAACAGACCCTTAAATCAAACAGACATGTTCCTGGGACTTGGGATGAGTATATGAAATGAAAAGTTCAAATGCCACCTTTCAACCAAGGAGTTGCTCATCATCTTCGAGTTTTTGAGAGTTGGATGGACCTGGAGGAGTGTCACGAATTTTCCGGTCATAAGTGAATCCATTCTCAAGTCTGTGCGGATTTGTAGGGGACCAGGGCCTATGGGTCGCTTTGCAGGGGCTTCCCATACCAGAAAGTTTCATTGGTGGTCCCCATCAATGTCGTTTTTGAAGCGCGAAAATTCACCACCCCTCGTCGTAGTTGCTATATTTGGCTGCTAACCCCATGGATTTTCCCAAGTTTTCCCAAGTTTTCCCAATGGTTTGTCATGGTTTGTCTGCTGACTTTGAAAAACCCAGTGAAGCCCAGTCAACTTCCCCTGGGCCTCATCCAGGTCGAGTGCCATTGCCAGATATCGCCCACTTTGGGGAGTCCATTTAGAAAAAATCTGGAGGTAGCTTGGTCGACTCTTTAAAAAACAAAAAAAAACGGCTTAGATAAGCATGCGGGTGCCTGGCCGGTTATCTGGCTATCTGGTGGGACGTTCACCAAGAAAAGTGCGATGACGAAATGGGGATATGAACCCAAAAACATGTCTAGGGAAGTTCGTAGTTTAAGTTTTAAACGGAGCCAACATTGATGTTCTTGATACTCATGTGCAAACAATGTTTCAGCACCAAACCTGCCAAACCATGAATGAATGTCATAGACTATCTTTTAGGCATCTTGTTGTCTTGTGCTATGTACACACGTAAGCAGCAATATATCATCAAGCCATAATTAAGCAGTAGCACTTTCAGGATCTTTCAGGTGGAATTTACAGTGATCAAATTAATAAGGTTTGAGGGGCGTTGAGCCCATGGCTTGGGCCACCTACCGCTCACCCAGTTGCGTAGTCCACTGTGCCTCCCTAAAGGTTGGTGGAAAATTGGATCGAAAAGTGGGGAAACATCCCATGTCTGCGGGGAAACTCGTGGTCCTTCTGTTCCTGGTTGATGAGTTCACCCAATCGAATCAGGTCCATCTGACTGTCGGACTGAGCCAAAACGGCTGCATCCAACGGGTCCAGCATGCAACATCCGAAGCAGAAACTCAGAAACCGCTGCGCCAAGCGCACCCGAAGAAGGTCCAGGGACACGGTGGCTGGAAAACCATCCTGGGCGCCGATGGTAAAAAGTCATTCCATCGGCGACAGGTGACCCCAACAGATGGTTAAGATTCGCCCTGATCGCGCCTGTTGGTGGTTACTAAGATCAATCTATATCAATCTTCAGGTTTACCAGGTTTATCCTTCCAAACTTTTCAGAAACAGAAAGGGACCCCAAAAAAACATGCCAAACAAATCCAAAAGTCGTCCAACAAATCAAGCAAACATCCAAAAAAAACAGCAAAACCCTGCCAAACATCGCCGAAACATCACCAAAACATCACCAAAAACACATGATCCAAAAAATCCAGGACAAATCAAGGATTGCCCAAAAGAATCTCCAAAGAATCAGCAACTGCCGTGCGAAATCGACATCCCTCCACACTGAGGAGGCCACCAGGCTGGCCAAAAATCGTGTGAGGCTGCGAGTCTCGTTGCGTGCACCTCCTGGCCACATGTTTCTGCCGTGAAAAATGGGGGGAAAATCTGGTGAAATCGTTTTCTTAAAACTTTATAAGTGAGATGCTAATGGGATCTTAATGGGATGTTGATGGTTAGTGAGGATATTGCACTTTCCAAGGCAGATCATCGATATATATATAATATGCAATGATATATCGTTTTAATTATGGAATCTCTCACCATCATGTTGTTTTCAGATGGCCAGTATATATTAATGGGGATATGTTATGGAAAATATAACTAGCCAACTATAATGACAATCTGATATGCCCCCGGTAATTTGCAACAATTTGCCATAGAATAGATGGCGCAATTAGTTCAATCATGTACCCTCTGGTAAACTAACATAGCTATTGAATATAGCCATTTATAGTTGATTTACCCATTAAGAATTGTGATGTTCCATATTTTTTTGTATGTTTGCCAGAGGGTAGCTACTAAGAAAATGGTGACTGTCCATAGCTATGTTATATGAGATCCCTGTGGGTCCAAGTACTATCTGAGAAGCGACTCGACTGGACTGACGAGGAATAACATACCATTTCCCCTGTTAAAATAGTCATAACATGTTCTGTGGCAAACCAAAACAACCATTGTTTGATGTCAGATAAACCACCCATGTCTGAAAAATTGGAGATGGCTTATTGGATTTACCGCAAACGGTATAATATATGTTTCGTGGACAAGTTCAATCAAAACGAACAAACAAGACTTACGATTCAAGAATATGGGGTTAAACCCTATGACTATGATGGACCTTCCCAACAAAATGCGTTGCTTAAACTTGGGCATTTCCCAGTTACAGTATTTAAAATGACCCCGAAACCTTCGATCACCGGGGATGGCTTGTCTGGCAAAATCCTTCCAGACACTTTGTTGCAGGGATTGCGGTTCCCAAAAGTTCTTAGTCTTTGAATGTGATGTCTCAGTTTCTACTAGGCCAGGGACGAAACACCAGATTTCACTAGCACATGCATGTACATGCTATATGCATATAGTTATTTGTTCATCTATTTACCCTCTGGTAAACTAACATAGCTATTGAAAATGGCCATTTATAGTGGATTTTCCCATTAAAAATTGTGATTTTCCATTGCTATGTTAAATTACCAGAGGGTATCAAAATAGTGCCCATTTGTTCAAGTAGCCCGTTAAATCCAAGGTTAGCCCAGTCGTCCCCGCCTACTCCAAGCCGTGCCACCTCAACGCCCCATAAGTTGGGACATCGGCTGTCTGGCAAAGAAAACATCGAAAAAGCCATAAATGGAATCTGGTTGGTGGTTTCAATGCCTCTGAAAAATATGAAAGTCAGTTGGGATGATTATTCCCAACATATGGAAAAATAAAAAATAGTCCAAACCACCAATCAGGAATATGCCATAATTGGAATAAATCCAATGTTGGACAATTGTGATTTATCCCATATTCCCAGACTTGGAAAAAATAAATGGAATATATCCAATGTAATATTATCTTTAACCATCCAAGTCTGGGAATATTCTATCATTGTCATGAATTGTCATGCCTTCAACATCCCATGATGGAAATGTGATAAATCACAATTGTCCATCATCTTTTCCAAAGAAATCTGGTAACCTACCATTTTCCTTCCTTTTCCATCCTGGGCTGCAGGCATTATAGGTCACCGCATCTGCCAGCTGCTCAAAGATGTGGTGCAACCTGATTGGGATGGAGATCATCAACGACTTGGACCGCGTGGTGAAAACATGTGAAAACCGTTATGACGCTGATCTATGATTTTACCAGCTATCATACCTCATGTGTCTATATTGTGACTATGTTTATTATCATTATTATCATTAATTATTATCATTAATTATTATCATTCTTATTATATGTCTGTGTATTTCTACATCGGCACACCATTGCACAGCATACAAAAGAATACGTGCCATTGACATCTGTCTCCAGGGTGGTCTCAAGTCTTTGGAAACACAAATGGGGAAAAACGTGTTTTACCTCGCGCAGGTGGTTCGTCATCATCATTGTCGTCGTCATCAATTACTAATAACAGTGAAAACAGTACAAATAGTGCATGATCAGCACTAATTTTATTTGATGTATGATATATGATATATGATTTATGATTTATGATATATTATATATGCCATATGATTTTATATATGATATGATATATGGTACTATACTAATAGTAAAACAAAAATCCATGAAGTGTTGACCCTTCTTGGCACATTTAGCTCCAAAATCATTGATCTGGGACCCAGGGCAACTGGATCAAGGTGTCTGCCTCGCGACATCGACCGAAGAAAATACCATTAGTGGCACCATGCGATACCATATATAAGGCTTATATGGTAGTGTGTCAAAACCTTGTACCCCTGGTGAACATCAAAATAGCTGGTAAATGGATGTTCATCCCCCTAAAAATGGTATGTATAGGTATTGATCCATAGCCATTTATGCTTATCTATATAGAAAAAATATGAAAAAATGGTTGAAGCTCAAAGAAAATAATAGAAATGGATTTACAAACTACTATGTGCATCCATGTGATAGAGAAACAACACGTATCTGAAATTTGTAAGAAATTTGTGTTTAAAAAATATTTAAAAAATAACTGCCAATAAGCCGAAGAAAAATATGCCAGATTATATAGTACAGGAACCTTTTCGGCAAGTGTGGTTGGAAGATTGGTTACAACACTCTTGACCCATTCCAGGCATGAGGGGTAAAAGGTTGTGTTGGTGTTCAGTTAGGAAATCCAACGAGACGTACTTTGGGTCTGCACGTCCAAGATTTCCAGCAGAATCAAACAGATCTAAAAAAATGAAAATTCCATGGAGTCCATGTTTGGGAGGTTCATAACTGGTTCATACATGTCCTAAAGGTCTGATTGTCTCCCCAGATGGTCCAAGGGGAAGGTTCACAAGCAACATGCAGCAACCGGCGGAATGAAGGGGAAAAAGGTCATACCTTCACCTAAACTGCCCGTCTCCTATCGTATTGTTCTTCCTCTTTGCCCATCCACCTGGGTATATGATATATGTTCGAATTTGGCCCGTGTAAGAGATTGTAAGTGACATTTTACACCATCCGCGGAGACCGTATAAGAGGGTGATCATTCCAATCTGAGCGCTGTCAATACCATTCTTGGATGCCCTGCATGCTTTGTTGTCTGGTCGGGGTTAGGTTGAATATCAATAATGTATCCAGCATCTTTATCTAAAAAGAACACCAGCCTTTGAAACCACAAATCTCCCGATTTTTGGTGAAGTCATGTAAAATCATGAAACATCACCAGATCTTGTTGATGTGTCTATCCCAAACCATTGAGCCTCCACTAAATCCTCTTTAGATCCCCATGAGAAATTCCATTTCTTAACCCCAAATCTCTAAAGCGGCTGAGCTACTGCAGTGACGGCCACGGTGGCAAGGGTGGAGCCACCTAGGGAAGCTCGGTTTGGGAAATCACAGTTCTGGTTGTTTTGGCCATGCTGTCCTTTTTTGGGGCCTCCAGTGGCACGTGGTTAAACCATTATTAGGCAGCGGCTATGGGGTATCTCCAAAGGCCCCTCAAAAAAAAGCAGGCCATGCAGCAGGGTCAGTCTCATCCATTGGGGATTCCTTATATTCTGTATATTAGCTCCTAACATGATATTTTCTGGAGAGATGAGCAGGATGAAAATAACCAATCTTTTTGAACATCAACTAAGATGAACATCAAGTGTACCATGGCATGAAAACATATTTATGGTACACTTGACGTGATCATCCCATCCACGCGCTTCAACCATGCCACATCGGCATTTGCTTGGCCACTCTGGAGCTCTTTATATATCCGTACGTGTTCAGCGCGGTTTGAGTACATCAAGTGTACCTCCACCATTGATCCACAGTTGTTTGTACTATATATCCACCATTTATCCACATCCACTTATCATTTGACCCACATTTCCGGACACATTATATTAATACGAATATTTCACTAACTTGAAATTTTGCGGCCAGCTATGGGGATGATTCCATATGATTCCAATCTAAACTGTGATTCCAGTGAGGTCACGATGTGAGGTCACATATCATTTAATGTGGTTCAAAGCAATAGTAAACCATTCCAAACTCACCATAAATGGGTGTATATAAAGCATCAAAATATGGGTGGTTTAGTATTGCTTTACTAACGATATGGTTCCAAAATCTCCCTCTTTTATTGCTTAAATAATGAATATCTGGTTGGTGGTTTCAACCCCTCTGAAGAATACTACTCAGATTGGATCATCTTCCCAACTATTGGGGAAAATGAAAAATCTTCCAAACCACCAACCAGTGAATCTGATTGAATTCCCATGTTTAATCCCCATTCTTTACTAACATGACCCAGACTGATGTTCCGTGGCTAGGTCCTCCAAACGTGCCGCATTCTTCAGTGTGCCGGCCATGGCCTGCCCAGAATAGCTGGGATTCCCAGGTCATCGGGGTGTCATGGAGAAAATCTATCGAAGTAAATGGAGGTCTTAGAGAATTCCTCTGAAAATGATGAAACATGTGGGATGTTCATGGATTTTCCAGGATTTTCCATGATTTTCCATGATTTTAATGGATTTTCCATGATTTTCCATGATTTTAATGGATTTTCCATGATTTTCCATGGTGAATAACCAGTGGGAGTACCAAAGGATCATGCCTTGAGGTGACGTTACTACCCTCCGGTCATCTCTCATCAAGGCCTGCTTCCGTATGGAAAAATTGCCTTTTTCTATGGATCCAAATGATCCATCAATTTTGTCTCAAAATGGGGGATGCATCAAAAATTGTTTATTGGAAAACCATGGACCGGGTAGGGGCCTGGGGTACCAAATTGTGAGATTCACCGAGACACTTGATCTTCCAATGCCAGGTGGGACCAGGCTTTAGGATGGCTTTGGGACGCAGTGCTGACCATGGATCCCAATTAGAAGGAGACTTCCGGCAATGTCAAGCCATGGTTATCCATGGTTGATTATGTTGATATAATGGAGGCTTCCCCACCATATCCCGCATTGATTCGCAGTCCGCGGGGGTATGAACTTTCACTTGGAAAATGATCTCATCTGGAATCTGGGCGTCAGAAAACATGGCATACCACCGCCATCTTGGAGTTTCCAGTCGCACTTGGAATAGTATAACGGTTTAATATATATATATATATATCACATTATATCACATTATATCACTATATCACCATAATTCTACAGGCCCCGTATCCCTGGGATCACCAGTGTTTGTAGCAGCTGCCCCGCAGCCCCAAGGTGTCCAAGAGCAGCGGCACCCCCAAGTGCTGTTCCACGACTTCCAGGATGTAGCCGTCGCCATAGGCATTCCTCGGTGGCGAAAGCGATGAACATCATACATCAACCTGGATCAATTCATGAGATTCACTAGGTCTATTGATATCTAATATGTTAATAATATATTATATAGGTATCATATAACTTATAACCCTTAACATCCCTTAACCATTCTCAACCAGGTCTTCATGATAAGATATGATCAGTGATCATGGCCACTTTCCACTTGGCCAATCGTGCCCTGGATTCTTTGCCGGGTGAATCTATTCCCGTGTGTGGCACCAAAAAAAAATGAGTACTGAAACAAAACATAGCTGGTTAGGTCAGTTAATCATAGTCAATCATACTTAATCTCCCATGTAAATAGTACAAATCTTAGCTAAACAAAACGTATGATTTTCATATCGAAAAGGACCCCATCCTTTTTTGGAACCTGTTCCATCGAGTCATCGTTGGTTTGCCCAGCTGAGAGTCAGATCTTGCAGCATGAAATTGAGCTCCAGTAGCAGGTCCTGCATCCTATCAATCGTCCAGAAGAGCCCGATGATGGCCCACCAACAAAAAAAACATCGAATATGGATATATCATATAATATGTTTAAAAAAAACACTCAAAACATGGTTATATATATACACTGTATGTTATCCACTTGGGATTTCAGTCGGTTTCAACGGCCAACAACTTGGGATGTCATTGGATTTCACGGATTTTGCTCCAAAAAAAAGTGATCATTTCAGTGGGTTCATGTTGAGCTGGGCCTTGCGATTGACTCCTCCGTGGACAAAGCCTGCAGGGGAAATCCACCGATCATGAACTGAGATTTTATCTGGTTGGTGGTTGACCTACCATTGTGGTTAAGATACTGTTAATATATGGTTAATAATATTCTGCTTGGTGGTTGACCTACCCCTCTGAAAAATATGAAAGTCAGTTGGGGGTATTGTACCCAACATATGGAAAGTCATAAAATTCATGTTCCAAACCACCAACCAGTTATGGGTTTAAGCTTTAGGGCTATGGGTGAAATACCTATGATTATGAGATATTGTGATGATCTCTTATATCAACTGAGATTGCCAGATTGCCAGATTGCCAGTGCTATATCTTGTTATTGCTATCATTTATCGATGTATATCGACATGTTCCCAGGAGCTGACCAATAGGCGAGCCCACACTCAAGTGGTTGAAGAAAAAACTGAATGTCCCTTCAAATATCTATAAAGTGCCATATAATCTGAATAAATCTGGATAAATACTCAAAAAAATAATGACAAATATAGGAATACTTCACCAACTTGAAGTGCCTTCGAACATATCGGGCATGATTCCCGGACTCCAATTCCCATCATGGCAGTGTTCCAGCACAATGTGCCCCATGATGGGTTAGTTCATCAGCCCCAGCCAGTACACCCTCTGGTACACTAAGATAGTGGACAAGTCACATGTTTTTCGTTTGGGAAATCAACGAACTATTTGTTGCCATGTTCAATAGCTATGTCAGACTTCCAGAAGGTGATTCTTTGATTATTTCCCAATGATTCACAGTTCGATGTGGAAAATCCACAATGAATGTAGATCCTTTTCCGTTTTTCAACATCTACCCTAGGGCATACCCTCTGGTAAACTAAAATAACTGTTGAAAATCACCATTTTAGGATGTAAATTTTCTATTGGTGGGCCATCTATACCATAGCTATTCCATAAAATCATCCCCAAATCATCAATTAAATCCCATAATCCATCTAGATTCCGATTATATCACCATTAAATCCCATTAAATCCCATATATTAAACCCATCAACCCCTCGGTAGTTTTGTATCGGTATCCCCACCTGGCCGCAGAGATTGCTGAGAGACGTGTCCTGTAAGCTCTGCAAGACGCCAAGGGCCGCTTCACCTGGTGCAAAGGTTTCCTATGGAGGACCCCAATCCAAGTCATCATGGATTTGGGGGACCCCCATTTTAGGAGACCTCCTTATGTGTATATATATATATAAATAAATAAATACATATATATATATATACATATGTATATATAATTATATATAATTATATGTGTGTATATAATGGCGCTGGGAATGTATGTGTAAGCAATGTATATGTATGGTATGGTACGGCATGGAATGGTATGTACGGTACAGTACGGTACAGTACGGTATGGTATGGTATGTATGGTTTGTTTGTATGTTTGGTTGGTTGGTTGTATGTATGTAGGTACGCGCGTATGTATATTGTCTATCAGTCTGTCTGTCTGTCTGCCTGCCTGTCTGTCTGAATGTATTACAATGGGGAACCAATATAGCCATAATAGCCCCCTATAGCCATAATAGCCCCCTATATCTCAGTTATAAGTATATATATATAATTATAATCGGAACCAGAATTTATATGCATTTATGACATGGTTAGTTTTATTGGTACATAACAATTGGGATACATACGGGATAACTATGACTCACGTCCGTCATTTGATCGATCCAAACTGCCACAAAGATTTGATCAGGGTTTCACCGAGGAATGGAGATGTAGCCAAACAAAAAATCAACGAAAAACTTGAATGAAGAACAGAAATTAATTATAGGATATTATAGGTTTAAGATGGTTTAAGATGGCTTAACCTATCAGGCATTTGGATAGACCCCAAAGACGAGTACTTGAACAGTTCACCATTGTTCACCATCCAACATGTGTGGATGAGCTAAAACGGCTCTAGCTTAGGGACAAAAAGGAAGGAAAGCCCTATGTGGCAACCAAAAAAAAAACTGGGCAGGGTAACAAGCAATCTGCCCTGTGTGAAACAGGAAGTTGACCAAGCCAACTGGGGCTGTTAACCAACTGAATGATGGAGATCTATGACAAATCACTGGTTGGCATGTACGATCACTCGCATGTAAACATACAATATATCTATGGGAAAACAAAAAAAACACATATTCACATATGACACGTATGCATTATGCAACCAAAGCATGGGGTCAAGTAGTGGAAACGACAATCAGAAGCAAAACTGATAGGATATACCTGCCATGAAATTTGTGTGGCATAATGATGGGGCTCGCCGATCCAGACTGATTGGGATTATGAGACCCAATCATGACCCACTTGTGAGTAGGTGACAGTCAACTAGGGATCTTGAAAACTGAAAACGTTGCAATTTTTTCGTTGGTGAACCCGACTCAAAGATCCTACTGTAACTGGTTAGTGGTGGGGGTCATCCTCCCAGATTGACAGAAATCGAAAGAATGGATTCAAACCCGCAAGCTGGTGTAGTAAAACCCCCTTTGTTGATGCGAAAAATAAGTGTTTGTTTTGGATAAATCACAGTTTCACTAGCCACCTACAGGTTCTTTTTTTACCTTGTGCCACTCATCTTCATTCTTCATGATTTAATCACATTAAATCCATTGAAAATCAATTTAAATCCTCATTTCTCTTTCTAAAATGGCAATTTTGCCGCAGAGACCCCTGAGCTCCCCCGGCAAAACAGGGCGCGCCGGTGCCGCGCGGCATAGCCGCTGAACCGTTGATAGACCTCGGCTGGAAAGAGCGGAAAGCCACTGATGAACACAGCCTGCAAGATTTCTTGGAAAATCCCAAGGAAAAACTATAGATATGACATAATATGACCTATATACATATACATATACATATACATATATATATATACACATATATATACATATATACATATATATATATATACATACATATATATATATATATACATACATAATTATACATATATATATATATGTTGGGTTGCAACATTGGTTTCATGCACGTGATTCGGGTCGAGGGCCTGGCCAAGGAAGCCATGAAAAACCGACCCCAATCAGTCAGCCATTGCTTGAAATTTGGGGCACATCCCCAAGAATGGGGATACATATGAAATACATATGATATCTATGGAATACGTAACCAACTTGATATGATTTGGATGTGTCTGAAAAATTCTGAAAATGGGGTACGCCGACTGAAGTGGCAATTTGAATGGGAAAACTGACGATTTAGCAATGGATTTGGGGCTACCCAATTTTCAAGCAAACCCATATCTCCAAACATTCAGTGACCTTTCATCCCACAAACAAACTTTTGCACAAACTTGTTTTGGTTCTGACCAGCAAAACGTGTACCCTACAGTAGGTGGACAAAATATTCAAAACCCTGCAACACAAAGTGTGTTGAACCCCCGCACTCCCAAATCTCAATGTTGCAGTGCACTTGTGAGCAAAAGTGATGTTGGGGGGGTGATTTCTTTCGTTCATTGGAGCTACTGCTCCTCAGGTTACATTTACAGTTAACATTGAACTTTGGGGGCGAGGGGGTTGTATCGGATATAAAGGGTTTGAATATTTCGTCCATCTGTAATTAAGTTGCTTTAGAGCTAAGCAAACTGTTGGGTTTACAGACGCACATCTACAGTGTAATCTACAGTTGGAAAGGTTCATAATCCTATGCCCCTACCAATGAATACCCTTCCATGGGTCACCAATACCCATGCAATACAAAATCAGGGCTTTGTTTTGGGGTGTATTTCAGAGGTGGTTCACATTCGAGGCAAGAAAGAAATTGTTGTTCACATGTGTTCACCAGTATTTAGATTGATCCATATATATATACCTTAGGAACCCAAACCCCAGGTTTTCCAAACATACCCGAGGTTTCGAGTCAGACCCTACAAATTTCCAGGGTTTGGGTTCGCAGGGTATATATATATATATATCCATTGTATCCCATGTGTGTTGCTTCATTCCTCTTTTTTGCGGTGACCATGGTTAGCCATCGAAGTGCACAGGCTGTTTCCTCGGTGCCCGGGCATCGTGGGTCACGGTCTTGCACTTGCTCACTGCCGAAGTAGTGAAATCGTTGAAGTGCTGCACCATCTCCCAGACCACCTCATCAGTTGTTGGTTTCATCCTTTTGAAACACCCATGGCTCAAAGATAACTACCGGTAATCAAACATGACTGGGAAATCCCCGATCAATGGAAGTTAGCTGCGAAAATGGTTGATGACCTTCCATGACAAACCTGGATCTTGCTTAACCTCTGTGTTGTTTCGTTGGGGGAGGCACCATTTCACCAGAAGATCATGACAATTTGGGGCGGGGCCCCCAATGAATCAACCAATTCTGGGATGATCCCGTTCCCACCATTGGATTCTTTTAATGCTTCCGGGGCTCAAAGGTTGCTTGGATCCATAGGCTACGCATATCTACAAATACATGTTAAGGGAAGTGATGAGCAATGATATAAAATGTGGCTCCAACAAGGACCGGATTCCAATGCCAAACCTGCTAGCGTGGATAGTTGTTAGAAGATTTTGAAGTCCCTCAAGTGGTGTCCATGCTTGGATGTTTATCTCAGTTGGCAACTTGGAGGAAGAAGAATGTGTCCTACGCCAATGGCACATCCCCACAAATCTTAGGACATGCGATCACCACAATGACTAACGGTCCGTATCTTAGTAACCATCAAGTGGGATGTTCATCCAGCTACAGCGGCATCAAGGCGTCATAGGCCCTCTGAGGCCCTCGACCGCCTTCTTGCCGTCTTTCAGGCAGCTGGGGTCTGGCAGCAGTTTTTGACATGGGGTTATCCTCATAGTGGCTGGCCTGTAGCAAGTTACCACGGATATCCCCTCAGGGGCAAGGCAACGCACTGACTATGACTTGCATGGCTCAAGCTTGGCATCGCAGGCTTGGCGCCACAAAGGCGACCGAAGCGTCCAAGAGTCATTAAATTAGCAATATGCATAGCTACATACCTCTTAAACATACATCCAAGAAAACGTCCAGAAAACAGAGGAGATATGTGTTTGCAAATCCGACTTTCCAGGCTAAATCCTTTTTCATACTCTGAAAACATAAATTTTTGGGGGACTTTGAAAGATGATGCCGCGCCTAAGGCATGGCCAAGCACCAAGTTCCAAGCCACAAGCGCTACAAGCCTAACCAGAATCACCAGGGCAGTCCGAGCAACATGACCAACCTGTAAAGGGGTAAACTACATGCCAACTTTGCCACCATGATAGTTCCAAATGCATACAACATCATACAACCAACTACATGGAAATATCTTCTTAAAACCCCCCGAATCTCTAGGGATCGCCCCTGGGCACACATGGAAACACCATGACAACAGCGCCTCCACCTTCGCAGCATCATGTGCCCTGCCGTTGGCCCAATTGGAAGCAACAAATACACGTAGATTCGGCAGCAAAATGGGGATGGAATGGGGGCACTATCGGCAAATGCATATACATATACATATACATATACGTATACATATACATATATATATATGTATATGTATTAGGAAGAGAGAGAGAGAGAGCTAAATTGTATGTATATGCATATGTATATGTAGATGTAGATGTATATGTATATGTTATATATGTATGTGTATATATATATATATGTGTGTGTGTGTGTTATATATGTATGTATATATATATATGTATGTATATATGTATATGTGTATATATATATGTATATGTATGTGTATGTATGTGCATGTATATGTATGTATGTATGTGTGTGTGCATGTTTGTATATATATATATATATGGGTAGGTATATGTTATATATGTATGTGTATATATATATATGTGTGTGTGTTATATATGTATGTATATATATATATATATATGTGTGTGTATGTGTGTATATATATATATATATGTGTGTGTGTATAAATATATGTATATATATATATATGTGTGTGTGTATGTATCTATATGTGTATATATATATATATGTGTGTGTGCGCGTGTGTTGTGTGACCTACAAGATAACATTTGTGTATCTGAGAAGTGGGGTATCTTCAAAAATTGCTTTTCAAGCGGGCTAATGATGATCAACCACGGGTTTTTTGGGGACCGATTTTGAAATAAACCCAAATCGAAAAATCAATGATGATGAAATAAAACAACATGTTGAGAGGCTCATCCTTGTTGGTCACTTTGCTTCGTACTTTTAACTGTTGGGTATATCGCAATATCTACAGTGACCCACTGGCAAATGGGGAATGGCAAGGACTTAGCATCGTCAGTACCACTACACTGAAGGTCAGGGCATTATCTGAGCCACAATGAAGGTCACTCACGGATCTTGGAACGCGCACCATATGACCACAATCCTCATTTTAGCACGCTACAGTAAAAGAAAAAGCATGCAACCACTAAAGTTTCATTTGAGCTCAGTATGATTCACATTCCTCCGTCAAAATGGCAAAACAATATCCTATGGAAACCTATCCTTGACCTTTCAATTACATCGATGTCCCATATTTTGATGGCGGAATATGGTGAAATCACCATTTTGATGAGTAATCCTACGTCCTACGCTTTCTGATGGCAAACCAGAACGAACATTCGTACATGGCAAACCTATGCAAACCTTAGATGTAGCTTGAAAAATCAGTTGACCGGGGATGATGGGCTCGCGGATGCCCCTTCACATTGACTGATTACGAAGATACACCAAGATGGTTGGTCACCAAAAAAAACACGTCGGGCCGCCCCCCAAAAAAAAGACAATTACTCCCAAACGGAACCCTGCTTTTGTATTAATTAATAATTATTGTGGTTTCTCCAGGTGTCCATAGAAGGAAGGGTTAATTATTTCAGATTGGGGCTGGGGGAATATTAAGCAACCAGGATGGCCATTCGGGCACAGTGGTGTGGCCTCAGCTCCCACGGTGAACGGCCAGTGAGGCACGTGTTTCAGCTCCTGCACATGGCTAGCCAATGCGATTAGCGAAACATGTTTGCCTTGTCATGCTTTGTTGATTTTTCTGTTGATCAGTAATCCCATTCCATGACTTTTCCCTGACGGAATAGCCCAAGAATCGCCCATCAACCATGCACCAGCCCGATTTTCCCAGTCCAAGGCATTGCTAGGTGCAGTTGAGCCCGCTGCGCAGCGGCTCGGCCATGACTCCGTCGCGGCTTGGGCGGATTGGGTTCGGCTTGGCTTCGCCGGAAACGTTCGCAGGCAAATTTCTGGATAGGTTATCTGTAAAACAAGCTGATGGAAGGATATTTCATGGATATTTGATGGTGAGTCCTGGTGTGGTGCTTTAGCTTGGTAAACCCAAACCCCCGAAAAAAAGAGTTTTCGAATATCTAATAGAGGTGGATCAATATTTCAGTGGTTCCGCGAATATTCGTTCGCCAACGTTAACCTTGGCCCATGGTCATCTCACGCATTTTCAACGTCTCCCCGGTGCATGCCCTATGGCAGAGCACCTATTGTTTCCACTCACCAGGCCAAATTATGTTTCTGATATTTCTGGGATGGTTCCCCAGAGAATATGTTTTTTTCCGTGGCGAGGCCAGCGAGATTGCTGTTTTTGTCTATGCCTCGTGCTTTTATATTATTCTTGAGCAGCTGACCGCACGAATCCGCATGATGTCAAACAAGAACCACATGTCGAGATACAACATGTGTGTGTGTGTGTTTGCATGCGTACAAGCAGTCACACATATTTGCACATTGGAAACGTATATTAAAATATATTAAATATACATCGAACTCGTGGGTTTCCAGCCAAAATCGCTTTGAGAACACAAAAGTATTTAGCAAAAATATGTCTTTGGGATAGCTTTGAGTTTCACAGTTCGCTTGGAAGAAATTCAAAACAATAACTTACCAGATCTTACCAGCATATTAGGGTACCATTGCAAGGTGGTTCGTGTCGTGAGTGCACCTTGGTTTGCTGTCTGTCCCTTCTCCCGAAACGGATGCACTGCCTTCTCCCGAAACAGATGCACTCCGGGCATGTATGTACGTGCTGCAAACTTCGCAGGACCATGCCACAATGTGCCCACATGCATGCAATTGGTACAGTATAGAGATACAACTGACCAATTTGGAAAACAGGAGAATCACTGGATTGAACAAAGGTTTCGATTTTCCACCTCGCCACGGTTGATTGCCGGAGGGTTCCATGTATCCCATCACCCCATTCACCTTCCAAGATCCCATTATTATCATACTATTATCATATTATTATCATATTAAACCATATTATGCCAGACGAGAGCCACCAGTTATTCTGGTTATCTCCCTATATTTTTTTGGCTGCGCAAAGCACACCGCGTTCACCGCAGCCGTGTGTCCCTCGAGGGACCGCAAGCATCCTGTGCTAAACCAGGGCTCAACCCATCAAAATAACTAGGGAAATTGGATGGAAAATAGGTCATGGTGGGGATCGTTTATATTTTGGGGGGGAATGAACTTCGCCAACATGGGAGATTATGGGAGATTTGATCCGATTTATTGAATACAAATGAAGTTGTTTACCCGTAACAATGACGAGCTTGCGAGAAATTCAAATCAGGTGGGTTGAGATATGTGCGCTCCCACTTTGCATGGGGACGGAGGTCCTAAGAAAAATCAAAACTGTGATACAGTGATAAATATATCATTGAGATTTATATTGGCAAATCCTTATGATATACGAGTGTAGAATCTATGTATATAATCCGATGCTGCTACGATGTCATCACAATTCAAAGGCACAGCCAAACATGAATCAATGGCTCGCCAGCAAGTTTATTAAATAGATGGGAGATGATTGTCGGGCTCGGTCCCTCGTTTGCAAACACATATGTGTTTAGGAACCACTGAATAGTACCAGTTCTATCATCTATCATCCCCTGTGGGATTCTTGTCAAACCGCTACGGATACCCTCAGCGCTTTTAAAATGGTACCACATACGCTATACACTACAGTATGACCCTTCTATCCCCGTTTTTTGTTGGCAAACTGCATGCTCCCCAAAGAATTTGCTGCAAGATCTACACAGTGTCGACTTGAGTCACATCACACCCCTAAAGGCACATCTTGTGTGGCAGGCGCTGCTAAAAGCACTACAGGATGGGGTTCCTAAGATAGCCAAGTTGGTTTATAAGTGGCTTAACTATGGTTTATGGTAGATATAACTATAGATAGCTATGGTATTCATGGCATCATGGGGTTTATAAACCAAGTTATAACTGGGGCCCCCATCCTGTAGGCACATCACGCCCATCTGACCCCAGGCACCGTAGCTCTCGCAGCTCCAAAGTTTCGCAGTGCCATCAGCAGAGGCGGTCGCCAGCAGTCCGTTGCTGGAGAAAGTCACCGAGAAAACTTTCCTGGCACTGAGGCCGTGAGGCCGTAAATATTATTGGGATAACCAGCAAATATGGGTATATATCGGAAGAAATAGATTATCCGTCACTTCCTACGATAGTGTATATCCACTGGAAAAAATGGGACTTGAGCCACGGAAAATATGGCTTTTTGAGCCAAACAAATCCCTGTCGGTCCAAGTCCTCGCTAAACTAGGCCTTTGCTAAAGGCCTGGTTAAATAGGCCTTTAGGACTGAGGTTTTCTCTATGTTATTATTTTTGGTCGTAGTTTTGTGAGCCTTGGCCGAGCAAGGTCTCACCCCAAAGATATCCAATGCTTGACAAAATAGGGCGCAACTTCGCGATTTACGGAAATGGCGACACCGTGAAAAGGCCATGAAAAGCCACTGAAAACCCCGTGAAAAGGCCGTGAAAAACCCTCAAAATCAGGTTTGTGCAAAAAAATGCAAACAGAATGGTTTTGCGATTTTGTGACCAATTTTTCTCATGAGTGCTCCCGTTCTATGTGGCTGCTGCTGATCTTGCGTTGCGGAAATTTTGTTTTTTTTCAAAGTATGAGTTTTTTGAGGCCTTTAGTCCTCTAACGGCCGCGTTAAACCTTCCTTTGGACTGACTGGGGATGGGAGTTTAACCATGGAACGTGGACTTTGGCCTTTAACTAAAGAGACAGGATTTCTGCCAAAAGATGCAGTAGCTATCCAATGAGCCAAGCAATATCTCTCTATGATTCCCCAATGTAATTTCCATTTGTTTCCTGAGATCGCTAATCGGATACTACTTCCAACGACAATACTTTAATGGATTTTACTTTAATTCATGGAGATGTACTGATGGCATACTCGGCCGGGCGAGAGGTGGTTGGTTGAGGCCGCCTATGAGCGTGCACATGAACACATAGTTTGCCTCCCACCCTCAATTTTGCAAGTAAAATATCCATCAGAGTTCGATTTCGAAACAGCGAACCAGCACACCGCAGCACTCTGGTGGCCAACCCTTTTTCAACAACCATATCATCTCACTCTGTGGGTGTATATATATATATATATACATACATACATATTCCAATTGTTGCCCCATTGTATATCTACGTTTACATATATGAATTTAAATTATATGTATATACATATACATATATATATATATATACATATATTGTTTATATACATGTATTATTTATATACATATATGCAAAAGCATTCCCACAATCTATTGATATTGTTGATGATGATCAGCCATCACATGTAATAAACCATTAACTATATTTTTTATATACATACATATATGGAGGTGTCCTAAAGATGGAGGTACCCCAAATCAGCGAAACTTAGACTGTATTGAAACCCATTGTGACTTGGTCCCCATTTTAAGAACACCCCATAGACCGCTGCTGGCTTAAATCAGCCAAGCGGCCCCGCATGGCCTTGGAGGCTGGCAAGCTGGCCTGGAAGAATGGCGTGGGATGAAAACCCAAATGGCGTTGGAAAACTATATAAATATGTGGGTTTGCAGTGCTTTATTATCTTTATCTAGCAAATATTGGAGTTGATTAGCAAATGTTACTGTTGATTGGATCAAATATTGTGCTTTATTCCATTTGCACCAGGTACCAGTTGACAAGCAATAGTTATCAGGTTTGAGAATCAGAAAATCCTACAGGAAATTATTAGGCATTCCTGCTCTATCTGATTCTTCCCTAATTTCCACTTTTCTCCCGATTTCCACCCCGGTTCCTCCCAGCGCGTCCCACAGGCTGCAGCTGCCATCCGCCAGAGCAACCGCCAGCTGCATCCGCTGCGGATGCCACGCTACAGCGAAGGCATCAGCGCGCTGCCGTAGCACCGTGGGCGCCAAACCAGCCGTGGGCAGGGGCCGCTCCTGTGTTAAGGAGATCACACCGGGGGTCCCAGAAATTTATGAGAAAAAAAAAAATGTGATGTGTAGACGATGTTTAGATTACTTTCTGGATATAATTATTTAGGTAATTAAAATTCAGAATCCAGAAGTTTCAGGTTCCTAGTTTCTTTTCCCAATTATTTTGGGGTTGCGATATGGCAGAGACTCTTGGAATCTACCAAGATAAAACTCCACCTACAACTGCTACTATGGGAGAGGGACTTCATGTCTGTTTGGGTCACCTGGACTTGGACAGGACCATGGTTGTATTGTTTGGTACAACAATGGTCCAGGATGTTGGGTCCTTATCTTCCCACTCCTGGGTTTCTGGCCGGTGAACTTTACTAGGCCAGACGCATTGTACAATCTCTTTCGGTGGTACCAAAAAACGCCGCTTTTTTCCACAAAATGATGCTTAATTCGTAAATTAGGGATGAGATACATGGAACTAAGGAGAACCCAGAAGAAACAGTCATCCTTTCCCTAAAACCGTCGATCCGTGGTACTTGGCGAACTTGTAGAAGGTGTGCGAACTTGAGAGGAGATGGGATCAAAAATCCCACGACATTCATCTGAACGAAGAAAAATGCAAGTCGAACCAGGAAGGGAGGTGTTTTGCCTCAATCGTTTTACATCAATCCAGAACACTCTGTTTGTAATCCGAAAACTGTAGGTGTAACCAACCACATGGAGGCTTCACCAATAAAAGTAAGAATATGGAGATGGTATCTATGAAGAAAAACCAGTGAACACTCTTTCCGCCAACCGTCCAAAGCCAAGAATCAACATTCCACCAGAACTTTCCAATCACTTATATTTGGGAGAACTACTTGCATGGAAATAAGCTGAATACCAAAGTGGGACCATGATAGGGGTTGATGTAGAATGCTGCAGATGTATTCTTAGGAGAACCCAAATCCCGAAATAGTAGGAACGTCTACGAGTCCAAATTTTGAGTCTGTTGTCATGGATAATTCAAGATACCATCCGCGGAACTAACATAGACCCTGCCAAATACATCCAAATGGGGAGGGTGTGGAAAACTACTTCCATCTAAAAATCTGCGATTCTCAGGCTCTATCCTCTATCTGTTAATTGGGGGTGGTAAGTTGCAAAACAGAAATCACCTTCAGCTGGATCTCACATGGAATTGTCTGAAAAGTTGGCTACAGCAAATCCGTCCTATTGATTATATATAATGTTTAATTATTCATGGCCATTGGCAGAATATGAGAACACAATAATCAATAGCATGGATTTGCTATAGCCAACTTTGGGGGTAGCAAGTTTTCAGACAAACCCTCTCTTCAAGATAAGGGTCTACTCTCCAAATCACCACCTCCTTGGTCCGGAAGGCCAGAGCAATGTGATGCCCATCGCAGGCATAGCTCACGCAGTTGATGCGGTGCAGCTGGCCCACCGTCTGCAAGCGCAGAAACCTTGTCTGACCAAGGATGCTGTCCGGGCCGTCCGGGTGGAAAAATTATGGATACACCTACCAGTGTAATAAACCCACATAGGCCCCGTCTTTGTTGGAATACGGGATCCCGCCCTATGTAACTCCCGAAAACAATTCCTGGACTCCAACGCTTCCACGGCCACCAGCCAACGAATGCCGAATCTTGCATACTAAACCAAAATGGCGAGAATTGGGCTGGGTATGGGTTTCCCTTTTTCAACCAGCAAACATTTATCGTCAAAATATATGTAATACCAGCAAGAATACTGATAATGAAAACAACGATTGACATGAAGAGAACTGTTGTCAATTATTATTTGTGGGCATGATACCGCATAGATACAATAGTGCATAGTAAGAGGAACAATCAAACAAAGACATTGTGCAAAAACACAATACCAACAGATCATTCGTAATAATTCCGCCCGCCGAATAGTAAACACCACCCGAAATGCTTCCAGAAAATATGTCCAATTCCCCTATAAAAAACAATGGTTTCTGGGTGGATTCTTAGGATTCGTGGGATTTAGCAGTTCAATATCAAGACTAATGTAGTCAAAAGAAAATATGTAGGACCTGATCTAGGATTCTTAAGGTTTCATATCCCATGTTTTTTGGTTTCAATCCACAATCCCCTAATAATCAAGCATCCTCAGAATCCTATTAGTACATGTATATATATATATATGTGGTTATGTGTGTGTATGTGTACATAAACGTATATATATATATACATACATTCCATAGTTCAGTTTCAGATCAGTATAATATATAATCGTATATTTAATAAATAAATTCATCGTCTATTTAATGATGAATCCATTTATCCCACATACTGTAAGCTTAAGATTGGTTCAACCCCATCAACCATCCTCAACCCTCAACAGCGCGCAAAGAGACGTCTCGGCATCCCAGAAGATCACGCTACGATCATCGGAGCTGGTCAAAATCTCCGAATCCTCTGGCGAGAAGGTGACCCAAGAGACCTGACACGGCCGTGGCAAGGTCTTTCCAGCTGGGATTTACAGCTCTGAAACCACAACATGTAGAAAAAACATGGAGATATGATGCTGGAAAAATATGGAAAAACTTGTTCAATAGTGGTAAGACAAATCCAAAGGACTGTAAAGATTTTAAGACAGGTGGGGTATAAAATATTCTAAAACCAAGCACGGTGGGGATATTATGGGATACAATGGGATAACCCTTCCCTTACCAACCATGACAAAAAGACACAAAAGGGGCGATCTTCACCATGACCATTATTGGAGGTGTCACATTTGTGGGTGTTAGTTGAACCCCCTTGAAACAACAACTTTACATAAGAAAAATAAACATTGGATTTCTATGGGTTTCTCAAAGTTTTGGCTGCGAAAGTGTCAGTGGTGAGCCCGCGTTGCGACAGCTTTGAACATTGACCGAATTCTAGCGGATGTGTTAAAGGAATTTAAAGGAACTACAGTAAGGAGCTAAACTCAATTTCTTCAACCAACAAAATTAAGATATTCGCCAAGACATGACTCACTGAGAAGGAACAATTTGGAATGTCATCGAGAAAAATGCAATTTGATCCACCAAGAAATATGTTTGCAGAAACCTGGGCATGAATCCGCGCAAAAAAGAAAAGGGATATGATGCGACCCATCTAGGTAAGCAACAAAAAGGCGGCCATGCAACAGGAACCAAAGGATCTAGGGGACACATAGCTCTCAAGCGGTGCCATGTCATTAAATTAAGTTACGCAGGCCATGGAATCCACATCTGCATTCCTCTTCCCTTTTGAGCAATCAAAAATTTCTGACCCCGAGAGTGGCTCAGAGTGGTTCAAGCTCAGGCGGATGGTATTTTAGTGGTGGCTTTTCTTCAACACAATGACTAGTAATTAATCACATGATATCAAGTATCATCAAAGGAATAATTATATTATGGACTATCCCAGGTACTTTATTGTGCACCTATATGCATCTCAAATTCGATGGATCTGTTCGAAGTCACATGGAACATTTGCCGAGAAACATCTTTGCGGTGCCCGCGCAGCACCGAGAGACACTCCTCAGGGTGTCGCGACCCCCGGCAGCTCCGGGCAGGGTAAAGGGTGAGTGACATAGAATAGGGATTTGACACAAAGATTTAACCATCAAAAAAAATAATGGTTACATAGAATAGGGATTAACCATCGTGTAATAGATTACATGGCTTAATCATGAGCAATCGTGAACAACCGTGAACAATCTATACATGATTTCATGCCAAATCAGGGGGCATGGCGGGGCCGTTCAGAGGCGAGCCACTAGCGCTGGAAAGATATGATCCCAAGGGCCCCTCTGGTGCAGCGTGTGCAAGTCTCTTAGGACAAAAAAATGTATATAAAAAATATATATATTTTTAAAAAGAAGACATCAAACAGTGAAGTCATCTTCCAAACCTATCTTCTTGGAACTTTCATCTCAAAGTTTTTGAAGGGAAGCAGGCGCCCTCGATTGCAATTCTCAATAGTCCGGATATGTCCGGATCACGCAGTTGCCGCACACGTTTGTAGCATTACCCTTTTTCGTTTTTGTCTGACCAAAGACACTATGTTTCCGACTTTAATTTAGCCACCGGGAAAAACAACACTGGGTGACTGGGCTCATATTTTTTCAATAGTGTGGAGGTGCCCTGCATCGGATTAGTAATATAAATTGCCTCTATTTATTACATATACATATACAGTTGGATGAACATATACAATATTTACATATACATATACATATACATATACATATACATATACATATAATATACATATACATATACATATACATATACATAATATACATATACACATACACATACATGTACATGTACATATACATATACATATATATGTACATGTGTATTATATTATATTATGACATATAATATACTATATTATATTATATTAAATTATACGGTATTATATTATATTATATTATATTATATTATATTATATTATATTATATTAAATTATGTTATGTTAAATTATGTTATATTATATTAAATTATATTATATTATATTATGTTATATTATATTAAATTATATTATATTATATTATGTTATATTATATTAAATTATATTATATTATATCATGTTAGATTATATTCTGTTTTATTATATTTTATTTTTGTATATTATATTACATATTGTATTATATATTTTATATTATATTTTATATTTTATATTATATATTATATATTATATTTTATTAAATTATATCATATTATACTATACTATATTATAGTATATCATATTTTACTATACTATATTATATTATGCTATACATAACATGTACATATGACATGTATCTGGCATGCATCATACCTTTGCAAAACATCAGTTCCCCCGGACGCCAAGCTGCACCAAAACTCCCTGCACTCCAAACTCGCGCCGTTTTGTCGCTGGAGGCAGAGACCAAGCGCTGCCCATCGCCAGAAAAGTTCACCTCGCACTTGAAGGCACCCTGGGTGATTTTTTTCCACCAGCCTGAAGATTTTCTCCTCTGATAATTAATTCAACATAGCTATACTGAAATTTATGTTGGCCATCATATTCCGACAATTTCTGACACACCTTCTGACATACATTCGGGCAAATATTCTGACATCAGCTCTGACACATAAATTGACAATATTGATATTTAATGTTCATCTCGCAAAATTCATGTGACAATAAGGGACATATATTTTGACATATTCTATAGTTCGCGATTTGCAATCTGACGAGGTTCGGAGTCCGACAGCTTAGCGTATGCACGAGGCCCGGCAAGGCACAGAGGAACCCAGGAAAATAGTAGAGTCCGGGAGTTTGCTATGAGACGCTGCGTGATTAAATTGATCAACACAAAATGAGGTACATACATCTGCGAGTTTGCTGTGACCAGGGGCAAAGAGGAGGACAAGGAGGAGGAGGAGGAGGAGGAGGTCCTGCTGACAAAATCTAGGGTGGGTAAATAATCACAAGCATTCACAAGATAAAACATACCCTCAAGTACGAGCAGCGAAAGGGGTGTCTGAAATTGTTTTCCGCGGGGGGGGCCTGGGGATCAACTTGATGATGTTAGACTTTTGGCAGTTTGTTTGGGAGGTTCTGGAATCTAATCTTGGGAAATCAAACTTATGATCTTAGAACCCCTTCATTTTGGAGCCTTTCTGTTGTCAAAAAAAGGGATCAAAAATTGCATCCAAGGAAAACCCCAATCTCACAGGTTCAATTGTCTGCCTGTTTCCTTTGCTCCCATGCTAATCCCCTCTTCGTATTTCCAACTCTCCCAGTTGATAGACAGATCCGGATTGTCATGTTCGGGAAACTTCAGTTTGGTCAGTTTGATTTTTAATTGACCCCGATCCCTTTTAGAAAACAATTTAAGAATCCAGATCCCATTTGAGGGATTCATCTTAATACTAAAAACTGATTGGTTGGGGACTGTTTATCATTCGCGTCCCTGACGATGATTTCATTTTTTGATTTATACTTAAAGTGTTGATCTGATTATCAGGGGAAAGCGTCGTAAACCAATTTTTGGCAATATTATATTTCAAAAAAATATTTAAACATATTTAAACTGTTTTAATAAGAGTTTTCTGCCACCCGACACTACACCTTTCGGTTGATAAATCAAATTGTTTTTTATTTTGTTCAGGGATTGTGCAAGAATGGGGGGGTCTAAGTTCATATCAATGGCCCTTGCGCAGATAAATCCACAGAATGAGTTGGGAGATACCATCTCAGAACCTTTTGTAGAACTCAACAGTTTCCGAGTAATAAATCAATTCGTTTTTTCATGTTTGAACAGAGTTGTCCAGGAATGGCGGGTCCAGGTTAATATCTATGGCCCTTGTGAAGATAATTCCACAGAATGAGTTGGGAGATATCATGTCAGAACCGAGCGTAGAACTCAACAGTTTGATTGATATCGATGCTCCATCCAGCCACTTTCTGTCAAGAAGTTTTGCGTGCTTCTTCAAAACCATTTTACATGGAAAACCGTAGTTCCCTATTGTTTTAAACTACTTCGGCCTTGTTGCCAATTTCTGTGTCACTGTGTAATTCTTACACATAAAAACGGCACTTCATCTTTTGGCGCGCCATGCCATATTCGGCAAGACTTAAAAGTGCCGTAAATGCCCGTAGGGTGCCATAAATACACGTAGATATCCTACTCCTAAAATGGTACGCTTTCTAATGACCAAAATTCCGGGCACTTTGGACCAGTGCCTAAAACAATGGGCACCAGGCTTTCCAGGTACCTACTTCCACATGATCCATAAATATCCGAAGTGGGCGGAGGTGGCAAATGACAACATTGAAAAAAAAAAAACTCTAGGAACTAGGAACCAAAACCTCTGAGGGTCTACAACGGGGGGTCAAAGGTCTAGAATTGAACGGCATCCCCATTCTAGAACCCTGGGATTTATCCCCAGGGGGGTGGGGATCTTAGACACTTCGTAGTAGAGGGTATGATAAGATATTATTTAATACTTATCATGAAAATTCATGAAAATTCACCCCAAACTCATGCGTGACTCCGCCAAACCCCCAAGTGAGCGGAAGTGACACACAGCACGCCGCTGCGGTGCCCACGAAGGGTCAGGCGCCAGCTCTGGCGTTGGACACTCCAGAGCCGCACCGTGTGGTCCGACGAGCCCGTGGCGATGGAGCAAAGATCAGGGGACAGCGCCACTGAGAAAACGGACCTCGGTAGGGAGATGGATGGCACAGCCTCTGAACCGAAGAACAATATTAACAATGAATGCAGTTTAGGCTATGTGGGAATGGGGATGATTCCCCTTACTAACCATCATTCCAGTGACGTCACTTTATCAAATCCTACCACATGAGTTACAAAATACATCAAAGTACGGCAGCGCGGTGGTGCAATTACGTAAAGCCTACCAAAACCATGTTTAGTTTTGTGGTGCGCTTGATGTATGGGATTGCTATATATGGGAGGTGGCAAATTTCCAGGGACCAATGGCATTCTGAGGCCACCCAGGAGCAACTGGTTACAATTACGTTGTATGTTTTCAGTTGGCCATTTGATATGTAGGAATTTGGTTCGCATCATGAGCCGTTAAGGAATGTCATGATGAAACGTGATGAAATTGATGAAATTGATGAAAGACATATACATGGTCGATCATTTCATATGCTTCGCCCCATGGAAAAAATGATCATGGACAGTCAAATTGGTCAATAAACTGTGAACCAACCAACGCCAACCCGGATCAGATCCATCGTCATTGTGGTTAAAACATGTTGAAACCCGATTAACTATTTGTACCAGGTATGATTGTTATACCAAATGGATGAATCCCCTTGGACATATGTGGTTTTGTTTCCTAAATCAGGTGTTTCCAGGCATTGTTCATGGATGTGATTTAACTCAACCCACCCCAAAAAAGAACAACATGTGCAAAGAGATAACATGATATAACGTGTAGAACTTGTATAGACAAAGTGTCATGGGTTTTCCATCAAACCATGATTATCAATAGACGGCATCATAACCCTTCGATTTCAATCAGTTTTTTTCTTGGACCACCCGCCCCACCCGCCATCTACCTTTGTCTTTGTTTGTCCGAAAAGTTGATGAAAATGGATGAAAATCACAATTCCGCCAAAAAAACGATGATTTATCAATAATTTTTCTATCGGCATCAAATGTTCATCAAAACTAGAAACAAGGCCCCCAAAAAAAACATACGCGTGAACTCGTCAGCCAGCTTGCAAGTCATGGCCAAACAGGGACTTGCACCACTCGCCAGTATTGGCATCCCACATAGCCGCGGATCCATCTGCGCACGCCGTGACGACCCACTCGCGAGCTGAAACAACCTCAGCTGGCACCGCTGGATCTCACACACCCGTTGGACCCCCAAGTGTCTCAAGGTATGGGTTTCATAGCCTGGTGGTCCACTGGTGGTGCTGATTCGGCATTGATCCTGGGATCTCTGTTGCTTTGCGCGTTGGCGTCAAGTCCTGTCCGAAGCGGACATGTCCATCCCAACATGTTTTTTTCCGTTGAATCTAGAATCTGTGATGCGTCAGTTTTCCCTTATGTGTGCCACACGCAACCCGACTCCAGGCGTTGGCAGGGCTCCGATTCCCTCCTCATTATTTTTTCCAGTGGTTTCGGCCCATCCCAAACCCGTGCAAATAATGTTTGTCACTCCGGGTCGGTTGGCCTTTTCTTAATGTGGGAAGTGCAAAAATATTGCAACGTGGAAATCAAAAAACACATGCTGATCTGGTTTGACTCACCCCAGCACAGCTAACCAAGAGGCCACAGTAAGTTCCAGCGGGATTTTCCCTTCTGAAGATTCCTACGCGAACCATGGAGTCTGAGCTGCCGAGGAAAATGTTTGCCAACTACTGCATCGCGGTTTGGGAGAACCATGCGATATCAGATTGCTCACTCGAAACCGAGGTCAACCATGCAAGTTCCATGGTCCTCCAATTCACCTCCATCAATGGCAAAAAAACGCAAACTTTGGTTCGTTTCCTTAGGGGCCGACTTGCAGCCACATCTCAGTGTTCCCACTCTTGCAATAACTGCCACGCACTTCTGGAGGGATTGGCCTAGACAAAAACAACACATAACAAAACCACTATGTGCATTAACGCCCTGGTTGCATTTAGGGCCACTCTGCGCGCAATCATTCCAAGATTCAATTGAGACCTTGCTCCGCAACGCCAATCTCAAATTCGCGAAGGTGGCCCGGGAACCCAAGGTCACTTCTGCCAACACATCACCGCTCAAAGAATAACATTTCACCTCAGCAGCGCAAAATTTCACAGGATTCGTGATGCGTGCGCTTACACTTACACAGTTGTGACCCCTGTGTCGTTAGATGCTCATTAGATCTATAGAACGGCTGAGGTAATTCACAGCGTTGGCTACTTCTGACAACAAAGATTACCCAAAAAAACGCCAGGCATCGCGCATACCACGGACCAACAAGGTATGATTTGTAGAGGCCTTCCAAAAAATATGATTGATGCCGCCTACCTCCTGAATTTTACCCGAAAGAAACACAACGCCCCACTTATGAGCTCTCATGAGTGTTCAACAAGCTAAAAGTGAAAGGGTGAAACGATGTTAAAACTCAAAAGTTAACCCAGGCGGCATTCTCATTGGCAAGTATCATACATGCACGGGATATTATGAGCACGCTTTGGCTGGAAGTTCCTACGTTCCAAAAGTGGAAGATTTGATGCGCGCATTTTCGCACTAACTCAAAAAAAATTACTCGAGTTTCCACCCGCAACGTCAATTCATTATTGTTTGCTCTGGTGGGTTAAGGATTTTGAGGGAAGTGACTGGCAAAGCAAACCCCACAGGGGTTACTACAGGAATCCGATTCCTATTCGGTGATTGCACCCCTCTTCCGGGGCGTTTGAAAATGGCCATTGGTTGCATATGTTCTGCATTGTTCTGTGTTAGCCTACATTGACATCGGTCACGGGCGACCCATGGGCGCCGAAGATCCATCATCAAAATGTCGTTTCCATCTCCGCCAACATGTTTATACGTGCAATCATCGTCGCCTACCCTGCGTCAGGTTCCCTTTCAAAGAGTTCGCCGGACTAAACTGACATATCATTCATTCAAATGCTTCGCACGCCCCGGGATGAAAATGAATCGCACAACCACGTGCACAATACATAATATAAATATATATAAATATGGGTATGGGTCAATACCTATAGATACATTTTTAGTGGGATGAACATCCATTTACCAGCTATTTTGGGGTTCACTAGGTACCAGGGTTTTGACCCATCCCCATATAATGTACTAAGCATTTTTTGGGTGGAGGGGCATCGTCACATGGTGGTGTTATAGCAATGCAAGGGTGGAGGGGTTCAAACAATCAAACGTCAGTATGCCACTAAAGGTCCTTTTCCACATCATGCCGAGGGCTGCGCGATCGATCGGCTGCCACATCACGGCCCATGAAGTTCAAGCGGGTTGATTATACGAGATCCATGGGCAAATTTGAACTCTTGATGATGCTACTTGGGCATATGATCCCATATCGTCCCATGTCAAAACCACCTTTTAAAAAAAAATACTGAATCCTAGGGGCATCCAACGCCGGTTTTTCTTAGAAATGCCTGTGGAAGGCGACATGGTTGGCACGTGGCCCGGCTAACTTTATTTGACAGGCACTCTCGAAACACAATGATATAGCATGTCGCTCATGAGTAAAGAGTGCCGCAACCGCTCTGCAATTGGACCCGCTGGATATCCAAATTGCTGTCTGTTTTTCTCCGGGTTCTAAATGCTTCAAATTTTGGGCGGCGAAGGTGGCCACATGCAAAGAAACGTGCCAAGCATGAGGTGTGACAATTATGGCCAGGTAACTGTGTAGGAGTTTGCAACTCACGAAGTTTGCAAAAGAAATGCACATGGAACAACACCACCACCAATGTAAAAAAAAATGTTGCGGTCGTGATTGAAATCTACTTGTGTTTCATGACGAACCCGAACCTGCGTTCCAGCTGCACGTTCCTTCCAAAAATTGGTGGTGTTCCCCTGCCGCCTGGGCTATCATGTTGTTTGGAAATTACTGTATGAAACCGTATTCAGTCAATCAACACCCTTTCTCGCGCAATGAACCTGTTGAAACTGGCCATGTTTTTGACAGATCAAAATGTGCGATAGATCAGCGAGTGTTTTTTGGCCTGTGAAAGGGCACGTCTTTTCCATTGCTATAATACGTTTTTGTGTCAAGATTCGGCACTGAATCCATGCGCGTGTGAGCTACGCGAGACAATTGTGCTGGCCGATGCTAGTGGAGCGCAAGGCCATATTGCACTTCAAAATTTTACCGGGAAAAAATTGCACACCCCATTCAAAACATTCAATCAAGAAACCAATAAACCCACAACATGTTTGTTGCATGACAATACTGCGCATGCGGGCCAACATGGCGTTTAGGCTGAGGGCACATACGCCAAAAACGGTCACACGGGTAGGAAGGACTGATAATTTTACTGCCTTATGCACTGTTTGACCATACCGAGCTTGGAAATCGTTTCCAACCCAATACGGCTAGCAACCCCAACCGCAAACACAAACCTCACGAAACCTCAAAACTGTCAAAAAGGTTGGAGGTCCGGAGATGATCGGAAACAACTAGAAAAATGGTTGGAAATTGTTTATGTTTTGGAAAAAAAAATGGTAATGTGGAAACAGGCTTGGGTCACCGCACGCAAGCTGCCGGGCAAAGCATTACATATATTACTTGCAAATTCTATGTCGTCCTCTTTGTTAAAAAAAAGGGCCAGCTCGTTTCAAAATTGTTGCGCATGGCCAGCGGAAAATTTTCCACAACGACCTACAGGACACATTGACGTATGCCTTGCCATCGGTTTTCCATGATCGGCATGCATGTGCGCAGGAACGAAACACCTTCCACGATTTTTGTTCCTGGTTCGGAAAGAACTAGGTTACTGGGCGGAATTTTCCATTGATGAAAAAATTTGGTTGACCAGCATATGCTACAACGACGTTTCGGTCCTTTGTTCGCGCGCGCCGACATGCCAACCGGATGGCACATGGAAGTAAAGATTTCAACTGACAAATGTATGGTGGTCATCACGATTTTGTATCATTCAACATTAGCAATATATTTGAAAGTTTGATCTGTTTTCACATCTCTGTTTTTGTTGCTACTCTGCAAGGCCAACACGAAAGGGCAGCTGCATAAAAACAAGTCGAGTCAAACACCATGACCGAATTCATGAAGAATTTTTTTATACCGTAACATCACGTGTGTGCGCAAGTGCAAGAGAAGATTTTGCTACCTAACATCACGCGCGTGTGCAAGTGCAAGAGTGGATCTTACTACCTAACATCACGTGTGGGTGCAAGTGCCAGGGAAGATCTTACTACGTAACATCACGCGTGTGTGCAAGTGCAAGAGAAGATCTTACTACGTAACATCACGCGTGTGTGCAAGTGCAAGAGAAGATTTTACTACGTAACATCACGCGTGTGTGCAAGTGCAAGAGAAGACTTTGCTACGTAACATCACGCGTGTGTGCAAGTGCAAGAGAAGATCTTACTACATAACATCACGCGTGTGTGCAAGTGCAAGAGTGGATCTTACTACCTAACATCACGTGTGTGTGCAAGTGCCGGAGAAGATCTTACTACCTAACATCACGCGTGTGTGCAAGTGCAAGAGTGGATCTTACTACCTAACATCACGCGCGTGTGCAAGTGCAAGAGAAGATCGTAGTACGTAACATCACACGTGTGCGCAAGTGCAAGAGAGGATCTTACTACCTATCATCACGCGCGTGTGCAAGTGCAAAAGAAGATTTTACTACCTAACATCACGTGTGTGTGTGTGTGCAAGTGCAAGAGAAGACTTTGCTACGTAACATCACGCGTGTGTGCAAGTGCAAGAGAAGATCTTACTACGTAACATCACGCGCGTGTGCAAGTGCAAGAGAAGATCTTACTACCTAACATCACGCGTGTGTGCAAGTGCAAGAGTGGATCTTACTACCTAACATCACGTGTGTTTGCAAGTGCAAGAGAAGATCTTACTACGTAACATCACGCGTGCGTGCAAGTGCAAGAGAAAATCTTACTACCTAACATCACGCGTGTGTGCAAGTGCAAGAGAAGATCTTACTACGTAACATCACGCGTGTGTGCAAGTGCAAGAGAGGATCTTACTACGTAACATCACGCGTGTGTGCAAGTGCAAGAGAGGATCTTACTACGTAACATCACGCGCGAGTGCAAGTGCAAGAGAAGATCTTACTACCTAACATCACGCGTGTGTGCAAGTGCAAGAGAAGATCTTACTACGTAACATCACGCGTGTGTGCAAGTGCAAGAGAGGATCTTACTACGTAACATCACGCGTGTGTGCAAGTGCAAGAGAAGATTTTACTACCTAACATCACGCGTGTGTGCAAGTGCAAGAGAAGACTTTGCTACGTAACATCACGCGTGTGTGCAAGTGCAAGAGAAGATCTTACTACATAACATCACGCGTGTGTGAGTGTGGCCCCCCCAACACCCCACCCACCCCGTTCCCCACCCCACGAATAATAACATGTCATGCGGGCACAACTTCTAACTAACGGGCACAACTTCTAACTAGTGGGCACAACTTCAACGTACCATCACGAAACACTGCCTCCAGTGAACGAAATGAACATAAACACGCCCTGACAAGCAATTTAACCATGTCCCCCGTGCGCGCGGACAGCGGTCCGGAAGGAACAATGATCATATTGTTCAATTTTGGGCCCATTCGGTTTGCATTGCTGCAGTGGCAGGCCACAACCCTTCTCATATTCTTTCAGTGTGGAATCAATCAAAGCGATGTTTCGGGTCCATTCTTTTGAACACCGCGATGATTTTTTTTTTGCAAAGGGCCCCGGTTGAGGCAAACGCGACAAGATTGCCCATTGTTGTTTAGGAACAATATGGAACAACGATGAAGGTTCTTTGCGATTAATTTCAGCGAAAGGGATGAAAATGGGCGACCAAAAACATCAGCACGCGATGCAACCAAATTGCGGATGATATGGCGCAAACTCATGTGGCAAATTGTGGCAGGGATACGCACGAATGCCTTGGGACACTCGCCTATGGAAATCTGAACCCACGAACCCGGTTGGATCTTGCTTTCACAGCGGCGAAATGAGGTATCGACATGGCGCTTGAAATTTTGTAGTTAGGGAAAATGGTTCCCAAAATGTTTGTTTTGCTTGAGTCACAAGCGCCTCACGATAAGAACTGATACTACCTGATCAAATTCCTATGTGACATGGGATGCAACACATGCAACTGCACAACTACAACAGGCGACAATATGTTGCACCCCGCCTTGATGCATGTGTCAACAAGGCATCAAATGTTTGAAATGGCACTATGCACCTACTCAAATGTTGAAAGTCACTAAGAGCTCCAAACAATGCCGCTGGGGCGCACTGTGGCGTGCCATTACTTGCAAGACTTCTTTGAAGTCAGTCTGAAGTTCACTTCGCCAAGAATCAAAGCTACCAAACTTTCTGAATTACTGGATGGACCCCACTTCACGGCTAAGTTTCTGAGCTGGGGTTGTCATCATCGATTTGGCCGTGGTGGTACACCATCCATTCTTCTGGATCACTTACTTCGCACATCTCGCTGGATATGTAGCGTCGTGCTCGTTCTGATTTGGTTTCAATCTCAACGTCTGAGTCTGTTTCCATTTGCTCTTCTTCAGCTGCTTCTTGCCCATTTGAACCATTCGATGCTAACATGTTGATCATGGCATCGGCAACTGCATTCACATGTGAGCTTACTGCTGGCGCGCTGCTCGAGGATGCTCCCATTGTTTGAACCAATTGTGTGCCAATGCTCACAGCTCTTTCAGCGTCATCCAAAACTGCACACATGTCAATTGTTGAAAGGCCATTGTTCGATGAAATGTCACTCATCGTTCGGGTCATTTGGCTCGCAGAGTGTCGCAGTCTTGGATCATTGCTTCGGCACTCACGCATCACAGCACGTAGAACAGCACGTCTTTCAGCATACAAAGTTCTTCGGGCATCGGTTGTTGCAGCTTCGTGGCGACGCATGCATCTTTCGTACATCCAGGTCAGCATTGCTTCCGGGGACCATGCATCTCCTGGAAGTGGCAAGTCCCTCGAAGTTGAAAACCTTGGCATGCCAGAATCGTCACATCCGCCAGCATCTGTCGATGGATCAGTTGAACTGCTTGCACCAGTGGTGATTGGGTCACTGCTGCTTCCAACCAGACGTGGAACTGGTGGCATCTTTGGCATTGCGGTTTCTGCAGGTCCATCAAACGTGTCATGCAAACCTGGGTCACCACTCGAACCACTTGCAACTGGCATGATTTCTTGTTCAGGCTCTTGCTCTGTTGCACGCATTGCAAACCAACCAAGCCATGAAAATACCAGTGGCAACATCAAGAAAAGGCCAAGCAAGACTGTGAACACCAAAAGTCCTTGATCACTTGAAACGGGCTCTGTTGACTCACATCCCTGGAAATTCCGTAGGCTCAAGGCGCAGACAATAGCGCGTACATTGTAGCGCTTGATAAACACTTTTCCAGGATCATCACTGCCTTCAAGAGCCCCTGTGTCGCGGTTGTACAAACCTAACACTGACATCAGTGATCTCAATCTCGGTGCTGAAAGTCGTTTTGTTCCAATGTCTGCAGGGTTGATGCTTCCACTCACGCTGCAAAGTTTAATGATGCCAGCTGAAATCAATTGTTGTAACCATAGGGTTCTGCAACTCAGATGTCTCAGGCGGCCCACTCCCTGACGTTGAAGGATACCCTTCGCGCCGCTTGAATCTGTGTATGCATAGATGATTGTGCGGCGACCAGTCAACCAAGCAAGCATTCAGAAGAATTGCATCAGAACATCCGCTGCTGCTTGCATAGACTTCTGCTTCCGCTGAACTCAAACTGATAATTTTCTGGGTCCTTGAAGCGGAAAAGAGAAGGCAACCACCTTAAAAAATCACGCAGCAAGAAACACTTCTGCGCGACTGCCTGTCGCTGCCCAGTCGCTGTCAGTAAATACCTCCAGCACATTGTCACATTGGCTGATGTCAGGGTACCCATGGTAAATCCCGCTATTGCGGCCATTCCATTTCAGAGACACTGAGATTTCACTGTGGCTTGCCAAATACGGAACCAAATGCTTCAAAACTGTCAAGCTCTTCTGGGTAGGCTTTGAACTGTATGTTGACAAATGGCGAATCACGTATTGGCAATGTGGAACATCACTGGCCAGGTACATCAAGATACCAACGCACGTTCTGAAAATTCTTGCGACATCACCAGACAAATTTTCTGTTGTATCTGCACGATCGATGTCTGAATGTGCAGGCGTCTTTTTGTTTTGATGCTTGGGATTCATCCCAAGCAGTGAGCACAGCTG